CATGCCTTCAAGTCCATCAGGGCCCCAAACACACACTTGAGCTCTGTTATAAAATATTTATTGCCGGCAAATAAATCCCACACACTGACACGACCAGACGTCGTTATGGTAATTAATTTCAATCCAACACTAGACCTGGCATAATCTTATTTATGCGACTTGTGTCTGGGCATTGGGATTTGGCATTTCTGATTTAGCATTTACCATTTCGGATTTAGCACTTTTAATTTTTCCCCTATGCTTCTTGCTAATTGATGGGTCAAGATGGGTGCAAGGAAACATGTCAAAATCAAAATCTAAAGAATCTCTTCCCTTATTCGACCGCAACAAAATCAATTGCCTGTCCAGGGGCCTGGCCAATATTTGAGCTGCTGCTGATGCTGCTGCTTCTGCTGGTTTTGCTGGTTTTCGAGCTCATACAAAATTTAATTTTAATTTCCATTGAGCAAATGTTGCAAAAGTGAGAACAAGCCAATTTCCTTTCACAGCATTCTGGGTATACACATTTTAACCACTTGACTGCACTGCGGCTATGACTTGGGCTTAAATGCTGCCAAAAGTCAAACACTGGCTAAGAGAATCGTTCAAGTTTTTTGGCCTCCCCCTCGACTGCCATCCACTAGACTCCCAAAATACTAGTGTGTGTTTCAGCCAATTGACATGCAGACCTGCCTGGCAGCCGTAAATCGGCATAAATAATTCATTATTGCCGCCTCGTTGCGCATAAATCAAGTCACTGGCCAAGGCCCACACACAAGCAGCAGAAGTTTTGCAATACCAGCTCTAAGCGCATTTAAAGAACCAAAAAATATATTACACATGAAAAAATAAAAAAAGAAAACAAAAAATGTACTTGGAGATGCCGGGGATTGAACCCGGGGCCTCTCACATGCAAAGCGAGCGCTCTACCACTGAGCTACATCCCCGATGTAAACCTGTCGGACCAAAATGCATTTTCCGGTGGTAGCAGGGGAAGTCGATTAATGGACGAGATAACAGGATGAAAAGGATAAAAGGGGATGATTTGTAGAAAAGGATATAAAAGGTAGGCTGAATTCATCTTTGTGGCTCAACTATACAACTGAAAATTATTACGTATCTTGCGATTTCAATGTAGGCATATTAAGGTTACTTAGTAGTTTTTAAAGAGTTTTAACTTAGTTTTAAATTAAGCTCACAGCTCAGAAAACAAATAAAATTACACAGTTAAGTGAAATTTTAAATTCAAAATGCTTACAAAATTTATTTAGAAATTGCTTCTCTATTGCTTCTTTTGCATATATTTATTTATTTCTTTTTAACTAAAAGAACTGTACTTTTTTCTTCGCTTTTGCGCCTAAACAAAAACAACATGCATCAACTAACGCTGTGTCAACATAGTGCTTCAGTTTGCCAAACGTATTGTTGGTTTCATATAATCATTTTGCTCGCTAGTAGTACATCGGGGATGTAGCTCAGTGGTAGAGCGCTCGCTTTGCATGTGAGAGGCCCCGGGTTCAATCCCCGGCATCTCCAAGTACATTTTTTTTTCGTTTTATTTTTTTCACTTATGATCTGGAAGTACACAATACACACGAGTTTGTGTATTCGTATTTTTTCTACCACCACAGTTGTATACCGCGACGATCGGTCTGGTGATGCTCATTTGCGGTACTTTGTCTCTATTGTCTCGCCCGATTTTCGTAGCCATACTGAAAAAAGACATGCGACACGATCATCTGACTGCGGTTGAAAATGATTGCGATTCTGAGATCACAAAACCAAAAAAAAAATCGATTCGCTTCTTCGTAAAATCGATAAAGTGATCCATGTTGCTACCAGGCGATCAGAAATGAACAGCAAGCGCCGTACCGCTGGCACATTTTCTACATGCCCGCATGATCGTTTTAAAACTATAAAATGTACAAGGGTGTGTGAGTTCGAGAGAGATGGGAAGGTCAAAGCGAGACGGCGGCAGTACGCCAAGAACCGTGACAAAACAAATGAAAATATATACAAACATATGTACATATATGTATGCGGGCTAATTACGATTCGATGCGAATGCCAGTATGAGTGTATACCCATTGTTTTGGGTATATTGTTTTATTTGAAGAGTTTGTAAAGAGATAAAAATCGATCCTCAATTGCATAATAATAAATATAAAGGAAGCGTTCGTTCTAAGTAAAATTAAAGAAAGAATTTTTTTAAATAAAAAACACAAATAATTTTACCGCATAAATAATAGATAATTTTTATAGATTACTTCAATATACTAGTTAGCTATTGAACCTTGGATTCATGCGTCAGCGACCACGAACGTAGGTATATCCTCTCTGACATTGTAGTAAGACGTGATTATTCCACCAGTTCCATGGAGGCGGACTGAAATATACAATCAAAAACAGAAGTAATGCTTTCAAAAGTTGGTTAAATATCATTGCTAGGTTGGTTTTCTATATGGGCAATCCAAGTTCAATTTAATACGTCAGCTCTTGCCAACCCCGCAATAAACACTAAATCGCTCTAGTCTCAGTTTCTGTTAATATTGCAGTTTATAGTTCCAGTTTATAGATCCACCTATGATATTTTACGATACAGAACTCCCTGTAATATAAAAAACTATAGACAAACTCGTACTTCATCCAACACAAATTGTACTAAAACAGTTTATGTTTTATAACATTTTATAATATTTAATCGTAATCAAAAGGCGTATGAAGAAGATTTTGTAACAGGTCGAAGGTATGGCCTCCAACCCTAGAATGCACATGCTTATTCTCTGGGTCAAGATCATTTAGATGTTTGATGGGTATCTGCTAGTCGAGTAACTCGCATATGACGTTCCGTGTGGTTGTTTTTTATATGTATAGCAATGTGCGTGTTTCATTTGAGAGGTAGATTGAATCGGTTCCGCTGGCTTTCTGAGTTTTTCTGATCGCCTGGCCAGTTGCTTAAGAAGATTGAACGATTTTTGCACGGTTTGAGTTTTTCAAAAGTTCATTCGAGTTTTCTGTTCGGTTGATTTCAACAAATGATGATAGATGGGGATATTTTCACTGGACTTACAGGGCCAAAAATGTCTTACTTATTTCGGCAGATTTTCTATATGCTTTCTCTTAGATATCAGAGCAGCTCTCTTTCATTAGGTTTTCCTTCTCATTGCGAATGCAATTTAAATCATTTATTACGAAAACCCCCTGTAGGATTAAAGAAAACTTTTTTTTATTGCAGGTGCCCGAAAAGTTTTTGGCAAAATCTCACGACAGCCCCCAGCCTTCCGTAGCTGCATTTGCACCTTCTTGTCTTTGTTTTTGTTGATTTTGTTTTTGTGCATATAAATTTGTTGCCTAATCCGGCGACGTTTTCTCAGGGAGTTGCATTTAATGCCGCACCATTTGCTATAAATATTCATGCAAATCGGCCGTGGGGCTAAGAAAGTGCCAGTACCACCAAGACCACCACCCACTGGAGATAAACAGGAAAATCGGAAAACTGAGCAGGTGGCGCCCTTCGCTCGTCCTTAATTAAATGTAAAGGAGTTGCGCTTTAAATGCAATTGCCCTGCTCTAAGTGGGAACTTATTAGCAATTTCATAATTGCCAGTACTACTTCTGTTTGTCTGCCTGACTATTCGCCCTTGCCATTCCAAGGGTTTTGTTGCTCCAACTTTTTCAAAAACTAATTAAAACGATAAGGGCAACCGAGCAGCGCAGCGAAATGTCGCCATGGAGTCTCCAAAAAACGGGAGCACTGAGGGAAATTGTGATATTATTTGAATAAGTTTTTATTTTCGACTTTTGGTATATTTTTAAGATTTCTGATATACCAAAAATCGGGTTTTCCAGGAGTATCTTTTTTAATTATTAGTAAAATAAAACATAAAAAAATCTTTAAAAATGATCTTCATAATTTTTTCTCTGTTGAATTTTGCACTAAAACTTTGACTATTCCCTGGCGATGTTTATCTAAAGATCTGGCCAAATTTGCATTAGCACACGGGCTTTTGTTTGTCTCCCACATATGAAGTGAAAAGAGTGGGCGGGGACGGGAGGTCGGTGAAAGTCAATTTAGTTGAATGGCCAGGCGGAAATTAAATAAATTCCATGAGCAGACGTCAGGTGAGCCAGGCCGAAAATGACAGTTGTCAGCTGTCAAAGCAGGGACAAAAGTACAGTTGACCAAATGTCCATAAGCTGATGGAATGTTGTTGCTATATTATCACCCACTGCCTGCCACACACCACATTTCAAATATTAGATCAATAGCTGAGATTCGTTGTGCTTGGTATTTAGCTGAGGTTTTTCATTACATTTTCAGAAGGTTCATTGAGGACTTCCAAGGGATTTGGCTTGCACTGCATGTATACATATATACATATGTGGAAAAAAAAGAAAGGGAAATACAGTACCCATGAATACGTTCTTGCTCATCCTTCTGATTGATTTCCATACAGGTAAGGCACTGGCTTGGAAACATCGTTGGACACTGCTGATAAGCGGACAGACAATGGGCATTAAAGCGGCTCGAAAGTGAAGACAATGAATGAAGGGCTCTACGGAAATAATGTGCTTAAAATTGAAACCATTATATGACAGGCTAAAATAATGTAATTTTGAAAGACAGACGGACTCATTTTTGTGAAATGAGCTTATGGACTTCCAGTGGGCGATGGAAAATAACGTTCTTTTGTTAAAGGTTTTTGTCAAGAGTTTTTTTTGTTTAAATATAAATCAGAAAATTGGTTATTCAAAATTTCTAATTTATTAAAGTAAATTACAGATGCTATAGCATTTTATTATCTTTAAATAATATAGTTTACCGGGATTTTTTAAATTTTACTCTTCTCTCTAAAACTCCTATAAACCCAAACTCAGGAGAAATTCACCACAGTGATCGAACCACTTCAGAGCTAGCTTCCTACATACCGCCCCAAAAGTATGCAACAAACTAATATAGATAACGATCGGGGCTTACTTGGAAAACTGGAGGAGGTCGGGTCTCACCTGCGGACGCTTCAGCGGCCGAAATCAGTTACGATTTGCCCGCGAAAGCGTTAACAACGTTCCAACGGATCTCCTAGCGTGCGATATATTGTTATATGGAAATAATATCAGGAAGGCAACAACAACAATTACGCGCATAGCCCTCTCTATCTCCCTCTTTCGCCTGTCAACAGTTATTTCAGACGAGAGATTTTTGTGTGACTTTTTCGTGTGTTCGCTTTCGTTTCATTTGGTTGTTCGGCAACTCCTTCATTAAACAAAAACAAAAGTAAGGCTTAGGAAACAACAACAACGACGACAACGGGTGTGTGTGTGTTTGTGACAGCGAAAAAAGCAAGAGTGTGCAACAACAACTGCAGCAGCAATTTTAGCAACAACAAACACGAAATCAACATCAACAACAAACATTTGAAAGGGAATTTTTTCTATTTGTTTTAGCGGTAAGTCGAGAAATGAAATTTTTCAGCCTTGAGACAGTTTTAGAGCCACTGAACTTGAGCAAAATGCGAGGAGAATATTAATTGACGTTTTTACACATGTACATGTATGTATGTATGTACATACCAAAACAACGTGCTAAACATAAAATGTGCAAAAAACTAATAGCATTGAATCATTTGCCATGATTTAACAAAGTTAATAAAAGTCCATTTCATTTGTTAGCCATCCCAATTGAAAGCCATAAAAACAGCATTTTCAATAACTGAAATTAAATAAACAATTTACACACGCAAAGTGGTCCGGGGTGGGAAAGAGAAGGTGATTTGGCGGCTAAAGCGAGAGGGATGACAGGCTGCAATCAGCCTTAACACTTACACGGTAAAAAAAATTGGGTATTGTTTGTAGGGTATTTGAGTTTTAATTGCTATTATTGGTATTTTCAGTAAAATGTTCAATGTGAAATGGAAAAATATGTAAAATGCAATCCTTTTTATTTTTCTTTATTTAAAAAATATTTACCTTTTTTGAGCGAAGTTCCCTTAAAAATGACTTAAAAAAGACTCCACTATAATTTATTAACGAATATCGTTATCTAGTGTAATTTAGATATTGTCAAATTCTTTTTGATAAGTTTGCTATGCAAATTTGTTATATAATTTCAAGACATCAAAGAAGGAATGGCAGTTTTAATCAAATTTTTCTCTCTCTGCAGCCAAGCTGAATCAATAGACTAAATAGACCAAATTAAAATACGTTTTTATTGCGTACCGCTAAATATGCTGCCCTGTTAACTGTTTTTGGCTGCACTAACAGTCACACCGCCTTACATAATAATTGTTTTGATTTATTGCCCCCCTTTCGCTCGCACAAATACACTTATCCCCCCTCTCTCACTCCCACTCTTTCGAATGCATTGCATAAGGCTGTGTTTTTTTTTTTTTTTAAATGCGACATGCATGCGATTTTGTCTCTTTCTTTGCGCTTATCGCAGTAGAGGTCTCTCTGTTTTTTTAAGCGTTATTCATAATTCGCTTTCAGTTCGGCGGGTTTTTACTCCCACTTTGTCTTCCTCTTCTCGACTAGGCACTCCCCAGGCAAGTAACACCATCCAAAAACCCCCAAGCCCCACCTCCTTCGGGGTTTTCGACCAAGTGACAACTCTGGTATTCCAGCTATGTCCCAAAGCAGGTTTCTTTGATCGTTTTCTGTATTTTTTTTATCTGTTTTTGTTTAGACTTTGCTTTTATTTTAGTTTCGAGTCGCTGGCTGTTGCTGTTGTTGTTGGCGTTGCTATTAATTCACCGGTTTACTTCACCTGATTTGCTGGTTGTGCATTTTTGTCGCGTGTATTTCTGGTTTTTTATATCTAGTGTTTTTTTTTTCTGTTTTTTTTTTTTGGTTTTTCTGTGGCACTTGCCACGATTTAGATCCAATCTTTCTGCGTTCTGCGCTTGTCACTAGCTATGCTAATTCGATTAATGTCTGCGGCTTTGGTATTTAGCGATCGGGTTTAGCGTTCATCACCGACCGACACAGATCAACGCTTTTTGACACATTTTGCGGATGGAAAGATCTGTGCAAGATCACTTAAAACTATGTATCTAAAGACACAGCAACCAGTTATCTGAAAGAGGGTTTGGCCTAGAATTTCTGGAATTCTTCAAGCGAAGCTACTTTAATGATAGTTTTACTTTAGATTTAGCTTTTAGAAACCAAAAATAAATCTATTCCCATGAAAAGATTGCTTGTTTATAACACCTTTTTTCGTGGCAATTCCTGGAACTTATTCAATAGCAAAATTTGGTGCGAAAAAACTCCGATCAAATTAGATAAAGCTACTCATTTTTATCCAGAATTCACCCATTAAGGCATTTTGATAAATTAGGTGATTAGTAAATAAAAATCTCATCCAAGTTTACCAAAGAGCGTGATTTCAATATATCATTTGTATTTCTCCCAGCGAACAGCTGATTGTGAAGGCCAAAAGTGATCGTGAACGCTTTGATCGCATTTTCGAATTCGTAGCCTTGAATTCTGAATGAAATTTTAAGCAAAAATAAACAATGATAACCGTTTGGTTGGCTGCTTTAGAATTCGCAAACCCTATACACCTATTTATCATATTTGGGTGAATATATAGTCGTGACTCATAAAGATTCCCACATCCATTCATTTGCATTTTGAGAGGCATGCGAAAATCTTCACAATTGCAGTGTCTCTATGCACAATGGCTGTACACTACCTGAATCTACACTATAGTTTATAACTTTTGCAAAAGTTTCATATATATACGAGTTTATATACATATTTGCACACTTGACTCGCTTATTGTTTGTGCATTATTATTATTTCTACTTAAGCTGCCGATCATCATTTTTATTCTAAACGCCATAATATTCTCAAGGTCTTCGCTTTAGTGAGAAAACATTTGACGCAGTCGCTTCAAGATTATTATATAAAAAAAAAAAAAACTCTCCTGAAAGCCAAAAGTTAATATATCAAATCCAAGCTTAGAAATTTTACTTTTCGCTTTTGATAAACTTTCGAAAAAAAAGAAGAAGACAAGGTAGATAATGGTATAAATTATACAAAATATGTGCCTTATTAAATGGTTGGGGCTAGCCAACGAAAATGAAAGCCCCAATCCCGGTCGGGGTTTTGGCTCTGAGTCTGGGATCTCTCACAGAAATGTTTTACTTTTCCTACTCCCTTTTTTTGTGTTTTTTATTTCGATTTTTTTTTTTCTTTTTGGCTGCTTGGACAAAAGACCCCAAACAAGATTCAACAGCAGAAGAAACGCCTAAAAACAGCAGCAGCAGCAGCAGCAGCGGCAGCAGCAGCAACGAAACAAGTACAAAGCCAAAGATATTTCAAAAGGCCAGCACAAAGCAGCCAACAGAGGAGAGAAGACCAGACTGGGCAAAGCCAAAAAACAGGTTCTAGAATCAATTTTTATTTTCTCAAGCTCAACCAAAAAATAACTACAGAAACAGAATAAAACGAAATCCAAGACGCAACAGGAAAGGAACTTCGAATTTTATTAGCTCGAAATTGAAATGCTCTTAAAGGGAAGGTTAAAAATCTAATAGATTTTTGTGGGTTTCTAGAAAAGGCTTAAATTAAAATGAAATTAAACAAAAAGTAGGTGATGGTTTTATAACTTTTAATATCAAAAAGAATCTATGAAAAACCTATGCGATCTGTCTTTTATCTGTAAGCTACTTCTTTATAATGAGATTTAACTTGAAATTGAGAACTTGATTGAGAACCCTTTCACGCCTTTTTTTTCTAAATATTATTAATGTATTATCAATTTCCAACCAAAATCTATAACTTTTATTATACTCCCATCTCTTTCGCCCTCTATTCTTAAAATTTTATGAAACTCTCTCAAAAGAGTATCTCGAAAATATTCGCCGGCTGAACGCACGAAAAATATTTGAGGCAGCCGCAGCATCAAAATGAATTTGGTTAGGACCAGGTTTCTACAGATACAGAGATACAGCTTCTAAGTGGCTCTCCCTGTGATGCCCCTGCCCCTATTCTTCTACTCCTCTACTCTCTACCCTTCCAACCCTCACTCAGGGCGATCTTTATACCTTATATTTTGGTTTTTTTTTTTTTTTTGATTATTTTTCTGGTTGCTAAAAAGTTTCTGTACTCGGGCCGCAGCAGTGTCGTCAGCGGTTGTGTTTTTTGTATCTGTATATCCGTGTGCGGGTATCTTGTGAGCTCAGTGGTGTGCGGTGCCACATGCACACGTTCTGTCAGATACATTGCGCCTAGAAATTTTCAGCCAAGTTTTATGAGCTTTTTTCCCTCAAGTCAGCAGCTACACACGGTTAACAACCAAAAACAATTTGTATTGCATCTGCAAGATGGCTTGGCTAGCGTTTTAATTCTTTTTTATTGACATTTCCTCTTTTCATGGCAAATTCTATAATTTTACACGTAATTTCCCCAGCTGGCTGGAGCTTGTTTTCCTCTTTTTGGCGACTCTGCAAATTGCTTATTAAAGTTTTGATTGATTGCCGAGTACGCCCTGAGATCCGTTGTACGAAAACCTGAAACTTCAAGAAATGATATGTGTATACACCTTAAGTTCATCTCGTCTTGGGGTTTCTCTTTTCACATCGCTTTTTTCTCGCTAATGAAATGTGCGAAGTGTAATTGCAGATTCACTTTTTGTTTTTTGCCAAACAGTTTTAATTTATTACGAAGTTGGGTTAAGGGTTGGATCGAAAGGCATTTTTATGGTTACTTTGGCTTTAATTTATCAGATGAAATGTAGTTTTCCCACTTTATTACTAAAATAACTGTCTTGTAAAATCAGTTAATAGGTTTTTTTTCCTTACTTTCAGTCCTCCTAACTCAAAAATAAATAGTAATTTGCCTTTCTTGACCCTTTATACCCATGTGACGAGCTCGTGAAAGCTCGTGAAAATCTAAAAATATTGTTATTGTCCATTAAGAAGTGAATATTTTAATGGATTTTATTTGTTATGGGCGCGGTTTGATTAGCTAAACGAGTGTCTAACATTAAGTGTCTTCTTTTCTCACCTGCCTCTCACCTGCCTCTCACCTGTCCCCTTGTGCAGGTGTCTCAATCTCCGTGTTGGAGGCTGAATCTCGTCTTAAGTGTGAGTTTCTAAGCCAGGGGCCAGGCAGGTCACATTCAGAGTCGGAGTCAGAATCAGATTTACATTCACATTACAGCATTTGCCATTGTCATTGAATAATAGAAAAAACTACAGCAAGAATGTAAGGGTTAAGACAAGTCGAACAGTGAGTACCTTGGATTAGCACTTAAGGTCAAATTAAACTAAAGGTGAACAAATGGCGTTCAAGCAATCAGAACTGGTTTTTCCAAATTGATTCAAAAGAAAAGAAAACCTTAAAACTTTCCCAAGAACTAATGAAGTATGATTTAATGGGGATTTTTCTAACCAGTTTTCTGTAATCCCCTCTTAACTGTGACAACCCTCTGCCTTTGTCTAATACTCCCTCCATATACCCTAAGCATAAGCCAACGGTATGCAAAGAATAAATAATCATAACCAGTTTTGCAGAGTTTCCCAGCTGTACTCAAGGTATTTGCTAACAATTCTCAAACGCCCGCGGCGTTAACAACCGACAGTCACTCAGAAGACGCATCTTCTGGCATCGGAAATCTCGAAATCTTTCTGTGAGAGGCTGCTAATGAATTTCTATGGAGATGTGTGCAAGTGATTCATGAGAGGCTGTGAAACTGTCACCAAATCTTATACACAATAGATAGGTGCTAAACCTACACTCTATAACGGTTGGATTCTAATCATTATTGTCGTCATGTTTCGAAAAAAAAAGTGGCCTCACATAATTAGCCATTCATATCAGCTAACAGTGGACAAGGGCAATGGGCCAGAAATTCTTTAATTAAAATCAAGTTGCGATAAGATTGCCGTCTCGAATCTCGTATAGAAGAAGAACAATATTTGATAAAGTCAAACACGAAAATTAAAATGTGTCTTAAGTTGTTAAGATAATGGCCCGGCCGGGCGGGCAGTGCAGTAAAAAATGAAATCGGTAAAAACCAAGAATGAAAATCAATTACCAGGTGTCCCTGCTTGAAGTCTAAATGGCTCGAGCATTGAAATGAATTTGTTATTTTTCATAAATCGTCGTCGATCAAGATTTGTAGATAGTGAAAGTTCTTCCAGCTCTTGGCTTTTCACTTTTTCTATATGTTTTATTAGCTGCGTAAAAATCTCATTTCGTGCACTCGAAATGTCGTCAGCCTTTTGCTTAATTTATTACGTAGCCTTTAACTTTTAGTCAGTTTTATAATAAAACCAGTGAAATTATCATCGCTTCTCTGTGTTTTTTGTCTTTCTGGCAGTGAATTATTATTGTTATAAGTTGATATTTTCATTATTTTTAGCCAGCTTGTGATGCATCATTTGAGCAATGTGAAGGGCTTACATAATACTTATAAATGAACTGCCAACGTTTTATACTTGTTTAACTATTTATGACCTGGCTAATTGGGATTTTATGGGACTTATTGTAGTTCGTAACCGAAATCTTTAACAACTTATATAGTTATAACTTTTTTTTTAGAGCGCATTAAGACGAGAAGGTGGACATGCCGTAAACGCCTTAAAACTGATTTGTAGAGTAAATAAATCTATTACTAACTGCACTTTTGGTATTATATCTTTGAACCAATGAAAGGAAATTGCTGACGAGTGAGACGACCAAACCTTATAATATCTGATTACAAATCCGTTCCCATGAATTGATATCGTTAGTTGCCCACTCCCTATCCACAGTTCCAGACATCTCGTATGACTCATTTTTATTTAGCACCAGCTATATGAATTCCTCACCTTAGCAAAGATGAATTTGCATTTCGTTTATTATTGTGATAAACCCTAAATAAACCCCCCATATTTTATCTCATATATTTCGTTTGTTTTTCTTTCTATTTCCTAGGCTTATCGGATCTTCAGTCTATTTACCCAAGATATAATTAAGTTCGCTTCGAATGTGCGAAAACTGAACAATACGCTGAATTTAATTAGAATTTAACTTAGAAGAATGCCGCCCAGAACGTTACCGTTGAGAAAATTCCGAAAATGTTTTATAGTTTTAGGGATTAAGGGTATAACGGATATTGCAGGGAGGGGAGATAGGGAGAAGGGGAACTATAGTAGTGGCGAATCCCTAACCGAATCGAAATCAACTACCTGTAAGTGCCTAACGGCTAATTTGCTTTAATGATGAGAAACCGCTTAAGTAAACAAACAGCCAACAACAATGGAGGCTGTCTGTTGTCCCCATGCGGGTTGTCAGGGGGGTGAGAGAGGGGGCGGTACTTTGGCCAGCGGGCGATTCCCCAAGCATTGTGAATGATAAAACCTGCGAGTATATGTGTGTACTTCATGCTTGATTGCAAATTCAATTAAAGTTTGCGCAGTTCTCTAAGCTAGAGAAACGGAGAATGGAGAGATAGGGAGAGAGAGAATTGTTGGGGGGAGTAGAAGCCAACGGGAAATCGCTTAACAGAGCAAAAAAAAATAAACGATTTATGAACTTACGAAATTTTACAAATTACATAGCCAAGGTTTTCCATTATCAAGCTTAGAAGTAAAAAAGTTGATTTGAATTAGAAAATCTAAAGAATCGGCTTTGCTACAAAAATCAAATCATTATAAAATGCGCTTAAAAATATGCTACAATTTGAAATTTCATTTAATATCAAGCAATAGAAAACCTCCAAAAATTGTAATTATTGAAAATTCTATTAAACGAAGAAGTTACCAAGATTTACTTACCAATTCATAAAACAAAAATTATTTTATAATTAGTATAAATTTTCTACCCTCCCCTCTTGATTAGCTTTCATTATTTTATAGACCCGTCTTCAATTACATTTAATTGGAGATTTTTTAATAATAATTGTGTACCTTATTAACCACAAAACACAATATTATATGTTTCGTTTAATTTCCGTCTATCAATTTAACGATTTCTTTGTTTTGCTGCCTGTGATGATGTTTTGTGACGTTTTTTTTTTTCAAATGTCAGTTCCGCTTCCTAATATAAATATTAATCGACTGAGCAGAGAGCTGAGAGCCATAAACCTACATACATCCGAGTATATATAGACAATTATTATTATTTTTATTATTATTTCGATCTCATCCCATGCAACCTAAACTCCCCTTCCCCTTTCCCCAACAAATTGTCTTATTGTTGGTTCTGAATTGAAATTTTTTTGCGCCTCATTGTTTACCTTTGTATTGAATTAAATATCGCTTACAATGGAAGCTGGCAACAATTGGCGGTGGGAAAGTCAAGGTCAAACCCCTTCCCGCCCACATCCACTTCCCCAAAAAAAAAAAATAATAAACACGAGCTCATCTTGTTCCAATAAATTAGACCCCAAAGAGACGGAGTGGGGGTGATCGTCCAGAGCTAATGCCAACACTCATAAATCTTACGGCCAACGATGATTCAACTTTCAACCAAGCAACGTAAAATAACAAAAAATCCAAAACAAACCGTAAAAAAACATATTTAAGTATATAAATAAGAGGCAAACGAAATTCAAGCTAAGGCGGAACAAAAATGCTTTTGTAATTTGCAATACCTGAGACTGAGACTGAAACTGCCACTGCGACTGGAGTTTATTTATTTAATTATACAAAGTTCAGGGCTTTCGAGTGTTGCTGCTGCATTCATTGCCTGAAAATTACGAGCAATTAATACCGGAGCGGCGATTTCAATTATTCGTACGACGATGACGATAAACGATGTGTGTCCCATCACTAATTAGCATGTTAGCAAATAGAGTGAAACAAATGCAAAGAGATAAACTTTTTTCTGTGTTAAAGCAAAAACCTGATGAATCTTTAATTAAGTATTAATGTTCTGTAAACAAGGGTTCTTATCTATTAGATATTTTCTTACCATTTAAAGGGTTTTGGTAATAAAAAACGACCGATAATATTTCGATAAATCTAATAGAATAGAATAAAGGATTCCAAAGCCAATTTCCTTAGTATCCGTCTAGTAATGACTTTCTTTATAGAAAACTTACGACTATATTATATAACATTTTTCAAAGTGCATATTTAAACTATTTCCGAATTAACCTTATTCACATGGGTTATATTTGACAAAATACTTTTTTGCTAATGCCCCGTTGCCAAGTTTTCAGGAAAATCACGTTCCTTCCCGGCAAATGTGTGTGTGGGTGCGATAAGCGGGGCGTACTAAATCAATTTTGACCCATGAGCACATGCATATGGAATTTCCATTTGGCCCGTTTGCCAGTTAGCCAGTTTCCAAAGCCAAAGTGGAACAGCGACGAAAACAAAACCGAAACTTAAGCACGGCAATAAATGGTATTTGGCGAGCAATTACACTTATGGCAAGTACTTGCAAAGATATGCCCATTGAAACTATCGCCAGGCGAAATGACCAGAAAATGTGAGCCTCAGAAACACGTACGTACGTATAGATCGGTGGTCTCTGGACCTCTTAACCAGGGTCGAACATTTTCGGGGTCAGGTTATGTGGGTCAGCATAGCATATTGTCAATGTCGGCCATAAAGGGAATACGCGATAAGGTGGCCAAAAAGCTGAATGAACGAGAAGTTTCGTTATCTTTCGGTAGTCGCCGCCGCTGCTCGTGCTATATAAAAATAAATTTATATGTGTATCTACTGGACTTTGTTGATTGCCTACCCCTAGCATACGAAAAACCAAAATGCACAACTTAATGACGAACTAAGAGCAAACATTATTATGACATTTCCATTCCAAACTCATTTATCGCTTTCGAAAGAACAATAGCTCATTATGAAATCTGGAGTGTTATCAGCTAATGTTTCTGTGGAAAATGAGTTCTTACAGGCTGAATGTAAAAGCAAATTGGATTGATATTGGCTTTTTTTCTGCTTAAATGCAAAATATGAGAACATCTTTAAATAAGTTTGGTGTTTGGTATATACATGATAAGAAATAGGATAAAGATATATACTAAAGATATATACTATATATTAATGGCAAGCCACTCGCCTATCTCTAATATGACCCTTCTGAGTATCAGTAAAAACTTTAAAGGAAATACGAAGCTTAAAAATTATATTTTCATTATTGCTGAAACAGTAAATCAAGTCAGTTTACGCCCAGCTCTTGAAACCCCATTAATAATATAAATATATACTTATGGAAACTTTAATTATCTTTTCAGAAGTCAAGATGTCCACGCCCACTTTCCCAAAAACGCCCACACCGCCCACTTTGCCACCGGGCGTGACCAAAACGTGTCATATAGTAAAAAGGCCCGATTTCGATGGCTATGGCTTTAATTTGCATTCGGAAAAGGTGAAACCAGGACAATTTATTGGCAAGGTAGATGCCGATTCCCCAGCAGAGGCAGCTGGTTTGAAGGAAGGCGATCGCATCTTGGAGGTCAATGGGGTGTCTATTGGCAGTGAGACCCACAAGCAAGTGGTGGCCAGGATCAAGGCCATTGCCAATGAAGTTCGGCTGCTCCTGATCGATGTGGACGGCAAGGCCATAGAGGTGAAACCCGTAACACCTCCAACTGCTGCTACTGTTGCCTGCAACGGAAATGGCAGTGCCAGCCAAAATGGATACGAGGGCACCAAACAGGAGATGCCCGGAGCAAGTGCCAATATCAGTAGCATTAGTATGGTGAGCACCAAGCGATCCTCAAATGCCAGCAGCATTCAGAGCGGCAGTACCATGAACGCCTCCGATTTGGATGTGGTCGATAGGGGAATCCCGGCAGTTCCAGTCGCTGTCCCAGCTCCAGTAGTTACTCCTCCTCCTCCCGTGCAAAATGGAAGCAAACCCTCTTCGCCGATTAATAATAACACTCTGATTAGCACGCCTCCACCGCCATCCGCCACCAAGGCTGGCATCAATAATAATGGCAGTGTTTATAACACCAATGGCAATGGTACAAATGGCATGACCACGCCTATCACGCCTCCACCAGCGAGTGGTGTTAATCGAGCGGGCAGCTTGAATTTGCCACTGACAGTCGCCGAAATGCGAGCCAAGTTGGCCTCCAAGAAGAAGTACGATCCCAAGAACGAGAGCGTGGACCTCAAGAAAAAGTTTGACATCATCCAGAAGCTCTGAGACGACGGATAGGAGAACTCCCACAAATACACACACAATACTTGTTATAATGTCAGGATGAGGATGAAGGAGCTAGAGATGGTTTTGTCAGGCATACACACCACACAATATACAATATGTTTAGCTATTAGTACGCAGAGTCACTTATTAACTAAGCAAGTTTTTAATTATTAGCCCCTAAGAAAGAAAAAGCGACCAACGATATGGTAGAGAATGTGGTTAGAATGGAGCACCTACCCTTGGAATATCTATACATACATACGACATACATGTATTCTTCAAATTCAAATACGAGTATTGCAAACTCCGATTGGCAATGTTGCCTCTGGTTCATTGAACAACTTTCGTTGAATATGTACTTAGTTTTGCTTGTATTTTTGTAAAGTAAATAAAGCAAAAACATAAAAGAAATACGACTGCAAGTGTTTTTCAATGGGGCAGCTGATCAAACACGATGGGGACTCAGACTTTGCGAATCGAAAAACTACTAAGGCTGTTAATAACATTTTAAGATATTTAAAACATTGTTGATATTTTTAAAATTCTGTATTGCAGCTTTAAAAGGTAAACTTAACAAAGTTTTTAGTTAACAGTGTCCTTGTAGAAACTATCTTAAAAATATTTCTTGTTTAATTAATGATATAAACTCCTTGCTTCCCTAAAGCAGTCTTTTCTCGAAATTTAATAATTAATTAAGATTGCAACTCCTGTCGCTTAAGATTACATAGGGCAGCGGCCACCACAATAATTTCATCAAGATATCCAAGCAACGAATTTTGTTGAATCGCTGAATGGCCAAGCATCCGGAACTCCCTTAGACAATCGATCATGTCTCGCATTTGGGCTCTGCAGACCGGTTCTTGGGACTTTATTGTGGGCAATTGTATCGTAGGAGCACGTTTCGAAGTGAGTGCTCCATCTACAATGGCTAGGGATTGCTGGTTTGCTAGTTGCCCGCCCAAACGCTGGGCCCCAAATTTGCTTAGCGTTCGGTTTGTTTCTTCCACGGCCTGGTAGTCTTCCGGGTCCGACTCTTGGAAATCCTGCGTATCTGTCCTGCGACCACGAGGTACTGCTTTTCCAGGCTCCGCGCACAATGTCAGGTATTGAGGTACGACTTCTCGAAATTTGCTGGCTTCAAATAATTCAAGATCGTCACAACTGCCCGGATATGCGCTCGACACATAGCTTATAATGCCTGGTAAGGAAGAAAATAAGGTTAATAAAAGTTAACTTTCCAGACTAAAACTCACCATTTGTATTGATGCAGAGTATGAACTTGTAACTGTCGCTACCTAATCCTAAATCTATCGGTACATCCGTTTCCACGCACTCAATCAGTGAGCGGACGTGCAGCAGGTTCGCCCTGTACTCCAGTGGTGTGTGCTTGTACCGCTCGCTGTGGTGCCGAGCATCTGGCCAGCGGATCAGAGAACGGAGGTAGCGGGCCAATTTGATAATAGTGCGCTTGAACGATTCCTCGGCATCTGATTCGCTTAACTCAAAATGCTCTGCCAACAAAGCAAAGGTTTCATTTTGCCGGAGTTTTCTTAGGGTTAAACAACAGTCCAGGTGGGTGACATTGGCAATTCGGCAAATGTGCCGCTTTAGCATTGGCAGGTGCTCAGGAGCCACACCCAAATGAAGAAGTGGAGTTTGTTCCACAAGACCCAGTGTGAGACTTCTCATGGTCCTCTGCGGCTGCGGTAGCTCTCTTTTGATAAACACAGCTTGTCGTACGGCAGAGGAAACTCTGGAATTAGCCGCCACAGTTGGTGTAGAGTGGATAGAGTTCCTAATGCTACTTGTTAAGGTTGGCTGTGATACCAGTGATGAAACCGGCGCAAAAGGGGCAGCATGTGCTGGCTTAGTGGTGGCCTTGATGATTGTGTTTGGGGGCAGTGAGCTTATGGCCACACCTAGACCTTGTGTGTCTTTCCTCCCCAGCATCTGCAGATGGTTGCTGGAGGATCCACTTGAACCGCCTTGGATCACATACTTGGGTGTTTTTAGGGCCGGATCTACAACAATTGAAGAATATTAATTGGTTTATTATGAATGTGGTTTTTAATAAATTTAAAGTAATACAAATTATTGTAATAATTGTTACTTACATCCCAATGTACCAGCTGCAGCGCCTGCTGTTGTTGCTCCAGAGGAGGTAGTGGGTCCAGTGGACGACGATTGTATCGTCCTCTTCATACTTGGCCTGATAACAGCTGGTATTTTGTTGAGAACTATGCCCCCTGAAGTGACCCTGATTGTGGCATTTCCAGGTTCTAATTTAGGAAACGGTTTCTGTGCCAAGAAAAGTAATTACTTAAATAATTGAAATTTACATTTATTTGTTGTGCTCGGCACTTCCCATAAGTAACTAGACAGCTGTTCGCGCAGCTCAAGTCGATCTGGCAACGCCGAATGAAAACAAAAAAGGGGGAGTTGTTTATATACTTGTATTTTGCAGACTTTTGCTTACCGTTGTTATTTGCTGCGGATCCAGTGTTTTCGGGCGAAAAACAACGTTGGGCGGTGCGGGCACCAGTACTCCGCTTGAATTACGATACTTTGTAATTGTTAGTGACATTGAAGCGGTTTTGATTGAATTTTTCCACCAAAAGCAAAAGCGGCCACTCTAACGTTGCAAAAAGTAATACTGAGACTAAGCTACCAGATCGATAGCAGAGTTAACAGAGATTCACTAACATTGGCTGTTAAAGTGGGGCAAAGTGGGCGCGAAATTTGATTGTAAAAGAGCGTCAAAGCTTACACCATTGAACTGCAATTAGTGGATACTTGATGGGTAATTGCAGTGACTGATATTTCGAAATGCAGAGCAATTTGGCTATGCGCTACGTTTACTGCCCCCGAAAATGAGGCCATTGCGCACTTGAAGTGCCGTTTTTATGTTTTCAACTGTCTTTCGTTATTACAATTGCGAATCAATTGCAAATAGATTCGATAAATGTACACAAAGAGAAATCTTTACTTACTGCAACTTACATATTATATGCAATTAAAAATCCCCTTAACAACTTGAAATTAGAAAACCTGCTTTCACATACAACGGATTATTTTTTTGTTTACTTTAATTATAAATAAATACATTTATAATTTTTTCTTTCCGTGTAACCATCAATTTGTTGGCAATCTATGAATTTGTTTTCCCTCTTAATCTTTCTTGCCATTATGACAGTCAGCCATAATTGCGAAAATGTTGCCAAGTTTCAACGAGTGTTGGCGAGTGCTTCCTGCAATTAATTTGGCAGTCCGATGACGCAACGGCTCGCTCCTTGCATAATGAACTCGCCCCAAAGAATACACACATCTTGCACTGACAGTAAGTGGTAACTGGTTTTCTTTCATTTTTATTTTCATTTCCATTACTATTTCCCGCCGCCAGTGTTACGTGTCTTATCCATTGCGGGGTTTTGGCCATGGCTCGCTGGTCAATTTTCACTTTCACTTCCCCCGTCATTGCACCCGAAAACCCATTAATTTACGCCTGCATGTCAGTGTTTCTTTAGCTTATAATTTAAATAGAAATCGTAGGGTCTAACACAATGATAAAAGTACTAACACATTTGGCTTAAAACTGATGCGGAAACCGTTTTTATGGGTTTCCGCCAGATCTCGATGGGAGTAGCAAGTTAGTTTGTCCTCTTACTGCTACTCCCCGCTGGCTCTCCCTCTTCTGCTCTGGCTCCTCTTCTTCTTCTTCTTCTTCTTCCTCTGCTTTTCTAGGCCGAAGAATTCTGTGAATTCTTCAGACCTTTCTTCTGTTAAAACTCCTCCCGCTCGTGTCACCCGTTCAACGTCCAGCTCAACGTTGCTGCGTGGATGCATCTGAGAGATACAGATGGACTCGCTGTCAGTGTCTCGCCTGCTGCTCCTCGTACTCCTCCCTGTTCGTCCTCCTCCTTCTTGTGCTCGCTTTCTGTGCGTCTGGCTTTGGAAATCCCCGGGCAATCCCTAGTAGTGTCCATGGCCGTGGCTGTGGTAGTCGTGGTGGTCTTCATGGTGTTCGTGATGCTTGAAAATTGGCACCTCAACGTGGTATTTCTCCGGAACGGGAATCTCCTTGTGGATGGGCACCTTCACCTCCGAATAGACGGGAATGGGCTTCTCGATGGGCACCTTGACCTCATAGGGCACGGGCTTCTCGACGGTGTAGGGAACCTTCTTTTCCACGGTGTAGGGCTGTGGCACAGGGACCTTCACATGGACTGGGTAGGGTTTCTCAACCTAAAATGGAAAAAGGATCAAAATTGGGTTAATACTGGTTTCCAAAAGATTTTGCGTATTTTTCTGGAAAGTCTTTTTCCTTTTTGGTTATAGATCCCAAGATAGAGAAACCTATACTTTTCCAGGAAACCCCATTCTGATTTTGGTATTCTTCGAAGATAGACACTTACCTCAACCTTGTAGGGCTTATCGACGGGAACCTTGACCTCATAAGGCACCTTCTTCTCCACAACAACGGTGTATGGCTTCTCGACCTCAACATCATAGGGTTTGGGCACTTCCACATCGTATGGCTTCTCCACTTCGTACTTCACTTCATAGGGCACCTTCTTAATCACCTCATAGGGCTTGGGGACGGGAACCTCAACCTTAACTTCATGGGGAACCTTCTTGATCACTTCGTAGGGCTGTGGCACAGGGACCTTAACCTCATAGGGGATCTTCTTGATCACTTCGTAGGGCTGGGGCACTGGTACCTTAACCTCGTAGGGCTTGTCAACGGGAATCTTAACCTCATAGGGGATCTTCTTGATCACCTCATAGGGTTTAGGTACATGAACGGGTACTTTCACGTACTCCTTGACATGGACAGGCACTTTCTTCTCCACGATGTAAGGCTGAGGTACATCCACTTTCACCTCGTAAGGGATCTGTTTTGAAAAATTGTTATATTTGGGTTAGGCCTGCTATAAATTCTCAGGATTAACATATTAAATATTAACTAAAAGAGGGTACTAGAAGTTCCCAAAGTCTACAAGGATTAAATTTAACTGATCTAAGTTCGGTTTTTACAGAAGGCTTAATTGGGTTTTTAAAATTCAGGTATCAGATCAGATATAACTTTAATTTTGAAATCTTTAAAAAATAACCCACTTAAGACTTTTCTTATAAGTTAAGGACATACCTTCTTCTCGACGGTGTAGGGCACGTGCTTGGTGACCGTGTAATGAACCGGAACCTTCTTCTCGATGGTCACCGTCTTGATATGTTCGTGGTGATGCTCATGATGGGGCTGATAGTGATGATAGTCGCCCAGATGGAGGCCTCTCTTCTCCACAGTCTTGCCATCGCCCTCGGCCTTCTTATCCTCGACAACGACGCCACAGTGGGCCAATGCCACGCACACGGCGAGACAAGGAAGTACGAACTGCAATGGATACAATATACAGGCACGTTTCACACTCTGGATCGATCACACATTTGGAACACTTTTTCAAGATCCTCGATAGAGGATACTCTGACCACATTCTAGATCGAGATGGCATTACCATTCGCATTGTTGAGCTGCTGATTCGACGTCTCACGGGGGAACAATTACTCCACAATTCGCTGTGCTGCACGGGTAACGAGATCCAAGCTGGGACTGAATCGCTGAGCCGCTGCACTCAGCTTATATACACCGAAAAATTGGACTGTCTTGTCTTTCTATATCTCGCAACGCAACTCGACGGCGCGGCGCATTCGCAACTCTTTTGGCTACCCCCTTGTTGTTGTTGTGGATTTTGGCTTAGTAATGAAAAGTCAGTCGGGGGAACGGTGTTATATGAAAACTTGTTTCGGTTTCGGTTTCCACCAGGCGGGAGAAGTGGATAGAGGAGATAGGTGGTACGGTACCGGAGGCACGACTCCTGCACTCGAGACTATTACAACAAGGTAACCGGGTCGTTATCCTACAGACAATAGCTAGGAAGTGGAAATCTTTGGTACACAGACCCACATATAAATCGGCGGTCGCTTTGATTTATAACTAGGTATATTGGCCAAAATAAAGAAAAAAGTAAAAAGAAAAACTATACCGAGGCTTCCGTTTTCATTAGACCCACACCTGGACATATGATATATAAGATTCGAGAGGCTGGGGATTATGCAAATGCCCGCGGCTATTGACTTCAACTCGTTGCAAACTCAACAAGCCGAAACCCAATAGCCGAAAACATAAACCCAGTGTGGTAAGTGGCAGAGACAATAAGAAGGTTAAACTAAGCACAATGCGTTTGGATATTCGATATATTTTACATATGCGTATTTCATATCGGCTTATAGAGCTTTATGGGGTCATCCAAACCATCGAGACAGAGTGAGTGGGGACCACAAAAGATCTACACAGAGAATGGACAAATCTCTTAATCTTTACAAATCCTCCAGCAGCGTTTATCCTTGAGATTACCCTACGATCTCTTAGGTTCAAATATAACTTTCTGGAACATTAAAAAGACTAAGACTTATATCTAATTATAGGGTTTCACAGACCATTCAGATATAAATGCACAAACTAGTATAATAATAGTGGTTTTACTCTTAACAAAAACATTCTCCAGTCTGTCAGTTAAGATAAATTTAGGATAAGCTAAGTCAGAAGATATTACTGAAATCGTAAGGAAATGAAAGGATATGATAGGTATAAAAAACAGCATTTCTTCCAGTGCATAATTTGCTTTACATTTCTGGCACCATTGGAGTATCATTGGGTCAATCGGTTTCGAAGATTTTATGGGCCAGGGGGAAACATAGGTGGTCCGAAACAAATTCTCTGACACACGGCTGCCACAACTGGCAATTTGGTGGCTCCTCTGGCCGATCGTGATTGCTACCCGCTAATGCCGCCTGTGGGAGCTCTACGGCGTGACTGGATATATAGATATGTATATATATATACATATAGTGGTATATAGGTATATGTTTGGTGGATATACCATCGTATCTTGTGGATGCATGTGAGCCGTATTCGCGAGTGCGCATTATGTGATGTATGACTGACTGACTGGCTGCCTGGTTGCCTGGAATTTTGTGCAATCACTCGAAGTCATTAAATTGAAAACATACTTAGCTTCGAGTTGGCTATTTTAAAATCCATCGTGTGGCAATACCAACAATTCGGCTAAAACAAAAGCCAGGCACCATTTTACTTTTTTTTTCGCAAATCCCCAGCACGGCTTAAGTTTGAAAAAAAGAAACGACAGACGCGGAAGACAGGCCATAGCATTTACATGCCCATTCTATTTCATAATCAAATTTAGGCTCCGATTTTTTTGTGCCCGCTAATTGCCCATTGTCCAGTTTTCGTCCCACTTTCCTCCCCGGCAGCTTTTGCACCAATTTGCTAATGCAATTCCTCGGTGCTATTAACGGCTCTTTCTGTCTGATTAACGGGTTCGCCGTGTATGTGCCTCTCTTTCGCATACGGCCCACCTCTCTCTTTCCCGCGCACTGCATTTGGTCAACGACCTTCACTTGTTTAATGGTGTCTTACTTCTCCCCGGCTCTTCTCTTCTCGCCACTCCCAAAATCTTCAGAAATCTTTGCATCTCGCAGCGTACATTCGCTTTATCTTGAAAAGAAGGGTAAAATATGTAATAGCAACCTTGACCTAATCATTATTCCATTTCCATTCAATCATTGTTTCTCTTGTTATCTGGTCTGTAAGCCGGGGATTTACAACTGACCATTGGATGGAGTGTGCGTGTGGGGTGTGATTAGATTTTTAATGGCCATAATTGGACAGTCTTGCAAGCGGCCAATGTGAAAGTAAATCTCTTAATTTGATTGTTATGCAACCGCTTCCTTTAACCCATTTTACACTGGTGCAATAGTTAGTTGTCTTACTAACTGAAATATCTTTAAAACCCCATAAAAGGTATATGAAACCGATATTCGAAACTAATTAAAAAATAATTCAAATCGGGATAAAACATTGACATGATATTTAGTGGCACAAAACAAGTAATAAAAATAAACTGTTGACTGCTTGTAAAAACGGTAAATAAACCGGGTCCTTGAAGTAGACCACAACTTAACTGGTTGTTTGCCTTATATAACCATTTATAGGCTTAATGCCAGTATGTCAATTTGGACTTTAAAGCGGGAAATGCAAGAAAGTTGATTGAGATTGAAGCAAAGCAAAAAAAAAAAATGATAACATTATCACCTGCTTAAAAATGATATGCGATTTAACTTTATTAAAATTTGTATGTATGCTTTCTTGAAAATGAATGAAAAATATGAATTTTGTTTTAACATTAGTTAAATGCAATCCCATAACAATCTTCAACATTAAACACATTTTAAATTTAAATATCATAAATAGTAACAGATGCAGCGTTGCCAAGCCAACTGATTTTGATTTCTTATTACAGACGCTGTCAACTTATGTTTGGTGCAAAAAAATTATTTATTAGTAGCTTTTGACGTATGCTATCTGGCAACGCTACCTATCGATATAACTAGTGACGGCACTTTATCCGCAAGTCATTTCAGCGTCAAGTCATCCGGCATTTGTTTGCGATTTTTTAAAGGAAATTTAAGAAAAGTAAGCGCCTTTTCTATTTATATTTTAAAACAGGCTTGTATAATACTCAACAAAATTACAGCCCACCATGTTTCTTACCCGCTCCGAGTACGACAGAGGCGTGAACACCTTCTCGCCAGAGGGCCGCCTCTTCCAGGTTGAATACGCCATTGAGGCCATTAAATTGGGTTCCACAGCGATTGGAATTTGCACAAAAGAAGGTTAGTTATAAAATTCATAAACTAGCTTGGATACAGATTTAATGATATTAATCCGATTCAGGTGTTGTTCTGGCCGTGGAGAAACGCATCACATCGCCTCTGATGGTCTCCAGTACTGTGGAGAAGATCGTGGAGGTGGACAAGCATATAGGCTGTGCCACCTCCGGTCTGATGGCTGATGCCAGGACCCTTATCGAAAGAGCACGCGTTGAGTGCCAAAACCACTGGTTCGTCTACAACGAACGCATGTCTATCGAGTCCTGCGCCCAGGCCGTGTCCACTTTGGCCATCCAGTTTGGTGATAGCGGAGATAGCGATGGTGCCGCCGCCATGAGTCGTCCTTTTGGCGTGGCCATACTTTTTGCCGGTATCGAGGCTGGTGAACCGCAACTCTGGCACATGGATCCATCCGGCACTTTTGTACGCCACGGAGCTAAGGCCATTGGATCGGGCAGCGAGGGAGCACAGCAGAATTTGCAGGATAACTTTACCACCCAGATGACCCTCAATGATGCCATTGAACTCTCGCTAAATACTTTGAAGCAGGTTATGGAAGAGAAGCTGAATTCAACCAACGTTGAGGTGATGACCATGACGAAGGATAAGGAGTTCTACATGTTTACTAAGCAGGAGGTGGAGCAGCACATTGCCAACATTGCGTAAATGCCAGCGGACTTTAATTGGTTTAACTTCAAATGTAATGTGAATAAATGGATTCTAAATCGATCTGATAGAGGGTAATGACTGGCTTTTTAAATGTTATTATAATCCCTAGATTCCTTGACAACTAAAATATCTCTTTTTCATTATATACAGTTGACTTTATTCGTATGCATGTATATTTCGTGTAATTGTGTATATATATAATTTTTTATATGCTACAACATTTGTGGCTCCATTGGCGTCGCTGGAAACCGCTACAATAATATCTCATTTCGCATAATAATATTTGTATAATACATGCAATCTAGACACAAACTGTTGAGCAAATCAAACAGCTCGGATTAACTTGGTTAATCGCGGTACAAAGGCAAATCATAAAGAACTCACTTTGTTCGATGCACAGACTTAAAGTTTTTCTTCATTTCCGTTACAATTTTTTGTTTTGCTAATAATTCAGTGTTTTGTTTGCGTGAATACATACATATGTGTAAAACATTTTGCCTAGAACCGAAATACAATGCAAATAAGGCAGATTAAACATTTACATCTAAGTGGGGGGTTTTCGAATCGAAAGGGATTGCAGGTATGTTTGTATGTTTGTTGCTGGTGGACAGACAGGGAAGACGATCAAAATGAACAAGTTTGTATACCTATATCGTACGAGAATATCGCTATATATAATATATATATATATATATCTATATGCGTGTGTATAAATACATAAGTAAACGGGGGCTAATCCCCGCGAGCATTCACAATAGTTTTCATCACACATCTAGGTCTGATGGTGTTCGCCGCCACTGGGACTGCTGTTGGTGTTGGTGTTGTTGTTATTGTTGTTGTTGCTGGTGATGGCATTGGTGCCACCACTGCTACTAGGCGTCCGCATCATAAGACGGGACAAGCTGGTGTCGCTAAGCGAATAAATTTCCGGCTCAAAGACTGGCGGACACTCCATGTTGGGGTAATCCGGCGTCGCCGCTTTGGAGTCCACAGATCCCGAACTGGATACTTTTGGGGTGGCTGCACTCTCTGATATCGTTGACTCCGCTGGCTCTTCTGCCTCCCTCTGCCTGTTGGCCATGACCGGGGGCGGAGGAGCTGGTGGTAGCGGTGGTTGCAGACCCTCCGATGAGCATAAATTAGTCGTAGAAGTGGTAATCATGCCAGGTCCCCGGTAACTTCGGTAGCCCGCCTGATTGTGCGTCGGTAGGGTGATCTGGGAAAAGATCTCTTGATCGCAATCGGGATCCGCACTGCTTGGTGGCGTAACTGTCTGCTGTTGCTGATGATGATGGGACCCAAACAACGTGCGATGCAGCAGAGGTGAACCGAGGAAACGATTCTCCTTGGAGGGCTTCGCCGGCGTGCCACCCGAAATGGAAAGCTTTGAGAGGATTGCAATCGGTGCCGAATTTTTGCGATGAGCGTCGTACTTGGTGCCCACAATCTTGTCGCGCAAATCCTGATTGTACGTCTGACTCTTCTTGATGCTACTGCCACTACCAATTATGGACATTCCATTGCCCCCGGCGCCATCCAAAGCGTGATTCGATTTAGATTTCTTATTTAGCGGCAGTGTCATGGTCATCGCATGACCCTGGGCACAGCCACTGCCTGAGGAGCCACTTGAGTGCTTCGAGAATGGAAACCTCCGATCGCTGCTCGACTTACCTTTGGACTTTTTTTGATCTGTGCCGGTTTTGTGCAGAAAACTGGAAAACGGTAGCTGCTGGGAGCGCAGAAAGTGCTTGGTCTTGCTACTGGGTTGCGACTGCGGTTGCTGATGTGGCTGCTGCTGCTGTTGTATATGGTGGTGCTCCTGCCGGTTACTAGAACTGGTGCTCGGCTCATCCCCGCATATCAACTCGTATCCAAAGTCTCGCAGCTTCTGACCCTCCTTGGTTCTGGTCCTTTTGATACTCTCGTCGTCTGGCTTGAAACTAATTTCATAGTCGGGAGTTTTGGGCAGACTCACGCTCTGGATCTTGGGCAGCTTTTCTAGCGGCTTAGTCACATTGCTTTCCAAGGCACTCTGCTGACTGGCCGTCGATTCCGTTCGAGCATGCTTGTGCTTTTCGACTCCCAAGTGCACTCGATTGTTGTACATCTCCTGAGCCTCCTCTTCCTGCTTGCGCAGCATCAGATCCTTGAGAGTCACAAAGCCCTGTGTATTGTGGCCATGATCCAACGTAGTGCCCACACTCATCTTGGGCAGCAGCGTTTTCGAGGTGTGGAAATCGAATTCCACCAAATTCGGATTCGAGGCATGCAGGAAGTTAAAAGGCGCCTTTTTCAAACTCGATTTGCTACTGGGACTCTGACTCTGACTTTGACTTGGACTCTCCTCGGAACTCTGATGATGCAGCGATGTGGGCGTTGCGGTGGGAGTGGGAGCCGGCGAAGTGGGCGGACCCAAACTCGAAGCAGAGAAAGAAACGGCAGACTCTGTTCCACTAACCACCGAACATCTACTGGAGCTGCGCGATAGCTTGGGAGCCACCAGAGGTGGTATCTGTGTGGGCGGCATTGCCGGATCATGGTAACCCGGAGTATTCGCACCAATTTGGATGCCAAAACTTCCGCCGGGAACCTTTCTGTAACTGCGATACTGCTCCGTGGGAACGGGGATGTCGCTCGATGGTTTCGCTGCACTGCTCTTGAAAGTGTTCGTAAACTTACGAAACGATTCCAAGTAGCCTCGCTCATGCTTGATGGGTGCAGACGAAGGAGGTGTTCCACCTGCTAGTATCATTGACATCGACATTGTCTCCTTGTTTCCCTGCGGCGACGGGGTACTTAGGTTTTGAGTTACCAGGGCATCACATTCTTCTCCGGAGCTGTCGTTCTCTGAATACAGATCCTTAGGATCGACAGTTTCCTTTGATCCTGAGCTTGGTGAAACTTTAAGCGAAGCCTGGCGCAAGAAATCCACCCACTGATTGAGCGCGTCTAGCGATTCGGCCGCAAAGTAAAAGCTCTTAGCTGTGTGGTAAACCTTGAAGGCATGCGGCTTGGAGTGCACTTCTTTGGCCAAAGAAACCGTAAAGCCGGGCAGAAAGATAACCAAACTGGCACTATTGCTTTGCTTACTACGAAATCCGTACAGAATCGTATCCAGCATAACGAAGTATATCTTTGCCCAGTAGGTCACACCGCGATGGTTCTTCTTTCGCCTGTACAGGTGTCCCTGAATGACACCGGGAACTGGCAACAGCTTGAGGTTCGTGTTTCTCCTCTTGGCCATTAAGCTGTGCTTCTTTTTTAGGGTAAGAGTACGGGATTTACTGGGCGTATGCAGCTCACTAACCTCCGAAGGATCGACCGGAATGGAAATACTAGTGATACTACTAGCTGGCTGCATGCTGGCGGGTTTCGGTGGTGGTGGTGGCACTACCGGTGGCGTCATTTCTTTCTGCTTACGGGGTCGTGGGGGCGGAGCCGGCGGTGTCACAAGAAGAAACTCCTTTCTAGGCTCAATTGCTGGCGGCGTATCAGATTCCTCTCCAGAATTATCATAAGCCGGAGTGCTATGACTCTTATCCAATCGACCCCTTCGTCCCTGCTGCAGCAATGGCATATTAATGGCCTCTGCCAGGGGCAAGTCCTGACCTCTTGTAGCCTGATTAATTGCCTCACGCAGGTCCTCGGCGTTTTCCGTTTTGCAATTGCGCAGCGTTTCCAAGGCATCCTCATCGCCCTCATCAGCAAATGGTATTGGTTCGAAAGTCTCCAGTATGGTGTTCTCAACATTGCAGATAAACTTCTCATTTTTCATCACATAATCCTCCTTGGCGTCGAATCTAACTACTTTGCTGACTCCCGGCTTGTAACGATCAACAAGAAATTCGCGCTGCGAATCCTCTGTCAGCTGCTTTAGCTTCCTTACCTCATGAAACATCCGCTTGGCCTTGTCCGTGGTGGTGTCACCCGCAATTCCGATACATGTGGTTGGTCTCGCTGCTATCTCCAAACCATAACCAAAGGATATCGACTTATCTCGAATGCTGGGCGAACCGGGATCACAGATGGCGGGCGATCCAACTCCTGGCTTTCTTTCGTGCCATGATGGTACCACCAGATCCGAGTGTTTCAGGCTCAGAAACTCGTCCCCACAAATTGTGTGTCTCCGCCTAAGCAATGCTCTTGGCTTTGGGTAATACAGACGGATCTCGCGGGCAGCTAATTTGGGATCCGTGGGCGTGGGAATATCACTGCAGCTGGAATCGGAATCGGAGGCAGATGAAACTGGATTTGCCTTGGTGAGCACCTCTCTCTTCTCGCTGCTTAAAGATTTACTTTGATCCGGCACTACGTTTTTTATAACTCCTGTTACCGTTTGTTCGGTGTTTAGGGTTAAAAAGGCAGTCCGTGGACTTGGCATCTGCTCCGCCCAGCGAGTGTTAATGTTCCTCTTTTTACTGGGCAACCTATAGGGCTGCATATAGATCTGTCCAAACATCTTAGTGTGCTTGGGTCGCTTTTTCACCGTCAGCACAACATCTGGCAACGATTCCCTAAGATGCTCCAGCACCGTTCGATGCTGCCAGCCCACCACTGTTTGGTAGTTGATCTGTACAATTTCGTCACCATCTTCGATTTTTCCGGAATTATGAGCCGGTGAGTTGTACTTGATGTCCGCGGTGGTGATGACTCGGTGGATGCCATTGTAACTGGATTCTATATTGAAACCCAACTCGGATTCGCGCTTTTTTAGGGTGACAAGGTTCAGGGAGGCAGGCTGCAGAACCATGGGATCGGATATGTCCTGAATAACAAAGTTGGCCAGATTCTCTAGCCGCTCTGCCGACAGTCGTATCGCTGGCACTGGCTGCAAGGAGAACCGATCCCGGTGAGCAATTGTGGCCAGCTCCAAGCCGCATTTGAGCACATTGCCACAGTATTCACGGTACATCTCCTGCTTACGGAACGGCGTTCTCTCCAAACTGCCCACAAGTGGTTTTAGAGTTGCTATTGTTCGGGTGATATCGTGCAGTATCCGGGTATCGATCTTGGTGCTTTCAGCATGATTCTTGGCCAGTTCGCGATGCAGATTTCCGGCTGCAGTTGCCACATGCAATGCCATGAATTGCAGATTGTCATTTTTCAGGTGGTAATGCTAGAATACAAGGTCATTAGGAATATGAGTTTTGTAAGCGGTACAATTTGTTTAGGGGACTTACAAAATTTCTTAAGTTCTCCACCGCCTCCAGCACGATCTCCTGATGGCCAATGCGCAGCATTCCCAGATTCTCCAGCTCGTATGGCCTTATGTTGAGCAAGGCCACGCCATCGATCTCCTGCTTGGAGAAATCGTACAAATACTCCTTCATGGACTCATCCAGACCTATGGAAATCAGGAAAACATAATTATATGCCTGGTGAAAACTTGAACAAAGCGGAAATTCTTGTTGCACTGTTTGCAGTTGTTGTTGTATTTTCTGTTGTTACTGCTTTTTGGGGCAGTGGCTGTGAGATGCACCTTTTTCTCTCAACTGCGTTTTCCTTGACCTCGAACGTTACCTTTGATCCAGTCGGTGACCTGGTCGGGCGTCCACTCGGCGATGTTGATGTAGGCCATCGCGCTGCTGCTGATGATCCGCGCTGGGCCGCACCTACGGCATATTATCAATCTGTGCTGAAAAACACTCGAGCCAAGTTCAGATATCAGATATTGTTGCGTCCTCTCTGCAGTGTAACCAGATGGTGAAACAGCTTATAACCATAGTTAGCGGTAATACCCCAAAATAAAAGTACTACCACATTTCAAAAATACCAGAAAAAACTGATAACCGATAAGGATAAATCTGTGGCCACACGGAATTCAAAATTAAAAATAAAACCCTCTTCGTTTAACCAATCAGGTACTCCCATTCACGTTAAAAAATGTATAAATATTAAAATAAATTATATTTAAAATAGGCACCCCTCATACGGTTTTGACTTTTTCACAAGATTTCAAGACTTTGTATTGCCATTCACCACAATATCGATAAATCAAAGCTACTAAAGCTTTGCAACACTGGCACAGCCTATCAAACAGCTGAGCCTTTGAGAATCGTATTGAATTGCCCCCAAAACATACGAATAAATGCCTCAATGACAAAGTCAAATAGAGATAAACAAGCAAATTAGAGATCCAATGGTCCAATGCCTTCCCCTCAGCCGAAAATTAGCGTTTTATTTGACCATTTACAATCGGCTAAATGTATATGTACATATACGGAGGCAGCGTTCTCAAACGCGCACGTTTTTTCAACGCAATGCTTTTAGAATCGAATCAGTCACTTGCTGGGAGAGGGAGAGGCACGACGAAGTAAATCACCGCGTGTTTTTTTCTAATCGCTGCAACTGGCTGCTGCAATCAAAATTCGCTAGCCGAAATGTCTGTGACCCAGACGAAACAAATCAAGTTCTACAACCCATCGAGTTCCGCTAGCTCCGACAGGTAACGAACGACTTTTTAATGCCGCATTAATTCATGCACGGCCAAAAGTGTGAAAATCCAACAAAAGTCATTAGAATGTGATATACACACACATGTATACAGAGGCATGTGCTCCAAGCCATTCATCACATGTATGCATGTATGTATATACATGCATATGTACATATATATGTACAACGTGAGGCCTCTGAGCACGCAATATAAATAAATGCTGGGAAAATGGCATAGGGCCTGCGTTCGCAAACACCAACACACATGTACGCATAACATTTGATAAATTCAATTTCGATATAGTCGCCGGTTGCATCGGATCGGGAGAGAGAGCGAGATAAAGAGATAGTGTGAGTGAGCGAGAAGGAGAAGCAAACCCCCTGCGAGAACAGTTACAAGCAAGTGATGAGCGCGTGATAATAATAATTTCAATATAAAATTTATACTGGATAATATATCATTTAAAACATCTTAGATCGCCGACTTGATTTTTTTAGATATAGAAAAAAAAGAAAAAGTTCAAAGGAAATTCTTAATTTTAAACAAAAAACTTAAACTTACTTAACACACTAAACCAATTATACTAAATAACCTCCAAAAAGTTCGTGTCACGCAAAAAACGCACGTCACGCGTCTACCTCTAAGTAATGACAGGCGACAACAACAAAGAGGAGACGACGCCGGCAGAGGAAACAGCAGCGCAGCTTTTTAACCTTAGCAGCCTTAACACTTTTTTTTAATATCATTCAATCCCCAAACGCCGCTCACCTCACACTTATACCTTCACCTCAGCCGACCGGTGCGCTCGCCTCATTTTTTGTTTTTATTAGTTATCGAATAAATATTAGCCGCAACGCAAAAGGTGAATCGCTGCGTAGGAAATAAAAGCTTTAAATCACATGTGATCCACGCCGCCGGCGATTCGCGTGAGCGTTTGTGAGTGAGTGACCCATTTTGGCTTGGCATCGCCGGTAGCTGCTGTGTTCCTCTTGTATCTGAATTCTCACGCCCACGCCGACGGACAAAGAGGCTGAACAAGATCCAAATCATTGGCAGACCGGGCTAAAAATGAGCAGCATCACGTTTTTGTGCAGCAAGTCGGCCCACAACAATAATAATAACAACAACAGCAGCAATGATGTGCCAAAGGGGGCAAAAGCGGCTTCAGCATTTGCAGCCGCATCCGCCGGTTTATTAACCATCGCCACCCACCAACAACAGCATCAGCAGCAGCAGCAACAACAACAGCAGTCAAAGGTTAAGGCTATAGCAGCCAAAACCAATGGTCACATGTAATTCATTGCATTTTCCCCATTTTTAACGTAACAAAAAACCAAGAAACCCATTCGAAATCCCATATGTATGTTTATTTGTGCACGAATATCTGTGGGAGTGTGTGTGAATGTGTTTTCGAGTGCTATTTGCAATTTTTGTTGTGCCATTTACCGCCATTCTAATTGTTTTGATACTGCGCTTGTTTGTCCAGTACTCCCGTTTCACCTCCCTTTCTATGTCACTGTCTGGTTTCATTGTTTAATTAACGCTCTCGGTTTGTGTTTAACATTGTTTATCGAGTCTGCGGCGCGGCAAAGAACAACAAATGTTGAAAAGACGATAGCGTCAGCAAAGTGCGCTCTCGATTCTCAACATGGCTCCGATCAGAGGCCACGTCTATCGGTTTTTTGCCAACTCCAGTTCTCTTTCTTTTCTTTTTTGCCTTCCCACATCCTGCATCTCTTACTCCGGTTACCAAATCATCCATTCTTCCTTGTCCAAAGTTGCCTGAAAAGTCATAACCTGTTGGTTTTCTAACTCTGGAGAGCGCAGCACACGTGGCAAACACTATGCTCTCCTCTCGCTCTTCGTGGTTTGCAAAAACTATAAATATGTTGAGGAATCTCGCCTCTGGCGTCACCGGAGTATTGGCCCTACACGTAAAGAAAAACCGGCATACATATATTATATATCTAGGTTTTAACAAGCCCGCTTTTGTTCATGAAATCAATTTGTACAAATTAACTTTCATTGAGACATAAGCTGATAATAACTGCAGGTATCTAAAGTTCAAAACGACTTAGAAAAAGTCTTACCAGAAAGAAAATTGCTTTAGTTATCATATCGTATCATATTGAATTTACTTTCTTTTGAATTAAAACATTTTTTAATGAATCAACATCTCATTCGGTAGTGTAATAACTTTCTGCCAATTTCTGTTAAAATGTATTAACATATGCATACATATATATATTAATGCTAAACCAACAATTTTTTCTTCCTGTGTGTTGTATGGTTGCACAGTAATGAAGAAAAGAAAACACAGAGAAAGGCGAAGAGAGATTGAGAGAGTGCAACGAACGCGCCTACGCAGCATCAAAAAAATGGACAGTCTAGCGTTGCTTTGTCTGCCTGCCTGTGCCCCGTCATTTCTTTCTTCCCAGAAATATTTATTTAGTTCTTTTGCATGTTTTTGGCATACAGTTGTAGTCTGCATTATTTTAATGGCCAAATACGGCCGGAAAAACTTTTGGTTCAATCCCGATGTTGGGGGTTCACGTCAGCATTCTGTTGAGCACATGGCGGAAAAACAAGCGAAATATTGCTATATACATGAATTGCATGTACATTATTGAAAGTAGGGTGTTTCAACTAAAATATCTGGTTTTACCACCAACAATTTGAATGTTTTTCATGCTTTGACCTACTTAAGAAAATGCACTAAACAAACTGTATTTATATTCATCATAAATCACATGCAATTGTAAAACATATTACTAAGCTAAAAAAAATTGACACTCCCTGATGCTCATATCACGTTTCATAAAAACAATCGCAAAATTTTCCATATCATATCACCGGATTTACGAACTTACTTTATTTTCTCCATTCCTACATTTTTTGATTAAAATGATAATGTTATAGCTGTCCTCAGTCGTAGTCATAAATGAATTAACCTTTTAATATTAGCAATGTTATCTTCTATCCCACTCAATTAAGGCCTTAAGTAACTTGTCTATTTATAGAACATATTGAACAGTTGATTAATACAACGTAGACGAATCTCGTGCGCTTGTGTAGGAGGTAAAATTGTAGAGAGAGGTAGGGGGCTTTTAAAGTAGAGTAGGTCAGTGAGTATACTGCATCCTTGAACTCACAGCTTTTTAGCTTGCATTGTAATGTGTACGTACCCTGTAGCCATTTTACTAACAATGTCGCTAATCTATATTTCTGTATTTAAACAAGTATCTAAAATGATTGTGAAATTAATCAGTTGAGGGCGATAAAAACGTTATCGTGGCTAATCACTGAATTCCACTTATTTTAGTCGTATTTTCAACGTCATCATTATATGGTCATAGTTTAGATTTTAGTAATCGCTAACTAATCTTTGTATAACATTTGCAGCGATGACCGTTCGGATGTCACTGAGCAACTCTACGTGGATCCATACGCCGACCTCGGCAATGGACTTCCCGGAGATCTTAACTGTTGCCCGGCCTCGCCCACCACAGTGCCTGCGAAAGCATCTATGGAGTCGCCTCTAAAGCGTTCCGGAAGAAGGCAGCGAACCACATCTATTGGCAACCAGACAACCACCGCGAATCCGTCCGAATGCATCATACGCGCAAATAATCGCACGATCTACACGGCCGGACGACCGCCGTGGTACAATTGTGCCGGTCAACAGGTTGAACCTTTTGTCATAGGTAAATCTTAATCCTTAGAAAAAATTACCTAGTTTTTTAATGCCTTTAATATTTTACAGGAATCTGCGGAGGAAGTGCCTCTGGTAAAACCACAGTTGCTGAGAAAATAATTGAAAGCCTGGATGTTCCCTGGGTTACACTATTATCCATGGACTGCTTCTACAAGGTAAGAGTTCCTTTTATTTTATGAAATAAATGAGTTATTACTTTTTTGTTCTTTAGATTTTAAATGAAAAGCAGCATGAACAGGCCCTTATCAACGAATACAACTTCGATCACCCGGATGCCTTTGACATTGAGCTGCTGCTGGATGTTCTGACCAAACTGAAGGAGGGTCGTAAGGTTGAGGTTCCGGTTTACAATTTTGTGACACATGGTCGGGAAAGCCAAACAAAGACAATGTATGGAGCCAATGTGATCATCTTCGAGGGCATTCTTACCTTCCATAGTCCTGAAGTACTTAAACTGCTGGATATGAAGATCTTTGTGGACACAGATCCGGATATTCGTCTTGCCAGGCGCTTAAAAAGGTAAGCGATAGTCTTTAATTTTTTACCGGCTTGATTTTCAAATGACCTAATTTTCAGGGATATCTCACAGCGCGGACGGGACCTGAAGGGCGTGCTGAAACAATACCTGAATATGGTGAAGCCCTCCTATTGCAATTACATTGCTCCAACAATGGCACATGCGGACATAATTGTCCCTCGAGGAGGTGAGAACAAGGTGGCTATCCATCTCATCGTCCAGCACGTGCACACACAACTCCAGCTGGTAAGGATTACGAAAAGTTTAACTGTAAACTTTGTTAATTTTCCACCTTATTTTACAGCGCGGATTTAAGTTGCGCGAAACTTTGGCTAACTCCTACAAGGACCAGCCTATGCCACATTCTCTGCACTTGCTGCATCCCACTCCCCAGATTAAGGGTCTGCATACTTTTATCCGCTGCCGAAATACATCCCGCGATGAGTTTATATTTTACTCGAAGCGACTAATTCGGCTAGTCATCGAGTATGCCCTAAGTCTATTTCCTTTTAAGAAAACTACTGTAGAAACGCCTCAGGGTGTTCTTTACGAGGGTAAGCGAATGGAATCCCGAAAAATTTGCGGCGTATCCATTCTTCGAGCAGGTGAGACCATGGAGCAAGCCGTATGTGATGTGTGCAAGGACATTCGCATCGGGAAGATCCTCATTCAGACCAATCTTAAGACCGGCGAGCCGGAGCTTTATTACCTGAGGCTGCCCAAAGACATAAAAGACTACAAGGTGATACTAATGGATGCTACCGTGGCCACAGGAGCAGCGGCTATGATGGCCATTCGGGTGCTGCTGGATCACGATGTGCCAGAAGAAAACATTATCCTAGCATCGCTGCTGATGGCCGAGATCGGTGTGCACTCCATTGCCTATGCCTTTCCTAAGGTGAGCTTGGAAATGAACAATAACATTTACATACGTTTTAACCGTGATTTCCCCTTTTTGGCAGGTTAAAATTGTTACTTCCGCTCTGGATCCAGAGATTAATAGTAAGTTTTATGTTATACCCGGCATTGGTAACTTTGGCGATCGCTATTTTGGTACGGAACCCTCCGATGAATATTAAGGCGATCCGGATCAATCCACATCCACTACCATCAAGTTTCTAATGTACCTTAGGTTAAGTTCAAAGCGTTACTTAAATTATGAATTCGGAACGAGACCTTGTTTTATTTAATCAGTTAAAGAAACCGTATAAGTAACTGAATCAGAAAAGCTAGACTTCCTACCACCAAGGCAATGCCAACATAGCGTTGTATTATCATTTCCCTGCTCCTGGTTTGGACTTTATTCTCCGGTACCTCCTGCTTATTTGCACATCTCGTCCAGTCACGTTCGTCATCCAAAATCTCTCCAACCATACTGAATTTACTAGCGCTTGTTATTCTCACATGGACACGAGTACCAAGAAGATTTTCCCGCATAGGTAGTAGTACTTGCTCGTAGCTCTTGTTGTGGCCCACATAGTGGAGCTTGTCGTGTGAAATTTCTGTGACCAGAACGGTGTATATTTCACCCACTCTTTCCGAATATGGTTCATAGCTGTAGAAAAGATCTGTAAGCCGTTTGGTTCGTTTTTTGACAAGATTCGCTGGTATGCGCTCCATTTTAGCAGCTGGAGTTCCCGGACGTGGAAAGAATTGATTAATGAACAGGCTAGGAAATCGGTACTTGGCGCATAATGTCATCGTCTCTTCAAAGTCCTCCTCTGTTTCTGTTGGGAATCCACAAATTATATCAGTGGCAATCGTGACACCGGGAACACGCTCTCTTAAGAAATCCACAACATGCTCGAAATCCTGCCGGCAGTACTCTCTCTTCATTTCACCTAGCACGGAGTCACTACCGCTCTGTAAAAAGGGAATAATTAGTCAATGATAAAATATATTTCCCCAAAAAACTCCTAACCTGCACGGGAACGTGCAAAAATCCGTAGACCCTCGGATGCTGAAGAACCTTTGCTACCTCCTCGAGGTGCTCCAGAATATAGGGTGGATTGGTCATGCCAACACGAAGCATACAGTGTTCTGGGATTACTTCCACCAACTGCCAGAGTAATTCCGGCAGTGAGCTCCCTATGTCTCGACCGTAAGCTCCAGTATCTTCGGACGTTAGCCAGATCTCACAGCAGCCTTCAGCGAAAGATTGGCGGGCACGTGCTACAACCTCTTCGGGTGGATAGCTGGCCAGATCTCCACGGGCATGCTTGGTCTTGCAGTAGGTGCATTGATTTAGGCATCCGGAATTGACGGATATGATCTCGATCAATGGATTTTTGCGAACCTTGGGAAGTGAAAGCGAAGCTCCAGCCACCCGCCTACCATGGACCTTCTTCTTGTTTTGCAGCAGTTGGACACTGTGACCCTTAAGGGTCTCCTCAACGACCTCCACCACTCGATCAATCTGCTGGACACCAATTATGGAAAGACCGTTTAGGTAGTCCGATTTCGGAGCTCCCTGCGGGACACATCCTGCGACGACTACGTGTTTGCCATTTCGCATGCCGGACTCGATTTCATTGCGAAACGTGTCCTCCGAGGGATTCTTCACCGTGCAGCTATTGAGCAGCCAAAGATCAGCCTCCTCCTTGCCGCTTAATCTGTATCCAAAGGCAGCCAGCTGACCGGCCATGTACTCCGAGTCCGAGTTGTTGTGGGCACAGCCCCATGTTTTAACAAACACCTTTTGGGTGCCGGGAATCACACTCTCGTGAATCGTGGGTTTTGATTTTTCCTCTGCCACCTCGGTTTCAGGACGGATTTGAATGCGCTTCTTGGCCCGCACTGTCACGTTTTTCTTATTTTCGTAGCGCTCTCGCGGCTTCACATCGTCGGCGGATATCAGATCCTCGATATCGTCTACATCGTTTCCCGGCAGATCCTCTCCAAGATGGTACATAGCTGATTCGTGTCTTGCTTTTGGAGTCGATTCCAAGGCACATGTGCAACACGTCCAGCTGTTTACATTCAATCTTCTTCTTAACTTTCACAGTGTTGTAAACCGCGAGTTGGTAGTCGATAGATGAAATCGATAATAGGCCAGGCCTGTTATAATCAAGATACCCTACAACAAAGAGTCTGCGCTTGCTTAACTAATTTTGTCGCTTAAATGGTTTAAACATTTTGAATTAATTATAATTTTTTCAAGCTTTGTTTATATCTACATTTCAACTCTTTGTATTGCTTTTCAGGTTTTTAAATAAGACAAAATAAAAATTTAAAAGAAATGGCCTTCCCCTGAGCTTTACGTTGCCTTATTTTTAAGTTAAATGTTATACGATTTTATCATATTTTAAAATTATATTGATAAATTGATTAAATCTGCTTAATTACACACCCACAACAACGTACTGACTGTCAGTTTTAAAATGCCCGAGCTTTTGCGGCCTATGCACCCTACCGTGTAGACACACAGTTATCAGAGCGCTATCAGCGTGAACATTCTACTCTGCTCCAGACCGCCGTCACAGCAGCCTGCAAAAGCACAATCCGTCGCTAGCCATGATTACAATTAAATGTAAAGACTACAATCTGGATCCCCTTCCGATCAAGGTGAGTTCAGGGCCCTTCCAAAATTAAGCAGCTGCTTTTCAATATACGAAAAATAATGCCACAGATTGGAATTGTTGGCGGTTCGGGACTTGATGACCCTGACATCTTAGAAAACCGCCAGGAGCGTGTGGTGGAAACGCCCTACGGAGAGCCATCAGATGCCCTGATCGAGGGCGAGATCAATGGAGTCCAGTGCGTGCTTCTGGCGCGACATGGACGCAAACACGACATCATGCCCTCCAATGTCAACTACCGGGCTAACATTTGGGCCCTACGCGATGTGGGCTGCACGCACTTGATTGTGTCCACGGCTTGTGGTTCCCTGCGTGAGGAAATCAAGCCGGGCCACCTGGTTATTCCACATGACTTTATAGACAGAACTACCAAACGCCTGCAGACCTTTTATGATGGCAAGGCGAAAAGTCCACGTGGTGTTTGCCACCTGCCAATGTATCCAGCATTTAGCGAACGCACCCGCAACATCCTACTCGAGGCCTCGAAGGAGCTGGAGATCCCCGCTCATGAAAAAGCCACCATTGTGACAATTGAGGGTCCGCGTTTCTCCTCTCGCTCCGAGAGCCTCATGTTCCGACAGTGGGGCGGAGACCTAATAAATATGACCACATGCCCAGAGGTGGTGTTAGCCAAGGAGGCGGGCCTACTCTACGGATCGGTGGCAATTGCCACCGACTATGATTGCTGGCGTATGGGATGCGAGGGTGTCAATGTGCAAGATGTCCTACGTACTTTTGCCGAGAACGTTGTAAAGGTAAAGAAGATCCTGGTCAATGCAGTAGGACGCATTGCCAAGGAGGACTGGTCGGAGGACGTATTGAATGCCAAGGTGAGTGAACCAAAATATATTCTTAAATTATGTAAATCATGTTTACTTGTTTATAGCAATGCGTTTGCAACAACACCATGTCTGGGGCCATGTGACGTTTTATAAAACTTTGCCATGAAATAACCGAAGAGACGCTGATTCGCCGCAAGATATATGTAAAACCGTTCTACCAACAGTTCCACAGAAAACGAGGACCCAAAGTCCACTCCATATCCATTACATACGAATTGGATCCGGAGGACACTAGACAGCCAGTAAAAACTCCAAGCAAATGTGAAACTGTAACGTCTGCCTCAGCGTCGCAGTAAAAAAATATACATATGTATGTAACTACAAACTTCTCCTTAATCAAGTGTAAACTATTTCTCTGAACGTTTAAAAACCAGTCTGAATAATGCGACACTTAAAAGTTCACATTTATATAATTACATAGAGTTGCGTCTTTAAAATTAAAATTGGAATTCGATAGCGCTGTATTTACGGGCACTTGCGCTCCACTTGGCTTTTTCCAGCCTCCTCGTACTCCTGCGATGATATCCACATTTGTTGGAAAGTGCCTATGCTGGCTAGAATAGAGCCACCAATCCAGGCTCCGAACCTTCGCTCCACGCTGCCATTGGCGGAAATCATTTTCAGACGCGTGTTGGAGGGAGCACGCAGCTGCAGATCGCGATTTAAGCGCTCCGGGAAGCCTTGAAGAAGAGTATTTCCACCTAAGAGCATAAAATTGTTTTTGTTTTTTTTTTAGTTACCGGAATAAGTATTTAGAGCTTTAATAAATTCCTACCGGTAACCACAACTGAACCAAAGAGTGACAGACGCACATCCGCATCACACATGCCTACGCTGGTGGACGCCAGTTGTCCAGCTCCCAGCATTGCGTTGTCGAAAAGACTCTCAGCTATCTTGAAACGCTCAGAACCAAAATCCTGGTGATAACCATTGGGAAATTCATAGTGCACTGTCGGGATCTGGGCTGCAACCCGTTCGTCGAAAGGATTCTCCAGTACCTGTAGCACGTTCATTTGGAAGTCCTGCATCATCAATTGCAGCATGTAGTTCTGCCAGGATTGCGTCAGATTTTCAGGCAGTTTACGCAGCGTAAAGCGTCCATTGTCGCGCTCTTTAACGACATCCTTGGAGGCTATTTTATACACCGGCGACAGATCAATGCCGTGCTTCTCTAGGTGCTGACGACACTGCCGAGAAAGAAAGTCGCCACCCAGCGGGGACTTTACCACCGCCTGCGACAGCACGTAGCCCTCGTGAACGGGAACGGCCGAAGTGTGGGTGGCTCCGCTATCCACTACCAAAGCAGTGGCTCGTCCGCTGGAGAATGCAGCCAGGACAGCGTTTTTTACCAGGAAGAAAGCCGGAACGTTGTACTTCTCGAACATTAACTCAGTTAACTTCTCACGATTATTGCGCACATTCCACGAGGCCTCGGAAAAGAGCACGGGATGGTATTCCGGCTCTGACTGTATGACATTGGTGTAGGCGTAGTCAATCACTTTCTCAAAGAGGTCCCAGTTATCTATCATTCCGTCTTTCATGTAGGTCTGAACTTCCATCTGGGAACGGGGCACATTAACGTAATTGGTGTCCACATAGAATTTGCGTTGGTCAGCATCTATAGGTATTATGGGATAGTTAAGGGTGGTTTAAGGCTATTAACTTAAAAATGTCTGAAGAAAAACATACTATTTGGCGTGGCATTGTTATCCGTTTTGGTCTCCGGATCGAGATTGGTTTCGGGAGCAGCTCCAATCCCAACAACTGAGGGAATCTCCGCCTTAGGCGAATCCTCCTGCGCGTACCCCACTCGCAAGGAGTGATGTCCGGGATCAAAGACGAGGGCTCCAATCTCGTCGCCGCCATATAACATGGTGCCACCACTCATCTTGGGGCGATGAAAATACTTTTCTTCGCGATTTATTCAAGATTTACCGGAAAAACTCTAAGTCTGTGTATATTTTGCGGCTTTTTTCACGACGCTTCTTCCTCGTTAGAGATGCACTGCTAAGTTATCGATAGCTGTTAGCAAAATATCGCAGTATCTTGTTATCATCTTTACCATTGAGTCATCGATGGTTGTTTTTGAACGATCGGCATCTCTGCCAATTTTGCTTGCAAACAATTGAATTGAAATATTTGTTTTTTCGTTAATAGTGCCAATTACACGCTGCTATATTATTATATTTTAAAATCCACTAATAATGTGGTAGCTTAAGCACAGAAATAATAAGTTTGTCATATCGGAGAATAATTTTTGAGAGCGTAAGAACTTCTAGCCACCTACCACATTTGTATAAAAAGTTGAATACTTTTATTTAATCCCCATAGTTTTAAAATGAGCAACGAAAGCCCCAAGAAAACGATATTTCCTTCAAACATTCCCCAAATGGAGATCAATATATCCAACGTGAATTCCAATGGCCAGATCGTGTTGAATGATGTGTTGCTCATGGAACTGCTCTGCAGGTACCACTTTCTCATTAGCTGGCAGGAGACCGATAAAGACGAGGATTACGGCTCCTGGGGATGGAGTCAGGTGACTAAGTCCTTCAACGAGAGCTATGAAGGCGTAGAGTTGAGCACTCCATTCTCGTTGGATGAGCTGAAGTGGCGGTGGAGTCAACTTTCTCCGGTTATCGGTGCCTTGTCCAAGGCAAAAGGACAAATACCTGATTCTTTGTGGCAGGTTATGGGGAATGTCCACAACCGAATCACAAAAGAGAAGGAGCCGGCTGTGCCAAAGACCGAGTGCCAGGAATTCCTTCTAAGTCAGTTGCATACTCTGCAATCTCTATCACAGTTGGAACGACGGCGATTGGAAGTGGAGGTTCTAGACCTAATTTTGCAGCAAGACCACCTGGAGAACGCCACCCACAACCTCGGACCCAAGGAAGAGGAGGCGGCTCAGAGCGAATACAATGAGTTCTTAAAGGCAATACGGGTCAAGGAGCTCCCAGCTGACACTTTAGAGCGTCTAGCAATGGACGGATTCTGCATTACCCCGCATACAAATAAGATGTTAGGAATTAATAATCAAAATAATACACTGAGTTCCACAATTGTCAGTAATGGATCAATCGACCTTGTTGAAATCAAAAGCGAACCAACGGATGAAACTGAAAGTGCGGCTAAATCTAATACGGAAAAAATTGAAAATCTTCGCTACGTGCCACTGAAAAGTGCCAAGCATTACATTAAAAAGCTTCGCATCCGGTTAAAGCGATTGGACTTTGATGAGATTTTACCATTAGCAATCATTCGACGATCTAGTCGGTCTTCTTTGAAACCTTGACTTTGTTTCGTATCAAATGCACATAAGTTTATTAAAAAATACATTACTATAAATTACAACTTAAGGCTATTGTATAATCCGAATCGCATTTTATAATTCGCTTGCTTTGCATTCTCAAAAAACTAACAACTAAACAAACAAGGAGCTGGGAGCGGGAGAGTCTAGATAACTGGAGAGCGGGTTAGCCGGGTCAGGAGGAGGTCAGGACTTGTACTATGCACGTTGTCTAGGAGCCGCCGGGTTCGTTCGATGCTTATCAGTAATCAGTTATGCTTTACATTACACAATCGTCAACAGTTACTAAAGAACGCAATTCAACAGGTCTATACGAAATACAGTCGTTGCTAGAAAGCGCAGCAGTTAACAAGAAACAAACAATGCGGGTGAAAAAACTAACAATCGGTTATAGCTGCTGCTTCCTCAAAACAGTTGGTCCGCCAAGTTGCCAATGAAGGTGGCTAGGTTCATGGAGGAGCCCTCCTTGAATTTCAGTCCAATCGTCTTGCCATAGGCTTGTATAAAAATGGCACGCACGGCATTTAGGCGTTGCTTTCGTCTGAAATTATTAAAAAGAATCGAATCTATAATTGTGAATAGTAGGGGAAAATTATCAACAGTTTAACAACATAAACTAGTATGGGGCGTAAATATTCTTGACTTTAGATCGGTCTTAAACTCACAAGTTTATGCATTGCTTGCTGGCCATTGAACTGCCGCCTATGTCTTTAGAGGAACCATTTGCGAAACCGTGCGTTGAGCTGCCATTGCTGTTGCTGCTCCCACTTCCACTTCCACTGCCGCTCGATGCTGTGTTGGTGCTGCAGTGGTAGCCATTGCCACCATTATACAGAGGAATGTTTGAGGAGCCGCCACCTTCAGCCGCCTGTTGAGCCACAAACCGCATCATGTAGCTACCATTCATCATGGAGTCAATGGAACCCGTATCGGTGACCACCTGCCAGCTGCCATTTGAGGATGTAGACTCCTGTCTTTGTTGCGCATTCGAGCCGGGTACTGATATGGGGCTGGTTCTGGATCTAAAAAAAGTGTTTGCGTTATTAAGTAAGGATTTCATTTAAACAAAGGTCTTCTTACCTCTTCGGATTGGGTGACCTGCTCGTCAACGGATTGACTTGCGCTGGCGTAGTGGCATAGAAGTTATCTGTTATGGACATATCACAGTTGGAACAGTTTGAATAGCTGTCGTTGCTATCTTGATCGAAGGCCAGGATGTAGTCTCTATAAGATAAATTCATTAATAAAGTTTCTATTCAAATCAAATTCAAATTATCCAGTATACTCACTCCTTGAGTGGTTCATCGTCACAGCAGTCGGATTTGATCACTATGACACTGCTGCCGCTGCTGCTGGATGTCTTTGTGCGCTTCCGATGCTCTACTATGCTGTACTCTTCGTCTGTTATGAACTTGAGCACATGGAAGCAGAAGAACATAATGTCCTCGCCTCTTTTAAGGCGATCGGGCAGTTGATGGCCAAACAGGTACCAGTCATAGGCCAGTGTGAAATACGCCATTTGCATGGCGTTCAGCGACTGATGAATGAGTCCATCGGCCCATAGGGACAGCCTGACCAAGGAAACAAACAGCGGAGTGCGATCCCAGCCGCTGATACAGTGAATCAGCAGGCCGGAGCTCTCCTCCTGAACATATTTAAGCGTAGCTCTCAAATAGTTTTGAGTGATGGCCACCAGATCCCAGTCCCTGTACTCCGGCCACACCACATCGATATCCGCCGCGGGTCCCATGTTGGGTATATTGATGTTCGCATCGTTAAATGACTGTTTCCAGTTGTAGTGCAGGTTGCTTGCCATGTAATTGTTGTCCCGGAACTTTTTAAAGAACTCACAACCCGGATACGGCAGGGATAGAAGATTAAAGCTCTTATAATGCTTGTTCGGATCCGCCTTCTCTGATGAAGAAACGCTGAAAGTAAAAGACAAGTAATTAGATCAAAAATTCAGCACCAGGGTTTTAAAGGCAACTTACGCCATAAAGTATTTGATCTTGCGGTTCTCCACCATAAGGTCCACAATGGTGGAGACGTTGAGCGTGTGAAGTAGCTGTATGTCACTCTTAATCACCTCGTCGTAACTGAACTGCGACTGCGCCTGGTCGTGCATGTGGGTGATTAGCGACTCGTCCGTGGAGTCAGCATCGTTCTCCTCTCCGTTTGGCGCCGTGTAATTGCCACCACTCAGACAGTCATAGGCATAGTCCACCACCTTTCGGCCATAGGTTTCTGGCATCACGGATAGAGTGGCCGATCGGCAGATATACTTCCCGCGGTACATGATCACGGGCACCGCGAATCTTTGACGGCATCTGGCGTATTTGGCCATCGTTACCAATTCCCGCATTCGTTGGATATCGTACTGGTCCTCGTAGATCGTATTTTGGGATTGCTGTTGCGATGGCTGCTGTTGCTGCTGGAGAGGATTTGGCTGTTGGGAGGGATATTGCGGGTGAAGGGGATGTGACTGTTGCGAAGGATATTGCTGTTGGAGAGGCTGTTGCTGTTGCGTCTGCAGGGGATTTGCAAAGGTCACAAAGGCCTGGATGCCCACACCCTCGCTACCGGTGCTTCCGGCGCTGCTGTTTAAAGGTGTGGCAGTTGCTGTGGTTCCGGAGGATCCTCCTCCTCCCAATCCACCGCCAACTGGCCCAAACAGACCATTTCCCGGTATCAGCGTCTTGGCCATGTGTCCGTGCTCACATTCCGGAATGAGTATTCGGCCAGGATAACGAGGGCTAAGCAGTCCATTTGTATTGTCCAGCTCAATGAGGCTGTAGTCGAGTTTAAACAGGTATTCGCATTTCTTGGAGATCTCATACTCCTAAAACAAAGATAAAGTTTGCAAATATTATTAATATGAAGTTTAACCACTTACAGAAATCTCTAAAGAAAATTTGATTTAAATTTTGCACAAAGAAATCTATAAGAAACCAATCGCCAAGTAATATTACAGATAAAGACATATTATAGAATATAATATTACGTATACGTATGGGTTTTTATCTGCCCGTTCAAGCTGTCACTCAGGGGATACCCAATTACGTGGATCGAGGGTATTTGTTTGCTAGATATTCGTTCTGATCCCCTTACCACTGATCTCTGACTGGACTTTGGGTATTAAAGCCATAAAGTATTTGACGGTCGTTGTGTAAAGTCAATTGTTTGCATAAATCAGCAATGCCGGCGTTGTGTCTTAATGGACAGCGAGATTAGAACGCGGAGTGCAACTGGTTTTCATGTATTCGCAATGTGTATATAGACATTCCTACAACGAGTTCAATGGAACTTGGACGTTCCCGGGTAGGAGAACTGGAATCTGGAATCTCGAATCTGTCGACTTCGACTGTCTATCTCCCACTCAAGGGTTAAAATATATAAGCGAATGGACCAAGTTACATTACCAAATAACCAAAGAGATAATTATATAATAATCTTAATTCTTTGCTAATTGCTTAAAACGAATATTATAAATACGATTTTAAAATATTACATAACAAAATAAATAAGTAGTTAATTATATTTATTAATCACTTCGATTTTTTCATTATTAAATATAGTTTACAAAATTGGTTTTTTTGTAATAATCAGCAAAAATTCTAAAGGTTTTACAGACACACGCTAAAAATAAAAAAAAAAAGACTAGCAAGGGGGCAGTGGCGGTGGATGGTGGGCGTGGCCCCCAGCCAGATGTCCCAGACAAACAACTACAACCAGATAAAAGCATAATAATAAAAACAACTACAAAATACAACCACAAACACCTTGGGGAAACAGGTTTTTAGCTCACAAAGAGAAATGTGCAAATAACAAAGAAAACTATAAAAAGGAAAAGACCAAAGCTGCGCAAAAATTAGCAACAACAAAACCGAAGCAGCGAGCAAAACAAACCCGATGAAAACTTAGTGGAGCGTAAGTGTGTCTGTGTAGCTGAAAAACTACTACACATACACTGTGCGAAGCGAACGAGCAAAACAACTAAAACGCAATTACAATTACCAACGAAAAGCCGAAGGGAACACGCAAAAACAACTGAATGTTTATGGCGTTTGTTTTGTATTTTTTGCCACTTAAAAATTGCATAAGCCAAACCATCCAAAATTGTATATGTATGTATAAATGTTAAGTTTAGCCTCTCTTTTAAATACAAAACAAAATCGCAATAGTCAAAACAATGCTTATCTCTCTGTTTGTATTGTTTACTGTATATTTGCAATAGGCTCTCAGGTTTATATTTTTTCTCTTGCAGTGTTGCCCATTTGACTACTTTTTAAGACGCAAGATTTGAGTCCATAAATTTAATTGGGATTACAATAATCTCAAAATATTATTTTACACTGCTTATTTTAAAAACATTAAACTTACATTTCTGTAATGAAAGAGGTATTCATGATTTTGGATTCTGTGTTCATATATTTTTTTCTTACCTCGTTCAATGCTATTTATAAATCATTTTTAAATAGTTTAATATTTTTTACGGCTCACAGCTTTTAACAGCTACAATACCCAACACTGCCTCTCAAAGGATGAGAGTAGTAGCGTATGAAAGAGATGGGATGCCGAAAAATGGAGAACAGAGAAAAACTTATTGATGGCTTTCGTGTGAGTGTGAGTGTGCTCCAAGTTGGAGACGCTGCTATTACAAAGCAGTCAGTCACACATGCACATACACACAAAGAGCACAAAGCGGTTACTGTTGTTGTGTGTATTGAACTGCTTGCTCACTGCTTCTGTTGCCGTTGTTTCGTTGTTGCTGTCGTTTATTTCTTTTTTGTTTTTGTTTTTCTTTGTAAGCGAGTAAATGCAACTGTAACTGCAACAGCGTTGCTTGAAAAACTGAGCTCCTGTTCCAAAGGCGCTGTAAAACTTAAAAACAACAAACAGACGCTCGATGAAATAGTTACAGCGTGAAAAATAGTTGGCGAGCGTGTTGTGATCATTAAGCATCATCATCATTATCATTATCGTTTTCATCATCGTTGACCCAAATAATGCAATTTAAACCGAAGGCTGGCTCGAAACCCAAGCTTGTCTCACAAACCCGGATTTTAAAGACTCTGCCGATGCTGGGCCACCAGAAAACCAGCAGAAGCTGCAAAGTGCGACACACTTTTCTTCTCCCTCTCTCTTTCTCTTAAAAAAAAGAAACAAGCGGAAAATAAAGCAGAAAAGCTGAAAAAAACACATACAACACAACGGCGACAAGAAACCGCACAGCTGAAAATAATCGTACTCGTACTCGTGCAATCGAACCGAGAAAACCACCAACCGAACCGAACCAACTCGACCAAGCACAGGGAATCAGCAAAAGAAAAGAGTGCCGAGGTCGTCGATTAAGTACGGTCTGACTCCTTTAACTCCGACTTCTTAATAGTCAAATTCCCATTAAGCGAAAAATTTTTAGTGACTTAATGCTATAAAGGCGGCATGTTAGGTTTAAACATTTAATTAAAGTTCTGTATAGGAAAAAATTGCACAAAAAGCAATTCAACTTTACGTGACTTTGAGAAATCAACGTTGCCTAATTTGAGTTAAGCTGCAAATCAAATAAATAAAAAAAATTATACAAAATTATATCAAGCTTAAAATTTGCTCTAGTTTAAAATTCTTAACAGAATTGCCCGTTAAGTATGTACTTCGTTCATATTAAATTATTAGAACTGTACTGCCCTAAGCTACTTCTACCTCCTTGTCTCTTTTTTTTTTTTTTTTTTTTTTTTTTTGAAAAGAGCAACCTGAAAAGCTAAAGAAGGCGTCTGTGTGCAAGCCACACGTTGCATATTCATCAATTTGCCGGAGACAGGGAAATGGCTTTTCTTGAATGAATTATTCAGTGCTCGAACTGAGGCTTAAAACTGGGGCCACTGACCACACCCAAATGACGGAGTGTTTCGCTTTTAATTCTCGTTGTTCTTGTTTACATGATTTATGCTTTGCGCTTTAAAAATGTGCAACGTGTTGTTCCCGTGTCGTTTTATTGTTGTTATTGTTATTGGTTTTGTTTTCGTCGGCGTTCAAAGACCCCCAGATGCCATAAAAACAAGTTGCGCCCACGTTTTAAACCCTGAATCGGCAATTGGGATCAGGTTCCAAATCAAGGTATTGAATTTGAAGACAGGGTATAGTTCTGCTGAGTTGGTTTATCTCAGAAGTTTTTTTTATTGTTTATAAAAATAATTATTTATACTTCCTCTGTCTTTCATATGTAGAACTATGATCCCTTTGTTTATCCCCACAAAGCAAATAAATACAAAGCGGAAATTGCATTGTTTTAAGGTTTTTATTACGCCCAAGAGGCAGGATTTATTATAATATCTCTGATTTCCTTCCCGTCTTTTAAACTTATTTTTTATAAAAATATCTTCCTATATATCTTTTCTTTCCCCATGATTCCAGTTAAGCGTCTCTCTCTTAATTTATGCAATATCATTCAGCCACATCAATGTAAGATATTAATGATATTTTTATATGCAAATTGCCAGTGCAGTTGATTTGCATTTACTTCTCTGGAGTGCATAAATATCACATAGGTGAAAAAACACTCGACAGTGTGTGGGACAACTTTCGAAAGGCATTGAAACCGCTTTGTGGGTGATACACCTCACCATGGTCTAAAAAACACGTTTGAGCCGGAAGTTTTTTTTTTAGTTTGCCGCATCTTAGAGCCAAAATGATTTTTGCTCACTTACTACCTCCACATAAGAGCACCTCAAAAAACATCGCAATGCCAATAATTGAGCGCAATATAAATGACATCCAGCCAAGTGGGCGTTTTGAACAATGAACATTAGTTTGAGGGGGTATTTACTTCTTTTTAGAAATCTATTCATTATTTGCTTAATTTATTCGCCAGACAGTCAGGAAGAGATTTTCCCTCGCCCACACGCGACTACACGTTGTTCCCACAACCAGAATTCAAGTATTTCCTCGAGGCCCCGATCGCCTTTTCTCGCTTTCTGATTTCCCATCAGCCAGTTCAGTGTAATGTGAAAAGAAGGTCAACTGAATAATCGATTAATTTTGGCAAAATCAGCATGGGATAACAGAAAAAAAGTGCTGTGGTATAGAAAATTCTACACAGCTAACAAGATTTTGATAAATTTTAAGTGAGAGTTTCCTGGTTTAAAATGTAATATTTCAGCTCAAACATGTTTACTTACATACAATTAATTTTCATGTTTCCTGATTAGATAGAAAATATATATAGTTTTTACATCTTCATTAGCAAACCAACTAAAGTCTGATTTCAACATAATCATGTCAGGGCTGACCTTTTTCCCAGTGCTTTAATGTTAAAAGGCAACAAATTACAATCAATAAAAATACATACACACCACTGAAAAGTATGTTTAATCTTGAGCTGAACAAAATTTCTGTGCTCCTGTTAAGTCGTTGTATTGCAAACACACAACTTTATATTATATTTCCCTCGTGCTTTCAGAAACATCCCCTGTTTTCTGGCAAACGAATGCCGATCCCCATTCCAAAAACCGAGTACCAAACTCCCTGAGAATAGTTGACTAAAACGGCATTGCCATTTCGCACATTATCGATTTTATCTGTCAGGGAGCAGGCGCCCATAAATGCAAAGTTAGTGGTTAAAAATCCGCAGCATCCGGTAACCACACATTTCTGGGAAATCGGTGGAGTAGCGAGTTTATGTCGAATTGCGCCCTTCTTCTAATCATGCTTGCATGGTCGCCCCGGATGCTAGGCAGTTAGTCCGGAATGCGCAAGAAATTCCGCACAAGGGTGTTTCAAATTTCACATTTACTGCACTCCGAATGATGTGGAGTGGTGGGCAGCATCCACAGGGGTAGCGGGGAGGAAAAATATAGTGCAACAGACATATATCTGGAAACATTGGAATCCCTTTATCGGAGTGGCCCTTAATCAAATCGAACTAGCCGGCTCTCTCTCTTTTCCGGACATGCGCCCGTTTGGCTGCTGCATCTCCGATAAGAGTTGGAAGCGCAGCTGCTTTTATTACTACCGATACACAGATGCACTTCCCCTCCAGAACGCCAACCTCGCGCTCTCTCTTTTTCCCTTTGCATCTAACTCTCTCTCTCTCTTTATAGGGCGGCATTTATATAATGGAAACCTTCACTTCGACTCCTGCGTTCCTGGCACAAGTGTCTGTGGTGCGACCCACGCACCTTGCAGCAACAGCTGGCCATTGGATACATTTGAACACCAAGCAAACACAGACATACACAAATACTGCGACGAACAAGGGGGCGGCAAAGGGGTTGCACATTCAAACGCGTGGGCGCAAAGTTCAACGTGCAACAGGCCATCATAAAAGGGTGCTGGATCCCAAAATCACCAGTGCACAGTGGAAATGTTTTTGCAAATGCAATTTTGCAGGTACAAAAAAGAGATTACAGAATTAGAGTTAAAAACATATATAAAGATATGTTATTAATTAAACAATTGTTTAATATTAGTTTAGTAAGAAATTTAGCTATAAGTTAGTCAAGCAAATAAAAAACGTATAATATAAAATCAATAATAAACAAATCCAAACCAATATTTAAACTTCATTGATATTCTAACAATTTAAATTCGTTTTTTTTTTTTGGTTTTAAATTATATTTTTTTAAAATTAACATAAATTGTACTATAAACATTGACCTGCTTTTCATGGCAATTCTATTTTCACAGCTTTCCATGAGGTCAGCAGATAATTGCTTTTGGCATGCTTGACATGCTACCATAATGCATACATTAAAAATCAATCAAAAACAAACGCATTAACCTTGTCAATTATAATGTAGAGATAATAATAGATTAGAAATTATAAAAACAAAGTTATTAAATAAGAAATATTTAAACAAAATTTGAGATTTAAGAAGACTATCAAGAATTAATCTGAAATCAAATTTTTCACAGTACTAGTCTGCGACTTCATCCCACTGTGCCGCATTTTGGTTGCATTTGTTGCGCTGGAAGGCGTCGCACTTCCGCTCTTCCGGTGATTCCTGCGCGCCTGTGCCGCATTTTCCAAAGCGCCCACACAAATGACGCCGCACGGCTTGCAGCGCAGCTGCATCCGTTTCCGGGGGGCGGCGGTGGAGAGCGGGTATTGGCGGAGGCGTGGCCACAACACAGACTGCTGCCAACAAAAACAGGCGACCAGGAGCGGCCAGAACCAGGATATGTACTATATAATTCATACCATATCGGATTTTGCAACACACAGAGAGTCTTCACTGTCCAAATGGAACTGGAACTGGTTGCAACCCCCAAAAACGAGTGCAATCTCCGGACTGGAAGCGAGCTGCAGACTGGAAAGGGCCAAGCGGGATACACATTAATGCGGAGGAGTAGCTGCCGTCCAGGTCCTGCAGGTCCTGGGCCGAGAATAGTGTTCCAGCAGGCGCCAAAGGCTGCGCTCGCTTCGCGGCTGTTATTTCTGGTCCAATTGGTTGTGGGCTAAAAGCCAGTTGCCAAAAGAACCAGGAAAAACTGCAGCAACAACCACTCGAATCATACAAAAAACAGTTGGTTTTTCCAGATCCCAATGTAGTGTAAAATGTATTTACTTGTTTTCCATTTTTTTTCAGAAGGTGAAATTTTTTTGAAAAAGAAATCTTCGATTGACAACGATAGCAGCAACAAAAACAACAACAGGTGGGTTTTCGCCAAAGTGCAAAATAAAAAGAAATCAAAAAATTATATACATACATAAAAAAAAAAACAAAGGCGGCAAACAAAAAATGTTTACGAAAATTTGAGATATTTATAAAGAAAAAGCCTTCCTGCTATTTTTGGCATTTTCACTTGGCTGGGATTCACTTTTTGGCGCCCACACGAGCAGACATATGGCCCACCCACCCACACAGATACCAAATACAATTGCAAATGCCATATACACACTTGCATTTGCATCTGCAACAGTTTTCAATGCCATTTCGGCCAAGTCATGAAAATAAATCAGTCAACAAATTATATATACATATATATACATATATATATACTTATGTGAAAACAAAAGTGATATAATGATCAACACATTGTTAATAGATGATCAGCGCAGCCCCATTTTCCGAGAGTAAAGCTTTTTCTTTATGACACAAAATAAAATTAACCGAGAAGACAAAACTATTATTGAAAGCTTTTTAACTTGTTAGCTATTGAACATATTAAATTATATATCTTTCAATAATATTGGATTTTGCGGCCAAAATAGGAAATACAAATATCACTGAAAGAAATTTTCTTAGAGTTGTAAATTAAACATTTGATATTTGTAATCAAATTCAAAGTTTTATACCCTTTTTTCCCAAACTTTTAGTACCTAAATCAAACTAGATCAATTTAGAATGGCTGAGTATAAGCCATCAACTTCGTGGCCCCACCGGATGATGAGCTTCCAATGTCGTCAGGCGGATCTCAACCGCCTGGTGATGAACTATCTGGTTACAGGTGAGACCCACTAATAAGCTACTACACCCACTAATATTAACTTTCATTTAGAGGGCTATCAAGAGGCAGCCAAACGTTTTATGACCGAGGCAGCGGTAAAGCCAGGACCCCACATGGACACCATTGGGGATCGATTGAGGATTCAGGATGCCGTACGAGTGGGTCAAGTGAAGTACGCCATGGATTTGGCATCACGGATATATCCGCGCCTCTTCGAGACCGACAACTATGTCTTTTTCCATATGCAACAATTACGGCTGATCGAGATGATCAGGGATCAGAAGATGGAAAAGGCTTTGAAGTTTGCCCAGAGCAAGGCATCGGGATTTGCCAAGGTCGATCCCAGACATTTTCATGAGGTGGAACGGACCATGGGTCTCCTGGCCTTCGATCGTCCCGAATATAGTCCCTATGGGGAATTGATGTACTATTCATATCGCCAAAAGGTGGCAGGTGAAATAAATGCAGCCATGTTGCGTTGCCATGATGCGGAGAACAAGAGCAAAGAGGAGCCCATGGAGCCACGAATGATGTTCCTCATCAAGCTGATTCTTTGGGCCCAGGCCAAATTGGATCGCGAGGGTTGCACAGACTTTCATAAGCTTGATTTTGGCCATGGAGACTTTGAGGAGGAGTTCCGCCGGAGCTTCCAGGGTTTCTAAGGAACAATAAGCAAACAATAATTGTCCAACGATCGGTCGGCGTCTACTGCGAAAACTACATAAATGTATTTTTTTTTTTAGAAAATCTACACATATAAACGTATTTTTTTTGGCAAACCTACAAATATAAATGTCATTTTTTTGAATGGATGTTGAATATTAAATATTTCCATATCTTGATGTAAACTGGAACAAACCGATTTTTCTCTCTGGGTATGGGCTGAGAAATTTTCTAAGACTTTTGCTGATAAGGCCCGTTCTAAAGCGCATATTAATGTGTCACGTGCCAACCGAAGAGCTATTTATAATGTTTTTTTTTTGTTTGTTCCGATAAGAGAATGAGTTCAAAAAATGTATGAGGCTTTGGAAGTGAATTTTTGGTTCTTTTATTGGATTTAGTTTGAAAAGATTAGCTGAGCTTTCAGTTAACTTTTGCTTAAGAAACCCCAGATCATCTTAATTTTTATTTCTTTTTAAAGACTTTATATATCTCCCTATAATTTTTATATAAATATATTATTAGTACAAGCTATAAACAAGTGATGAGTAAAATTTTGTAAAAGTATTTTATAATTTAGAATCTAATGAACTTTAAAGTCCCTATTGCTATTTTATTTACTGTAAAATTTAATTTTTCACACCGTTCGCCGGCGTTTTCTCTGTTCTCCTGGGAGCTTTTTAAAGTTATGGCTGGCCTACGTCATTGGCATTAATATTGTGCCATTGGCTGGACACCTAATCTAATCGGTGTAGCTAAACTTAACCCTGAACCCTGCGGAGACGGGAAAATAAAATCAGAGAGAGAGAGAGAGAGGGAATCGCACACATAATTCACCCTTTGCACCCCATCAAAAATGCAATGGGTTGTATCAAGGGGCAGGCAGCTATTTGTTTGTGCCTTCAAATCACTGGCAGATAAGGAAAATACTTGAACAAAATCAAATCGAAGGTTGTCGTCGGTCCCGTTGTTTGATAAACAAAAAAACAATGCCAAACCCACACGTTTGCAACAAAGTATTATCCCTTGGCAAAGGCAGTTTATCAATTATATGAATGTGCCAATTGCAGCTAAGCAAACACATGTAAGATCGCCGCAGAAACGTGAGTTACGTGCCAAGTTTTCACTTGCCATTTCTCGATCTGTTTCCAGGTGCCTTGGCTTTAGTTTAGTTTTTTTTTTTTTTTTGCTAAATATTCACTAGTACTATTGCCATGCAAATCCACTGTTGCCAAGTTGCCATCCCAATTGTTATTCTCTGCTATTGCCGGTTAAGCGGACGATAACACGGAATTACATACTAGACTATTAAAAGCCGTGCGTGACATTCAAAAGGGGGTTAGAGTGGTCTGGGTTGTACTGAAAGCTAAAGACAAAAGTCGGGCAAAAAATAATGCACATTAATGCGTGAGTCGAGGGAGCAAGCCTTAGAAAAGCCATTAGGCGTTTTATTACCGTGTTAACGAAACATAGTTGAATATTAAATTTCAAAGGCAATACGAGAACAAAAGCAATAACGTTTTCCGGTTTTTGGAAAATCGGCTTGAAGAGATCTTGTAAGTAAATTAAAGCTTATTAAATCGAGCTCAATCAAAGGAAATATTACAGATCTAAGCTCAATGCGATGGGCTTAATATTATTTTGATTAGTTAATTTAACTAAAGATTAATACGCATTATAAAAACAATCTGAATATTATTATTTCACTGTGAGTCAGTTTCAGTAAGGAATACTTTTACAAATAGAAAATTGGTTACTAAATAATCAGCTATGTATAAGGTTATCAACGGTTAATTATCCTTTTAAGGTTAACAGAGAACCTAGTGTGTGACTGCCAATAAACAAAGCCATCTCCTGGGTAATCCTACTCCTGGGTAATCCTACCTCCTATTCAAATCAAATGACACGTTTTAGGGCCTATTGATTGCCATGAAAATGCGATTTTCATTGCGGAAAGCTTAATGGCGGCCATTTTCAGTGGCTGAGTATATTTGGGGCGCGGCAAAAAGCAGACGAAAGTCAAAGAGGAAGAAAAAAGGAATGAGGATAGAAAAGAAGAGAATAAGAGCAATAGGAGGACAGGACATTATGACGTGTCCTCGACTATGGCGCCACGCACACTAGCACGTCAAGCTTTTCACTACTGTGTGTTTTTTTGCGGCGACAGCACGTGCACGTGCGCCTAAATGTATGTCACACCCACACATTGCCAAACTTACCGTCGTTCCTTCCTCAAAGGCCGTCGCCTCGAAGGACTTTTTTTCGAAAGTTTCCAATAGATTGTGTAGGTCCTGCTGAGTTACGTTGACCATGTTGTTTAACGTCAAGCTGCACATTTTTGCGTCGCTGCATTTACCGTTCGATTTCTTTCTATCCTCTTAATTACAACCACACACACACAAAACACCAGAACGCACACTTACGGTTACACTTAAAAAAGTTGCCAAATATGAACAATTATTCTCGTGACTTTTTTTGTTCTCTCTTTTTTTATTTTATCTGCTGCGTATTTTGAGTCGCGTTTATCGCTTCTACGACGCTTACACGTTTCGCTTTTCGCGTTTGTTTGCTTTGCTTTGCTTTTAACGCCCTAGAAGACGGCGACGTCATCAAAAATTCACGGTCGCTAACGAAATTTTTAATTTTTCTTCGCACTGCGCTCTTGGTTTTTATTGTTGCCTTTAAGATTCCGTTTTTAAATAATGTAGGCTACGTAGTATATTACATTCGCAACGAAAGAAAGCGTCAAACGTCAAACAGCCGCGACCAAAAAAAACAACATATAAGGTAGCGGTGGAGAAACTTCGATGGTCGCCATCGATAAGTAATCGATTATTTAAAGTTTTCTTGAATCGATTAGTATATGTGTGAACAGAACTTTTGGTTCAGAACTTCGGATAATGCTAGCTTGAACTTAAACCGTTTTGGGTTATTTATTGACTTGTTTTTATACCCGTTACTCCTAAAGTAAACGGGTATATTAAGTATTGAAAAGCGCAATCGCAGCGCAAGACGATTTTCGCTTTTTGTAGAAAGGCGGATATCTCGGTAACTATACGAGATAAAATATTGGTACATAAGCATCAATCATGTACATAGTTTCTAATGACGCATCCAATGCGAATTATTTTTATACCATCTGGCTACGCCCACTCTTGCGCCCAAAAAGCAAAAACTATAAGAGATAGGAAAATAGGCTTAGGAATACGTATTTTAGAGATGCTACTGCAGCTCAATGCGAACGCCACGCCCACTATAACGCCCACAAACCACAAAAAAACTGTGGCATCCATGATATTATTATGAATACCTTCGTTTGACCTTGTATAAAATATTTTTGAAATTATCTATCGATTTACCAAAGATTTTTCAAATCGGAACAATATTTCATTATTTATGAAGATATTTAGGTTATAAGGAGTGACGTTACCATCAGTTACTCAACAAGCTTTCTCTGAAAGCGATTTATGAATTTCCACTAGCAAATTGAATATTTTCAAATTGTGTAAAACATAATCGCGGCACTCGGCTATAGCGTTTCTTCTTGTTTATATTTATACTTATATATATAAGAGTGAAAAATTGAGTATCCGTTTTGAAAACAAATCTGCACATATTATTATAAAATATAATTACGATAAGCAACAAATTTAATTTTTATCATCTATTACTCATAATACAATAAGTTAGTACTCATTATACAATGAGTAAGGGAATAAGTAAGTATACAAAAATTTAATCTATAAATTAAGTTGTTTTTTTTGGTATAACTTTTTAAGTTTTTTTAACTTTTGTCATTTAAAACACAATTATTGCTTAATTTATCCTGAGTACATTGCAAATAAACAAATTCAAATTAATAGAAGAGGCTTACGCTACAAGAGGTTTTCCTTTAATCCTATTGCAGATTCCTTAAGTCCTGATATGTAGGCATAAATTAATAGAATGCCTCTAATTGTATCTAAGCTTCGTTTTGATCCGCATCATTCCACTCATAAGCCGTGTAACTTGTACCAGTATTTTGACATTCTCTTGTTCTTCTTTGTGTGGTACTGGGCCTATGTCCTGGATGCATTCTAGGATGAAAGAATCAATAAATTAATGATATAAACAAAAAATATCTAGAGTTACTTACTGATCTCTTATCAGTTTTAGAGTAGTTGGCTTCAAAATGAATAACACAAATATCATGGTACCCTGGGAAAGGTTAATGCAGTCAGCCACCTGGAAAATTGTAGACCAATACGTGCTGTCTTTAACAAAAAAGGCGAAGATTTCTAAGCTCCACGACAGACCCATCACAATGAAGAGACGGAGGTACATCACATAGCTGAGATGGGAATATTCAATATAAAAGGGATTTAAACATTTTAAATTATATCTGTTTGCTGTAAGAATTACGTTTGCTTTTCCGAGTGGTTCTTAGAAGCGTTATTGGCATCTTTCTTTACTTTCTCTATAAAAGTTGCCGTGAGGATAAACATGGTTATGTTGAATATAATCGTCAATAACATCGCCCCGTAGAAGTATATCATAGCAGCATTGTTTCGCACTGTGGGGAAAAAAGAAGATGCATTAAGTGCCTCGGATACACATATATATGTAGCTGTAATCGGATTTTGGAACCCACCGTTGAAGAAACAACTGGCCTGCTCTCCTATCATAGGTCGCCAATTGACGTTCTGAACGACCCTATTGGCTAGAAAGGTGACTCCGGTCATGGACGCCGCCCAGACCCACGTGCATATGTTATAGGCCCGAAACCGATGTTCCGGCATTAGTCGGTACACTGAATTTTTGGCGTTGGTTAACTTAGCCCAGAAGTGCAGACTGATAACGGAAAGCCAGAAGTACGCAGCCATAATGAAAAAGTAGCTTAGGAATCCTACAGATGACAATGGGTTAAAGTTTCATTTTTAATTAATTGTTTTTTCACATAACCTCCAGCTGCACAGAAATACTGTAATAAATTCCACAGTTCCAAGAGCAAGAATAGGTAGCCGATGAACAGCGAGACCATGTAAGAAATGAAGCACTTGCCGTGCAAGTTATGTAGCTTCTTGACGTAAAGGTAAACGCCGATAGTGATAGCCATGCAGATCAATGATATTATCAATGCTAGAAGAATGAAAAGAAGTCAGAAGTCCGGAAGTCCGAGTAATTTAAAGATTTATATGTTAGCTTACCGACTTCTTTCCAGTTACTAGTGTTCTCCGAGGGTATACAGTAGTGGGGCGCAATTCGAATACCATCTTTGAATGCTAAATGTTGGACACAATACTGCCGCTTGTTGAAAATCAATTGGTTGAAGTGCATTTGAAAGGTTGCATCCTAAGGATGTAACAACTGATAAAACAGGTTCAATATGCTTGAAGACAGACATATATACCTCAAACAGCGTGAAGCCATTTCCTTCCTCTGTGTGATCTAGGTAGTACAATTCTTCACAGGGCATGGGCAAGTCCCATTGCACGATTAGTTCGTCTTTAAAATGTCTTTTGACCACCTCTCCGCTCTTGAGGGTCACGTTCACGTAAGGGTTGAGGCTTTCCAGATCATCCTTTTTCATGTTATCATAGCACACGCCCACATTCATTAAGTGATTGTGAGAGCAGCAAAACCTGACACAGGGCCTTAATTTGCAGACACATCCTCTTACGTGGCTAGCCACGACGTCCCACGTGTCGTCTGGCAAGACCTTGAAGTCATAAGTACCCGTCAAATGGGCGGGGATTAATAGGCCATCATATAGGTATGAACCGTTCGGAAACTTTTGACCTGTTGATATGTCTACAGTGTCATAGAAATCACAACCTGCAATTTCCGCATTTGATTTTTCTATAAACAGCAAAATAATTGCTGAAACCAATCCAACAAGTAGAAGCATTTTCTACAAAGAAAATGAAAGCTTAAATTAATACACTCTTTTAAGCATCCAATATGGTAAATTTAATCTATTTTAAATCGGCTCCTAATGTCGGGGGGATTATTTTTATTTGATAAACCCTTTTTTTGCGTTAAAGACCTTTAAAAAGCTTATACAATAGAAAATCAACGTCCTCACAGAAGGATAAGAAGGACAACCACCAGCGACTTCACTATATGGATTTAAGAACGGTTCTGAGATGACTGACGCAAAACGAAAATTTGAACGATAGTGAGTGCGTGAAGCGATAAAAATATTATTCATTCTGTATGGTTAATTTCAGCTTCTAAATCGGGGCCCCTTTCTAAATCGACTTGGTTAGTGATCCTTACCCTTACAGTACTTTTATATGTATGTTCGGAAACGTGCCCTTTTCTGTTGCATACTTTTCAAAGAAAACAACATACCTTACAAGTAAGGGGTATAATACAACTAAAAGTTGATGACCAAACACTGATTAACGAAAACTATATGCGTTATATAAAACTATTTTTATCTTAATAGGAATTTTTACTCACATATAAATAAGTATTCTATTTTTCTTCTTATATTCTTAATCTTAAAAGCACAACAGAAATCCATTAAAAACTTTCTGTTTTCTTAAAATAACTATTTCAATCTCCATCACACTTTTTTAAATTTAACAAGCTTACACTCACGCCTAGTTAAATAAAAAATATGTAATACTTAAAAAACAACTGCCATAAAAGTTCTAAAGTACTTTTATTAATTATGTTATGTTAATAATGAGGTAGTTTTGTCACTTTGAACAATTTTAGAAACTTTAACATTTTCTTATTGCTATAATCTATTATAGTCACACAAAATGCAAAGTCTGATTAGTCATTAAAAAAATTTCAAATTTTCAAAATCTTGAAGCCAGAAATTAGTTGGATTTTTTACAAGTTTCTGAGAAGAAATAAAATGAGGTAGGTAAAGCCATAGTTGTCCTTGTGAAGTTGTAAGATAATCCAGTCCTAGATATGTGGAAAAACCTTATTTTATATTCTGACTTTCATTGGGTTTTCTGCTAGAAACTCTCAATCTCGTATTGATGACACTCAGCGCGTAGTTTGGAAGTCTACAATGAAAATTGGATTATAGGTAAGTATGACACAGATTAATATGATTGTAATAAAAAATAAAAAAGGAACTCAGTCAGTTGTAACTTTTTCAAAAAGCCAACCGTCTTATAACTCTTTTTAACCCTATAACAGCAAACTTAGAAACAAATTGTTTTTTCAAGTTACCTATTGCAGGACACTTCCATCGAACTTTGTATTCCCAAGCGAGACCTCTTCATCGCAGTTGTTGGCTTCCTCATATTCACCCTTAATTCTGTTCAGACAAAAACAATGATATCAAATAGTAATTTTCACTTAGCCCAGAATCACAGAATACTCACTGCTGCTTTATAAGCTTCAAAGTGCTTGGCTTCAGAACTAACAACACGAGTATGATGGTACCTTGGGAAAGATTGATGTAGTCAGCCACTTGGAACATTTTAGACCAATACGGGTTGTCTTTAACCAAGAAGGAGACGATTTCTAAACTCCACGACAGACCCATGATGACGAAGAGTCGCAAAAAAAAGGTAAAGCTGAAAAAAAATTATAAATGATACTTGAAGCATTCAAAAAATATTTCATTAGAGTTACGTCTGCTTGTCCGAGTTTATTTTTTCATTCTTCTTTCGCTGTTGGGCAAAGTTTTTGGCATCCTTTCGTAATTTCACAATACGAATAGCTGTCAGGACAAACATGGTTATGTTGAAAATCACCGCCAATAACATCGGCCCATAGAAGTATATCATAGCAGCATTGTTTCGCACTGTGGGGAAAAAAGAAGATGCGTTAATGCCTTCGAATGTGGCTGTAAACGGATTTTGGAACTCACCGCTGAAGAAACAACCTTTCTGCTCTCCCACAATAGGTCTCCAAAGGTCGTTCACAACGACCTTATTAGCCAAAATGGTGACTGCCGTTAAGGTCGCCGCCAAGCTCCATGAGTATATGTTGTAGGCCACAAACCGATTTTCCAGCAGACAGCTATTCACCTTAAGGGATCTGCCACTAAACATTGTCCATATATGCAGACTGATAACGGAAAGCCAGAAGTACGCAGCCATAATGAAAAAGTAGCTTATGAATCCTGCAAATGACAATGGGTTATAGTTTCATTTCTAAGTAATTGTTCTTTCACATAACCTCCTGCAGCACAGAAATACTGCAATAAATTCCACATTTCCAAGAGCAAGAATAGGTAGCCGATGAACAGCGAGACCATGTAACAAATGAAGCACTTTCCGTGTAGGTCATGTAGCTTCTTGACGTAAAGGTAAACGCCGATAGTGATAGCCATGCAGATCAGTGATATTATCAATGCTAGAAGAATGAAAAGAAGTCAGAAATCCGGAAGTCCGAGTAATTAAAAGATTTATATGTTAGCTTACCGACTTCTTTCCAGTTACTAGTGTTCTCCGAGGGTATACAGTAGTGGGGCGCAATTCTAATACCATCTTTGAATGCTAAATGTTGGACACAATACTGCCGCTTGTTGAAAATCATTTGGTTGAAGTGCATTTGCAAGGTTGCATCCTAGGGAGGTAACAACTGATAAAACAGGTTCAATATGCTTGAGGACAGACATATATACCTCAAACATCGTGAATCCATTTCCTTCCTCTGTGTGATCTAGGTAGTACAATTCTTCACAGGGCATGGGCAAGTCCCATTGCACGATTAGTTCGTCTTTAAAGTGTCTTTTGACAACCTCTCCGCTCTTGAGGGTCACGTTCACGTAAGGGTTGAGGCTTTCCAGATCATCCTTTTTCATGTTATCATAGCACACGCCCACATTCATTAAGTGATTGTGAGAGCAGCAAAACCTGACACAGGGCCTTAATTTGCAGACACATCCTCTTACGTGGCTAGCCACGACGTCCCACGTGTCGTCTGGCAAGACCTTGAAGTCATAAGTACCCGTCAAATGGGCGGGGATTAATAGGCCATCATATAGGTATGAACCGTTCGGGAACTTTTGACCTGTTGATATGTCCACAGTGTCATAGAAATCGCACCCAGCAATTTCTGCATTTGTTTTTTGTATAAAAAGCAAAATAATTGTAAACGATCCAAAAAGTAAATCCATTTTCTAAAAAAAAAAAAAATAATTTTATAAAAACAAATTCGGCTATACATGGGAAATTAAATGACAATTTTGTGAGTGTATATATACATACGTATGTATGTAGAATTTCAATCAATTTGCTTCCACATACAAACGTACAATCGAAGAAGGTACATAGATATGTATGTACATAGTATGCGTCGACACAAAGAGAACTATTACTAACCAATTTCTAAGTAAAAATGATGCGAGCAGATGACGCTTTTTGTACCTATTACTCATTGGCTAAAACGGTATATCGTCGAAATGTTTGCTACAACTTAAAGGATGCGTTTCCGATATATTAGGAACTACTAAAACTTCAAGAAAGTTAGGATTAACTCTATGCACATGTAATGTAAGTTTTTTTTGAATATACAAATATGTATGTACATATGTACATAATTTGGTGCTGCAACATCGATCTGATTTATTTACATATATACCTTTTATTTAAGAAGTAATGAAGGAATTAAAGGTTTGTGACCTGACAATAATGTATATAATGTAGATGGCGCTTTTAGATTTTACATACATCATTACACAATACATTTACAGAGTTATTAAATGTTACCATATATATTTTAAAATACGGATCTGTATATAGGGTATTTTATAGTCGAAGAACTTGGCTTCTGTTTTTTTATTGGCGCCTTCTGCTTTTCTAGGCATACGCAGTGACGCCACCGACTGTCTGTCATAAAAAATAAGTTCAATACATTCCATATTAAATTAGGGGCGTTGGCCAATGCGTAAAATAAGCATGTTCAATACCAAACTATTCTATGCCCAGCTCGACTCTGGTCAATAATTTCGGCGCTCTTTAGGTACTCTTTCGCGTTCTCTTTCAATGTTGCCATGCAAATACACAAACATACATACACATACATAAGCGGTAGACTTTTACATATATTTCTGGGTATTGCCAAAAACTAGAAACTTTTATCTTCATTAGCAAATAAAATAATCTACATATTTGTATATACATATGTACGTATACACATATGCGTATGTAGCCGTTTTTCTCAACTTTATTATTAAATTTATTTCCAAGGAATAAACATGGTTCTACGTTTTATGTTATTTTTGTCTATTAAATAATAATCTACCCATAAAAATGAACCGAGCTGCGTATGCTGAATTCTCCGAAGCATAGAAATATTTGGCACATTTTTCTGTGAAATTCATTAAGTTATAAGGCCACACATGGGCTGTGGCGTCACTATCAGCTTCTCAACATTCTTTCTCCGACAATCGGTGGCGCTTAGGGAATTTCAACTAGCAAAATGAATATTTTAAAATTGTGTTAAGCGGTAACGGGTATCTTATAGTCGCGGCACTCGACTATAGCGTTTCCTCTTCTCTTAATCTTACCATGTTAAGAAATGATCAAAATGCTATGCTACATACCTAAAATGTTAATTTAATAGTTTACTGTTCAAATACCAGCTGTTAAACGCAGCTGTTGCAAGTAAACACCACGTGCTTTTAAAAAGGTTAATTTTGTGGAGCAACTTAAAATTGGCATATCTCATAGAAAAAATCATTAAATAATCTTATTATACTATTAATCTTATTAATACTATTTTTTATACTAATACGTTGTGTGTTTCGTTCGTATTTTTCAAAAAATTTGTATATTTAGCAAGATTTTTTTTCAAAGAAAGTTGAACCTTGCAAAGGGTTTTAAAAAACGGTTCAAATTGTACCAGTGAGTGTCCATATAATGATAATTTTTGTGCGTAAAAGAGCCGACTTTTTTGTGTTATTAATGAAATTATCTAGTACTTAAGTTGAAACTTGTTAATTTTATGTTCGAAATATATGCTCGAAATGTAGACCTTTCGTTTGAGTTATTGCATTTTTAATTCCGTTACGTATTTCTCGAGATATTAAGGATGTAACTTATGGGTGTACGAATAAATTATGTGCCGACTGTACATGTTGTAGATTTTTCAATTCTGAATTCAGAATATATAAGCTTTGCGTATTATGAATTATTAGGAAGCACTATCTTGATCAGCAATGCAGAAGTTTGGCGTTAGCAAGGAAGTAGAAGTAGAAGTCATCCAGCTTGTGAAATTTAGTCTGCAAATGGTATCGACGCAAGGGAAGATGACAATACATGCTTTTTTTTATATAATAATAATGAAATTGATGAAAATGATACATCGAATAGTACAAACAATTTCTTCTTGAATAACTTCTGTATTTATTATCTGATCTGGACCAAGCTCAATCTAACTTGAGAATTGCGCTAAATATTAAATTTTTGTGAACGGAGGGGGGCGTTGCCACGCCCACCTTTTTAAAAAAACCTTCCTATAGTCATAACCATCATAATACAAGAAACCTTTAGTGAAAAATCTGGTTAATTTTAAAAATATTAGTTTTGGCCAAAAAAAATGGGGCCAAATTCGACATAGTGCAGTGGCATCCCTAAATGTATGGATCAAGAATATTCATGCTTAATATCAAATTTGTATCTATTATAGTTCCTGAGATCTAAGCGTTTATACATACTGACGGACAGCCGGTCATGGCTTAAAAGACTTCGCTGTTGATACTGAACTTAGAATATATACATACATATGTACTTTATAGGGTCGGAAACGCTTCCTTCTACCTGTTACATACTTTTCAACAAATCTAATATATGTATGTACGCTTTTACTCTACGAGTAACGCGTATAAAAATATATATGCTTTGGACTCACCGGAATCGAAAACATATAAACACAGCCGATGTTGCTTGGCGATCTGTTAACTCTGAAGCTGTGTAAATACACACTGATAATGGGTTTTATGCATGGTGTTGCTGTTAGCCTAAAGTGTTACCAGATGGTAATCCGACTTTTCCGTCAAAATGCTTTTGAAAAATACCAATTCTGCACAATATGACTTTCTATTTTTAAAATCTGAGCTGGCAACTGATCGTTCAGGAATTTTTTATAGATAAATTACAATAACTACAGAAGATAATTTGTAATTTTTTTCTTGCGTCCGAAATTTACGAAATCGCTTATTTTAACTGCATTTCTCTTTCAAGTCCGGACGAATATGTTTTTTTTTTCTTTTGAGAGTAGGAATACATTCGGAATCAGAAGATTAACTTTTTATCGAGGTATATAATGTATATTCGGCAAATATTCTTTCTGTCCGTTCGTAAAATGTAAAATATTTTTAAGAGAAAAATAATGATAACATAATATCACATATTTCTTATGTAAATCCCAATAAAAGATTTTGGATTATTTTTATTGAGATCGGGAAGAATTCTAAAATATTTCACTTATGCTTATCGAGTAGACACTAGCTGAGCTATTTAAAAAATCTAAAACCGCAAAAAAAACAAATTAAGAAACCTCTTTAAGAATTTGTATTCATACAAAATTATGTATGTATGTATGTACATACACATATGTACATCTCTCGACTTGACCCATGATTTTTCTGCTTAATTTCGCCTGATAAGAAAGTTCATCTCAGAGAAGTGTTTTAGTCGTTCAGTGGCCAGTGAAAGATGAAGGCAACTGTGTTTCGGATTTTTTTGTTACTTCTGTTCCTGAGCCACCATGGTGCCTCGGAGTTCTTGGAGAAATCCTGTTCAAGATCAAACGGAGTGGATATTAATGATGTCAATGCTGCTACGTGGATGGCAGCCATAATTACTCACTCACAGTTCGTTTGTAGTGGCACAATCATACATAAACGTTTGTATTTTTTAGAAATTTAACTTAATTTTAATATCATAGATATATATGAACATAATTTATATTAATATATGTATATATAATAATTAACAATATTTTTGTAGGTTTTGTTCTGACATCTGCTCATTGCTTGGATAATGACTACAATCTGTAAGTACACTTTACATATACATAATGCATAAATATATACATACATATGTACACAAATATATGATTTTCACATACTTAAAAAAATAATTGCCCTAATCTTTCATTTTTGCGGGGTTTGAAAATGTGTTGTTATTGCTATTAAGATTTTTTGCACATGTTATCACATTTTATTAATTATATTGTAATATAATTTTTAGATCGGTATTGTTGGGAGCATACCACATAAAAAGATATACAACTAGGTACAATGTTATTCAAAAAATAAAGCACGATCAATACGATAGATGGAACAAGTTTAATGATATAGGACTGCTAAAATTGGATAATAGTATCATCTACGATGGTAAGTAAGCAATATAGTCGTTTAACGGCGTTTTGTAATGCATTTATCCTCAGATGAAATTCAACCACTTTGCATTTTCTGGCATCCACAATTCAAGAGAACGGTAGACGGAGCAAAAAACTTTTATGCCTCTGGCTGGGATCTTAAACACGGCGTAGAGAAAGCATTAGTTCAAACCCTCATTCTTGACCAAAGAAGCCGTAACGAGTGCTACGAGAAATTCGGCTTACCTCTCACATCACAGATATGCACAAAGGTGCGAAAAGGAGATACTTGTTGGGGTGATTCTGGCGGTCCCTTGATCACTGTAGTGCAATCTACACATGCCCAATATGCAGCACAAGTCGGAATTATCAGCTACGGAGAAAAGGCATGCGATGGTCTAGGAGTGTACACTGATATCACAAGCCATTTCGGATGGATTAGGGAAAAAGTAAATGATGTCGATAGACCACTTTTTTCGCAGCCTCCGGGGTATTTTCCTCCTAAGCCTCAGCGGGTTTCGCGGATGCTGTTTAACGATTGCGGAGGGAAATCCATGTCATCCATTATAAGACCTAGCATTTATGGACCTGGATTTGAAGCCCTTGGCGTTTTAATTACAGACCGTGAGTATTAATAAATTTGTAATGTAGAAATTTCATTTGGTAAAAGATTGGAGCCCATTTATAATTTTCCGGGTCACCTTAGGTTTATTAATAAATGCTGTATTTACATTTTCAGGATTTGTCATCACAGTTGCCACAGACTTGCCAAAAAATTCTGCCAATCTGTAAGTTGTCTTTTGGTAGTACATAAATATTATTTCAAGCCCATAACGTTAGTGTTTCATACCATTAATATCCCCAAGTTATACTTTTTTTACTTGTAAGCTAAAAATGTTTTTTTTATTAATTAATTTTCTCCAGAGAGGTGGGGGTAGTGATGAACGATCAATATGATGTCTATGAAGTTGATTCGATTTTGAAGCCATCAGGAAATGCAGACGATTACAACTATGATATAGCAATACTTAAACTTAAACATAAGGCGACTGAGAACCATGGTAACATTTAATTTAAGATGAGTCTGTTTTCCTGATCACTGAGTTTCTCCTTTTCAGAGACTATGAAACCGATCTGTATGCTCGCCCACGTAGTCGATCTTAATGACGCTTCTGCGTCATCTCAACCATTTCTTTTAATCGACCCATTGAAAACCATAGAATTTAGTGTTAAGCACTTGACTTACAGCGATTGTTCAAACTACTTAGGATCTGAAATCAAACCAAATCAATATTGTGTGGAAGAGCCTGAAGGGATAAGTGACCCGAACGATATACGTAACTATTTACTAGTAACGAAAATTATGAACGAATTTGTTCTGCTAGGAATTTACGGATATTCATCTGATAACATACACGTTTTTTCAAACGTTCTAAGATATACGGATTGGATAGGGACAAAAATCCATGAAGTTTCTTTGAGTAACAATGATGAATCATTAAATATTTAAATGACTTTTGTATATATCATAAATAAAAATCCCAAACTTTTGAAAAAAGAAAACAAAGGAATATATCATTCGGACATTTATCTTATCATTTTGTTTTTTTTACTTTACAAAGTTATCATGCGCGTTCTGCACTACGATGATTGTAATTTTGGAGTCTGGCACTAGAAGAACCTCATTTGTTTTTGTTCGCACTCTCAGCATTAAGAGTTCATCTGTCGGGTCGATTTTATTCATTCCACGTTCCAATCTGCCGCGAATGGCTTGGAAATGTCCTGAAAATTGTACAGCTTCGTTTTGGGCCATTGTACTCATCACCGGATGTCCCGAATCGTTAAGAATCACAACATCTCGAACGCTTTTTTTTGATTTGACTTGTTCGAATGCTTTTTCCACATAGCGCAGCGTTCGACGAGGCTATTTAACAAAATAAAAGTAAGTCAACAATAAAACTTGCAATTTCACACGCCTTACTTTTTTCGGAGTGTCAAAAAACATATTTTTTAGTTCTAAGTAATTTGCACAAAATTTGATTGAAAGAGCTTTTTTGACCCATATCCATTGTTTTCTTGGTTTCCAAGGTGCATTTTCAAAGGACGCGTTTAATGGGTCATTATGTCAAAATAAAATGTCTTAGTAGCTATTTATGCATTTTTCATTTAGCTATTTTCCTATATTTTTAAATTCATTTACTATTTAAAATAATAATAATAATTATTACTAAGTTGGACGATTCCTACACCTAAAAATAGGTTTTTAAATTGGGTAAAATTTGTATCGATTGCTCTCTGTTAAGCTATCATTTAACATTGAATTGCTTAAAATCACAAATTTAAAACCAATTTAAATATTTTGTATATAAATATTTTAATTTGTGGTGATAGTTGTTATTTTACTAAGATTTTAAAACGTTTATTCGAAATTGTCTTTTCTGACGGTTTTGTCGTTTGATTTTAGCATTTTGAAACACGGTAATACTATCACTTTAGCGGTTTAATGTCGTTTCAATATTTGGTAACACTAATCTAATATTGAACAAACAATTTACTTACATTTTTCCTAAATTCGCAGATACCGGTGGTTTATGCCGTGATATCGACGAAAATACAAGTAAAAAATGGTAAGCAAAAACTGTTATGGCACAAAAAAATAAAAGAGTTACAGTGCTTCCATTGATTACAGTCGCAAGAAGTAGAGGAAACACTGAAGAGGATTCAGAGCCACAAAGGTGTTGTGGGTACAATTGTGGTCAACAATGAAGGTGGGCGTTTGAACTCAACTTCTATATTTACAATCCTAACATATTCCTCTTAACTTTTAATTAGGTATACCCGTGAAATCTACGTTGGACAATACGACGACTGTTCAGTATGCTGGTTTAATGAGTCAGCTGGCGGACAAGGCCAGAAGTGTTGTAAGGGACTTGGATCCCTCTAACGACATGACATTCCTTCGGGTGCGTTCCAAAAAGCACGAGATCATGGTGGCGCCCGACAAGGACTTTATCCTGATCGTCATTCAGAACCCAACGGACTAAAGGGCCTGGCGCTTGGTGCGCATTGCTGAAATCACTACTGCACATTTATATACATATATACAAATTGTCAGCGAGAGAAAAGAAAGTTAAATTATAATGTAATGAAATTGTACTTGGGTTAAGTAAAATTATTTATGCACAAAATGACATCACGTAAACATTTTGGGAGCTATGTTAAATTTGAGGTGGCTCCAGTCATGATAACTGTTAAGTTGGCTTATGTCTATGGTCAATGGTGTATGTATCAGCTGATGGTCAATGATAGCAGACATAAGAAACGGTCACACTGACACGGCCATTGGCTTTCATAAAGTTTCGATAGTAAGTGATTATTACTTAAATCTCTGAAACATTGTTTGTTATTTTAATTCAGCTCTTACACTGTTAACTGTCATTTGCAATTATCCAAAATTTAGACTTAAACTACCATTCGATTTTCTTTACCAGCCAGTGTTACCAGATCAAGTTTAATCCTAGATTTTTTAGGAATTCATGGCTTAAGTGAAAACCTTTTCGTCATTTGGTAACACTGATTTGATTCGTGTGTTGAAACCCGTGAGTTTTGCGTACTTGCATTTAGATTTAAAGAAAAGCACTCATCGCCCGTGGAATAGTCAATAAATTGATTGGGAAACCAATCAGCTACCGTTTAGACCCAGTGTACGCGTGTGCAGCGAGTTAAGCGATCGATCGATCGAATCGATTCGAAAAAAGGTAATTCGAAAGATGGGCGTGCAGCGAAAAGCGAACGAGTAAAGAAAATGGCGTAATCACGCACTCCGAAACCCAAAAGCCAGCCAACAAACGCAACGCAAACGGAATTCAAATCGACAAAAATCCAATCGGCCAGTCAGCAATCTTTTAAATAAAAAAAAAAAAACAACCCACAAGAGCGTGAAAAGTGAACAAAAAAAAACTGTGCTTCAGCCATATTTGTTCCGTGAAAATGAAAATGATACACACACACGCAGGCATAATCGAGTGTATATATATATATATATATATATATATATATATATATATATATATGTATACATATGTGCTAAGAATTAACTGAATAAAAAGAAGCACTTCGTATCGGATCGTCATCGCACCGTCCCGTTGTTCGCAATTTCATTTCATTTCCAACGCGATTCTCGTTCAACGTACGTTGGTACATAGCCTGTCCGTGCATACATACGTATGTACTTATGTATGTACACATGTACTTTCAATATCGACGATGGCATCACAAAAACACGACGCGCACACAAACACGCACTCACGTACGTACCGTTCATACAAACGTACATACGTGCGGACACAGAGACGGGGTCTGTATGTATGTTTTGTCGGACTGGTTGTTGTTGTACATAACGGAGAGTTAAACACATAAGGGCTGGCTGGCTGGCTCAATATAGAAGCATGTGGCTGCGCTGTCAGCGTCGCGGCCTGCAGCGCGTAAGGGATTTTATTACGTCGGACGTTTCGGTCGTCGGTCGCTGAGTTCGTTTTATATTTTTGGATATTTTACACATGTCCATATGCCCGTCTATTCCCCTGCATCCACCTCTCCCGCATGCATCTCTGAGACGCTCTCTTTTCGCGTGCGTGTGTTTGTGCGACTCCTTGAATGCAACGTAACGGGAATCTGGCGACTGCAACGTTAAAGCCATCAACGTGTGCTGGCAGGAAGGGACAGCAGTATCAGCCCCCCGCAATGCAGGGCTCCACAGTCGCGTCCATAAACATAACAACACAGTGCTTACCCTAAATGTTAACTTGCCAAACAGGACATAAATGTGCCAATGAAAACAAGTGAAAATCATTAAAAATCACGGAAAATAAACCCCGTGAATCACCTTAACAACAAAGTTTCAACGTCACAAACATAAAACAGTGAACAGAAAGAAAAATCTATATATTTTGTTAATTAAAACAAAAATTTCTAATTGTAATCACATTACATTTATATACACAAAACTTCTTTTTGCACTTTAGTCAAGAAGTTTTTAATTTTTTTTATCTTATTGATTAATACCACATCCTAAATTGGTATGATTAATATAAATATCGATTTGTTTTTCCGTGTGTATGTATAAGCAATTCCCTGAAAATGACTCAATTGTTTAAAATTTGATTAGTCTGCCAACTTAAAAGATCCCGGACCGAGTTCAGAGACGTATCAAGGGCGTTTGATTAGATCGTAGAAAAAACATAAACTTTTAGGCCTGCCAGCATTCCAAGGGCTTTGAAACCCTGGTGGCAACCAGCATCATTTCAAGCTTGTATCTGTTTCCCCTTCAAGTACAACCAGTTTTTTTTTGGTTTTGTTTTGTATTTTTTGGCCGAACGCAAGGCCAAAGTTCACACAACACTAAACAAAGGTTCTCGAACCATTCAGCTGTGTGTATATGCCATATCTTATCACATGAGTTGGGAATTGGCAGAGCCACAGAGCAGCAGCACAGAACTATCAATCAGTGCCCGGCGCTTATTATCTTTCCAACATTTAAGCTCACAACTTCCCTCTAATTGCGCAGAAGAATGCTGAGTGCGCAATCAGCTTGGAAAATTATTGGAAAATGCTGTGCCATCGATTAAAGCCAGCAGCTGTTCTACGCAAATCGTAGAAAGCCGACATCGTCATAATGCTAATTAGAAAACTTCTCAAAGCAGTTGACCAAACAGTACTTTCTTGCTGGGTTTCTAGTTTCCATTGGCTAGTATATGTCTCAAATTCATTAATTTTCATTGTTCATAAAATTGTCTGTTAAACATATTAATATATTGTTTTAAAACCTATAAGTTCAAGGAGCATAAAATAATTATAAATATAAACGCTGTTGTCAAAGATATGGAATTATGTCCTTTCATTTTGATGCCAGTAATTTGTAGTATTCAGATTATTTTTTAATAATTAGTGCTTTGGGCCTTTTAGTGAACGATAATTTTAATATTTTTTTATGTTCGCTAGACATTACAAGGAGTTATAACAATGAAACACTTCTTTCTTTCTTCTTGATCTGTATATGTAACCTGTAACTTTATTTGACAATCAGATTTAGGTGAAATCTTTATTTTATAAGGGTTGAAAGATGATATCCTTTGTATGTTTATTAGAAGAATATTTGTATAGCATAAGATCGCTCTTTATGTCTGGGTTTCTAAAATCCTTTGCTGATTCATGCCATATTGGCTTGCAATCTACTTGGCATCTTGTATCAAAAGCTGTTCGGCATGGCAGCAGCACATCGAAGGTCTTCTCCCGTTGAACTTTCGACCCGCTGACCAGGCCCCGGAGAAACTTTTGCCCCAGCTAGTAGTCAGCAGTTTCCAGGCACACAGCCAGTCCCACACAGCTGCAGCAATTTCGATCGGAAAGCGACCGAGTTTACTGCACAGAAAAATACACACAGTAGTAGTCCTTCGGTTGACACAGCCACCCTGCACACACAGATACACGCAAACACACTTTACACACAGAGATACATACATATGTATGCAGGCAGCAGCTTTCTTCCCTTAGACGACGTATCGAAAACTCGATTTTCATCCCCGTGGCGAGCAGAGAATTTAGTTTTAATTTCATTAAACGCGAGGCGAAGGGAAACAGTGGAAATGGAAAACATGCGTATTAAAGTCGCTGTTTATTTTGGAGTAGGGAAAACCTATACCCTGGGAATGAAATCTATATGCTCGATTAGATATAGGTGTATTACATGATGGGAGTGCGGGGATTATGAATGGGGCATGTGTCGCCATAGGAATCGTCATAGGCAGAATCAGATGATAACACGGCAAATACATACACGAACGTATTGTCGTACCATGTAGCTAATAATATGGGATGGAACCGCAGCCTTATCGCCGCGCTGCTTGGAAAAACAAAAATTAAAAACAATGTTAAAACCAATTTGTTAATACCCTTGGAGTGAATAGTAGGCAGGGTGTCTGTTTTTTCAACAATTTACTACAAAATCCATCTTATACTCATTGAATTATAAATAGAACTAAACTATTTTCAAAAGGTGTAATATTTAGGCTAGTAAAAACGAAAACCATTTTATCATAATAGTAATACCTCCTCTAAGAGTATATAAAAAAACAAAGGTAAATAGCGTGGTGAACCTATTTTTGGCTTGGCAATCGCTAAACAATTCTCTGCAGGATTTGCAACACCTGCTCTCTGTTTTTGGCATCTTTATCTTGCCTCTCCTTTTCCGCTGCTGCACTTTTGACCCTCCAACCACTTGTTTCGTATGTGTTTTCGTTCGATAAAGAGGACACAAAACAATGTGAAGAGGAGGTACCGAAAAAGACCTGAAAAAACCGAAAATTGCAAATTTCTGAAGATTTCCAAAATGCCAAAAATTGCACATGTGTGCCTGCGTGTGTGCTCCCATTTCGGTCTTTTGGTTTTTCTTCTTTTTTCTTGTTGTTGAAAGAGAATACTTGAAAGGCAGGCTAAATGAAGAGCTGAAGAAAAAGGGACCTGAAATCCGAGCTCGATGAACATCTGTTCCGAAATGTTGTGTGTTGATTTCACCAGCCGAAAAATTATTGAATACATGACTGCATTGTATATATGGCTTGAAAAGATATATATATATATATTTAACTGACACAGACACATACACAATGCAAAGTGTGAAACAAGAGTCTTTTTCACATACCTGCTTTTTATTTTATTCCAGGTAAATCGACGTCGACGACAGCGGAATACCTAAGAGCCAAAGCAGCGGCAGAATAAAGAAACAAGGAAACATTTGCACGCCAGCGGAGCAACTGCAGCAGAGCACCACCAGTGCGCGCACCACCAGCGACAAGAAAAACCACTTCAACAAAAGAGGATAACATACTGGAAGTGCTCCACTCGCACAGCACCACAAAACACATACACTTATGCACACACATACGGCTATATAGCAACATATACACACTGTACGTGCCCGACGGTGGGAAAGTAAACCGACATCTTTTTACGACCGCCGAGAGTTTTGCAATCAGAAGAAGTCGGAGAGCCGACTCGAGTCGATCGGCCAGCCCTTTGATAAGCCAGAGAGAAGGGAGCAGCTCAGCTTAAAACAGAGAATAAAAGAGAGGAACAGGTTGCCAAGTTGAACGCGCAACGAATTTGGAAATCGAGTCAGCCGAAAGTGCGTGAGCGTGATCGTTTGTACGTAGTCCCAAAAAAAACCTAAAGAAACACAGAGAGACCCGCAGACCCGGACTTGCATTTAATACATACCATCTTGAAGGGTTTCCAGCCCAAGCCCATGAGCAGCTGAGCCAGCGGCAACAGCAAAAACGGAAACCAGACTTAAACCTTAAATACCCGATCCAAGCCAGATCCAAATGAAAACGCTAGTGCTCAGTGCGGATGACCTGCAGAACTTCAATAAGTTCATCTATGACCCCAAGTCAGCTGCCCAGCTGGCCGCTAGTGCTGGAGCAATTGGAGCAGCAGCGGCGGCAGCAGCAGCGGTCCATGGCCCGCCAGCTGGCACCACAGTGCAGCTACTCCAGAGCGGAGTTGGTGCGGTCAATCCCGGCGTAATGCCCGTTTCCGTGCCCGTTCCCACCAGCACAGCCAACAGTGCCAACAATTTGATGGCGCTGCACTACTACCTGAAGCATCCGGGTATCCAGCAGATGCCCATCCCACAGCAGCAACAGCATCAACAACAACAACAACAGCAACACCATCACCAGCATCAGCAACAGTTGCTAGCACAGTCGCAGACGCAACTGAAACAGCTGCAGCTCAAGCAGCCGACAATCCACCAGCACCAGCAGCACATCAGCTACCACCATCATCCGTACTACCAGCAGCAGCCACAACAGGCGCCTCCACCGCAACCACAACCTCTTAAGAGCCAGCCACAGTCGCACCTGCCCGTACACGCCCTTAATCAGAACTCCAACTTCTCGGCGGCCAGCTCCAGTACAGGAGGTACCGCCTCCAGCCATGCGCCTACACAGCAATCAAATGGATCTAGCGTTTCACCTACCATTGTGTCGAGGGTGGCGGCCGTTGGGGCACCTAGCAGCAGTAACATTGCAGCGGCGGCTAATGCTTTGCTACGGGCATCGGCTGCCTCCACAGCTCCGAGCTCATCCGCCTCATCGTCCTCTTCGTCCTCATCCGCGTCGTCGAGCTCGTCATCCAGCAGCTCTTCCTCCAGCGCTAGCAGCTTAGCGAATTGCGCTAAAAAGCTGAAGACGGAACCGGTACTCTCGCAGTATAATCAAACAGAGCGCCTTAACTTCGCCAATACGTATATCGTGTGGAGCGAAGAACACTGGCGGCGGGTGGTGTTCCATGATGAGCGTAGATTTAACTTGGACGGGCCGGATGGCTTCTCTTATTATTTCCACGATTTACGCAACTACGAGCGCACGCTGTCGCAGCGGCCGCGAGGAAATTCCGTGTACATTTACCTGATGGTCTGTGTGGGAGGAGCCGTGCATCTGGAGGTGTCATCTGCCAAACAGCGACCAGAATCCTGCATCGAGGCCATTATGCGAGAGCGGCCTAATATCGTAACCAAACTGGGCGGAAACTCGGAATTTGTTCTGCAGGATCACAACTGGATGTCGCATGCCCTGCCCACCGCCCAGGACCTTCTGAATGCTGAAGGTCTGAAGACCCAAAAGTGGCCCACCATCGCTCACGATTTGAATATCATGGAGAACGTATGGGGCTGGCTCATCCGCGAGGTATTTGATGGAGGACGAAAGTTCTCGCGCAAGGACGACTTGATATTCCGTATCAAGGAGGCGTGGTCCCGCCTGCCGCTCGACTTGATCACCAACCTGTACAGCACGTTGCCGGAACGAATCACGGAGCTCTATTACACCCAGGGCGTGTACACGAATTGTTGACATCGGCGTACAGAACAACCAGGATGTGGACAGGGCTCAGGGCACTTGGCCGCTTTGGCGGTCGTGCAGGCAGACGATGATCGTGTTCCAGAACCAGAACCAGATCTGAGGAGTATATTGAACTCTTCGAAGTCTGCCAGAGACCGGAGAGCGAAGGAAGCAAATCTTTATATACAATTTAACTTAACTTTTTGTGTATAGCTTTAAGATGTGTGCAAAGAAGCGAACAGGACTGCTTGGAGACCGACGGACTGAAAGCAAGAAAGACAGACGACCTGGACGGACAGACAGACGGACGAACAGACTTGGGTTATAAGTTATAACGTTTTTTAGTTATTTAAAATATTATGGAAAACAGAAAACCAGCAGATTGTGGGCAGAACACACGTTAAGTGTTGCCATATCGCTTTGTAATTAGTGTTTTTAATCCTGCCCCATTTCCCCCCCCTTATTTGCCTCTTTAAACCACCCTTTGCCCTATAAAGAGAAACCCTCGTAATTTGTAAGTCTTAATTTAAGTTGTCGTTTTCCTTTTTACCACCCTTGTCCCAATCTATTAAGAATATAAAAAATATATTAGTTACAAACAAGTTTATTTGAACTTAACTCCCCTTTTGTTGATTGTTTTTAGTTATGCCAGCGGTAGAAGAACAAAATTATAATGCCAAGCGAGCAGAGGAAGCAAACAAAATAAATTGTAACTAAAGTATTATTTTAAGGCATAGTTTTTGTTGTAGCAAATTACGGAGAACTCACACGTAAATCTTTACAGACACACACACACACTTTATACACAAACACACGCATGAACACTCAGAAGAAGAATCCTATCATGTAAAATTGTTTACGAAAGCAGAAACAAAAATTATAATTAAACTAATTATCAATGTAATTAATACATATTAAACAAGAGAGAGAACTAACAAATCGAAGAGCAAAGGCAACTTAGTGTTATCGTAAGATCAAAACAACTAACCAGAGCATATATAACTAGAGATCGATAAAATCATGCTGAAACTCAACACTCCTTCAATCCCGAACCCCTTACTCCTCCCTGCCTCCCCTAAACAATGGAGTCAAGCTAAGAGCCAGCGAGTTAAGTTTCCTAGCTACACAAACTTTGACTATCGATGGCAGCTATCCAGGGAGCTCCATTTTGGGGGTATTATTACGACCCTGAAACAGACAAATTCTAAGTACGCCATATTATGGTTTATACGTACGCACCCAATACTTAGCAATACAATTGAACTGAACAAACTGAATTGCACTTTGACAAGTGCAAGTGCAACTAATCTGTAGAATACTTGAGCCACTATGAAAGTATCCATGAAATATGAAATGCAACTAATATACATTATGCGAAACATGAAACACCCTCTCTCAAAACCAATTTGGCAGTTATAAGTGAATGTGATTTTACCCCCTTGTTTTCGCTTCTGCATAATGACTCCTCCGACCAGAGAAATCGGCAACTTTATACATGCATATACATATACAAGCAAGAACAAGAAAAATCAACAAAAATGGAATTATTATGATTAATAAATAAATCGAAAAATGCAATTACCAATAAAAACTACCAGCAGATACGTAAAAAAATCGAAAAAAAAAACAAAATATCTTTTTATTGGTGGGTGGGTCTAGTCAATTATTCCTCCCAGTAAAATTTCATGCATATATTTCGAGTAAAATCTTTATTTAAAAATTGTGCGTTTTTCCTGTATACATAATACGTAAATATATCTGTGTATATAATAATATATGTAAAATATTTGTATATACTGCACTTGGTCTATTGGCACTGTAAAAGTGGTTGGAACTGTGAATATTTTAGCCTAATTCGTATTTAGTATGCCAATCAAATTAATGGATTTGTTAAAATCAGACTGAAGATTGGTTGGAAAACTTTGGAAGCACTCTATAATTATATTACCGTTGCTTCTAATTTGATTGGAATTTAAAATTGCGACTGGGCTTCTTTGTAAATGCAAGTCTATTCTAGGCACTTTGAGTCTGTGGCATCTATTGATCACTAGCTGGTTATTTAATATTGTGTGCATCATCAAAAATTCGATGATCATGTCTTTGATCCTTTGTGTATATGTTTGGAAATACTGTTGTGGTTCCTTAACTCTCCTATTTAATCAAGCTGCGCACGCAGGTTGGACTGCAAAATGGCATGTTCTCCTTAACGCAAAAACGTCCACCTATAAGCGGCTTAGAGCACTGGACTCCTGCGCAGACAAAACAGTTGGCATGCCAGTGAACTTCTCCCCAAGCTACGCCCTGATCCGCCGGCCCAATTGCTATCTTGCAGCGTTGGCAGCAGACGGCAAATAATCGGTCATAACATGGTAAACATAAGGGCATATTTGATTTCTCATCGGCGATATACTGCTGTCCGGCCAGCGGCTCATCGCATTGATAGCAACAGAAGTGCTTGATGTGGAACGTTGCCTCCTCTGCTGCCGTATACTCCTTAGTGAATATTAGCTCATCACATGCTCGACACCGCGGGATCTTCAACTTGATAGCCAAATCGCGACCGCAGAAAACTTGTCCTTGGTGAAAGAAGTAAACCAAGTCCGCCAAAAGTTCCCGACAAGTGATGCACTTGAAGCAACCGGGATGCCAGGCAATCTCTTTTCCAGCTCGATCCGCCTTCACGGCGACTTCGCCATAGGCAATTGGTTTTCTGCAGTCGGCACATAAAATCGTTCGCTGAAGGTCTGCAAGGATGGTAAAGATATTAAATTGATTTACTTATGTATTAACATTCGTATTGCATCAACATTTTTCTAATCTCTTTCAGTAATTGTTTACCCAAGTTATTTATAAACATTCAGATACACACCTTGGTAGTATGTTTACATAATGCAAATGAAGCGTAAAATAAATAAAATGTAGGCGTCAAAACCCACAGGGTAGGAGCAACGACGCTTATTAAAATAAATATTTGGTTAAATAAGTAGTAAGAAGTGAAGTACTCACCTACGCCTGAAACCTCGTCCCCGTGAAGACGTAGCTGCTGGAACTGATCCGGCATGCCGGCGCAACTTGGATACATGTTCATATCCTCAATGCCTGGAATGCTAGCGAATCTGCCCTGTCCAGCACTTAGATCCTCGTTGCCATAACCCGGTGTTGAGGGTTTGGAGTGGAAGCCGGAATCATTACTCTGCGATGTAGGCAGTTCGCCAAGAGTGGGCTTTGGATAAGAAATGTCCTTACAGCCATTAGCCATGTCAGCGAAAACCTTGTCAATCTCGTCCAGCAATTGATCGTCGTCAAGCAACCAGTCGTGTACTTGCTTAAGTGGCTGCAGCAGCTGACAATGATCGTGAGAGACACCCTTGTCCTGGAGCGTACGGAACAGACGGTCATAATACGGTGCGTTAGATACAGCGGATTGCAGCATATTCTTGTCAATTCCAACGGATTGCAGATGAGCCTTGGTGGCTGGAGTAAGGCCTTTGAGTTCAGCAAGACTTGCGACAGGAGCTGGAATATTAGAAATAACTACAGAGGATGGAGCTCGTCCCAACCGGGCCTCCTGCAGTGCCTGCTTCAGCGGCTCCGCTTGAAGGATCTGTGCAAAAACTGGATCACGATCGTAGTCCGTATTGACGGGCAATCCGCAATCGTAAACTATGGTGGAGACCCCGCCAAACTTGACGCGCCGCATGGGGGTATCCTGGCGCATCTGTGCTCCAAATCTGATCTGCACCGGATTCTTTAACGGCAACGGGGAGTTAAAAGGTGTGCCTGGAGAGGATTTTGTTGGTGTCATAGGCAGCTGAGGGCAAATGGAATTTATTTCGGCTCTAAACTGCGGATTGATCACGTATTCCTTGCGGAATTCAGAAATTGGACCAAGTTTGGGATCCCTCGAGATGTTTAGTTTTTTTTCCTGAAGCAAGAAAAAATATATTTGTATATGAAATTATCGTTCTGAAGATTCTAGAGAATTTTGATACTAATAATCTAATTGTGAATTTCACCATAAAGCTTTCTTTTCAGCAATAATTAATAATTAACATAAATATGTAAAATACTTAGACTTATGAAAGATATTATTTACCTTTAGTATTCCAAGAACTTTGTCATAAACAACGCCGTGACTCACAAGGCTCTGCAAAGCCGGTTTGCTGATTCCCAGAAGCTTTTCTTTAGTCTGAGCCCGCAGAGCTCCATTTTCCTCAAATTGAGCTGATTCGGATAAAGGCTCTGAAAAAGCCACAAGTAGTTTAGGCTGGGCACTAGCTGGGCTTGCTAGAGCTTGGGTTAACTTTGGATTGGACAGCAGTTCGCTAAGAGTTTCATCTGGCACCGGCAAGATTCCCAAAGACTGCCAGGTTTTCGCTGCCTCCTGTGAAGGCAACGAAACGGGAGTAACGTGCTCTACTTGTGCGTGATTAAGACGATCGCCTAGACGCACAACCACGCCCTGGCCGACGCATTGCTCTTTCAATTTCTGGACGTATTGCTGCAACTGGATGGCCTCAGTTTCCGTCAAACCATCGCACAATGCAGCGTCTAGATCATGCGGCGGTACTTGCATTTCAAGTTGCTGTTTCCTCTTTAAAGCGGCATCACTTCCAGCCAAGGGTATTTGGGCAGTCCCTAATTTTTCCATGTATTCAGTGACCACATCGGGAGCAGCATTTGGTGGCACCCACTCCAGCTGCACCGGTTGACTGGCCAGGGCTTTGATTTTAATATCTACAATACAAATCGATTTCTATAAAAGATTCTTTGTATGTAGTAATATGTTCCGGATGACTTACAAGCTGGTTTGGCCCTGATCTGACCAAGAATCTCGAACTGCGCCCAGCCGGTGGCGTCATCGTCGTCTGGACACACATGCTGATTCTTTGGGCACTTGCAGTTGCGACACACTTTTCGCCAGAAGTGAAGATCTAGGCCAGGACATTTGTCTTTGCACTCGGCACAGGGAGCTCCTGCCCCGGCTTCGTGTCCCAATTTGGAGCGCTTCAATTGCTCCCGACGGCTTTCCAGCTTCGATAGCCATTCTGGCGCCTTGGGCGTCTCCACGCAAGAGTTGGGGCTCGCGGCGGACATTTCGGGGAGGAGATTTGGTTGTTTCTAGAGCATCTAAAAAATCTATTAAATTTAGTCCCTTTATAGACTAAATTCAAATTATTGTGTTATTGGCAAAAACTTTGTGTTTTACAGAAGTAGAGATGGGTAAAAGCGTGGTTTCTGCATAGTTTAATCGATTTTTTAGTAAATAATCGGATAATTCGTAATCGAGTATCCTTTGGAGGTAGTGTTGGAAACGTATATTTTGGCGGCTGTATAAGAGATTTCAAAATCGGAAGGACCGATACAAATGTGTGTCAAACGAAGATGCATTTTTGAACGATGATCATCGGATCTTAGTCCCATGCTCACTTTGAAGTTGAAGTCAACTCTGTTACATAAAAATCGCTTTACATCTAATATATACATTTATTTATTTTCTACTCAACTATATTCTAACACGTTAAATAATTTGTTTAAACCATGTAAGAAAAAATTTGTTACTGATACTTATACAAACTTTATCAAAAATAAAATAGCAAAAGAAAAAGAAATAATAATTTTCAAATTGTATAATGCAGTGCTCACTGTATTACCCGCCAACGAACGAAAAATTTTCGCGCATAGTGCTTTTTTGAGCTTTTGACTCACGGTCACACTTATAGTATTGTTTTTTTTCGCGAATTCAATTGCAGTTTTTCGCAACCTTTTAAATTAGAAGCAATATTCCAAAGCGCCTATTAAAAGTGGTAATTAACGTTATATATTTACTGCAAACTTAACGTGTATTTTGTGGTGTTAAATATTTGGGGAAAAAGCAATTTCCAACAAAGCAACATAATCAACAGAGAACGCTCGATGCAATTTGCAAATACAGAAAAAATTAGGTGAAAAAATGCGTCCCACTGAAAAGTGAAAGTGCATCATGGGTTGAGGGACACGGGCGGGGGCACCAGTTGGACACCCAGAAGGCACAGTGGAAAATTACCAATCCAAGCGCGATATTTGTTATTTCAGAATCTGAAAGGATAACATCGTTTTTACCGGTTCTGTTTACCCGAAGCTTTTGTGTGTGAACTACGGCAACAATTTGATTTTCGCATTCGCTCAATTTTGCACGGTGGTTGTTTTTGCCCAATGCATGTGCCAGTGTCTGCGTGTGTGTGTGGTGCGAGGGTGTATTTGTAAAAGCGTTATTGGTGTTTAGCCGCCCATTTGATTTCAATAAATAAGTGCATTTAAATATTTTAAAAGTGCACATAAAATCGTAATATCTTCCACTGTGCAGGATTTACATTTTCTTAACATAGTTTTCATTTAACCTACATATAAGTGTATATGTATATATAATTTTCTATTGTTCCTGAAAGATATATTATTTTATAAAAACCTTTCTAAAAGGTTAAATTTATTTTTTTTTCTTATAAATTAAAAATATGAGCTAAAAAACCTCGATCTGTCCAGATTCTGAAAAATATAATTGAAAGAATTATATATATATATTTCATTTCCTTTCATGAAGACCGCAGCTCCGGGGACACGGGCAAGGAAATAATGACAGAGAAGTACGACGGCAACGGTGATTTTTCCGCCTTTAACGACGATGACAACGACTTTAGCGGCAAGCCTCGCAAATCTGGTGGTTCTATTGGAGCACCAGGTGGCGCCCACAACGGCGACAGTTCCGCCCACGACCATGTTCATCATGGCGGAGACCCCGGTGGCAGTGTCCAGATAAATGAGAAGGCCAATGAGTACATACGCGATTGTATGGCAGAGCGAAATCGTATGGACAGAAAGTTTCCCATTGCCGAGAAATTGATAGAGGGCGGTAAGTAAAGTCATATTGATTTCCATGCAATCTAGTTTAAATAAAAATTGATTTTGTCATTTTAGAAATCGAAAAAGTCCAGACCACAGGAAGGATTCCTTCCAGAGAGCAAAAATACGCGGATATCTATAGAGAGAAGCCCCTACGCATCTCACAACGTGTTCTAGTTCCCATTAGAGAACATCCTAAGGTGAGTTTGAGATTCGATAGGTTTATCTTCTGTTTAAGTTTCATTATTAAATGTAAACTCGTACTTTCCAGTTCAATTTCGTGGGCAAACTGCTGGGGCCCAAGGGAAACTCACTTCGTCGCCTGCAAGAGGAGACGCTTTGCAAGATGACCGTCCTGGGTCGCAACTCTATGCGCGATCGCGTCAAGGAGGAGGAACTTCGCAGCTCTAAAGATCCAAAGTATGCTCACCTCAACAGCGACCTGCATGTGGAGATATCCACAATAGCACCACCCGCCGAAGCATATGCACGAATTGCCTACGCCATGGCCGAGCTGAGAAAGTATCTGATACCCGACAGTAACGACATCATCCGGCAGGAGCAGCTGCGAGAGTTGATGGATAGTACTAGCTTAAATGACAACGATAATGCTAAAAGTGGCTATAAGAAGACGTCCCACATGCAGGGAGGTAACAATTCAATGGGTGGAGGCTCTATTAACCCAATTGGAGGGGCCAAAAACACACCTCATCATAGTTATAGGTGAGATTCTATATATTATGATGTTTTGGAATTCGACTTATAAGTTTTGTTATTATTTTTCAGAGGCTCTCAGCAGTCCTCATTCAGTAAAAATGTGCTTGCTCCCAAGCAGAAAGTTATGTCCATATTGGAAAAGGCTAGGACTGCCATGGATGAAACGTATGGGTAGGTCTCTTAAATATAAGTTGAAAAAGCTTTAATCTGAGATATATATTTTGTAGCCGCGGTTATGACGACGGCATTGGCTATGATCCGCATCAATCTTACGATAGTTACTCCTATGGCAGTCACGGTCATGGACCCCATGGACCTCCGGCCAACATCCTGGGTGGAGTTGGCGGAATTAGCGGTGGCGGCGGACGTGGTGGACACTACGAAAGCTCAGACTACGAGCCGGATTATGGAAGACGAGAATACTATCAGCATTCTCCCGGTTATTCAGGTGAGATAATGAAATAATTATGTCTATAAAGAGACTGATAAGGTTTGGATATATTATTAGCTGGCGGCGGTGGAGGTGGAGGCCTAGGAACCGGCGGTGGCTCTCAATCAAATGCCATCGGCGGATCTGGCCTTAGTTCAAACCACAATCGCAGTCATGTTAACAGGTGAAATTTGCTGGACCACAGCAGTGCCAGCGGAGGTCGAGCCACTAATCCAGCGGCAACCACACAAAATCTGACCATAAAATCCCAACCCAATAGCAGCAACAACTTTTTGCCCAATCACGGAGCAAGTGAGTGCCAAAATGGCAAGAACATTAATCCCAACTACTACTACAATTCTAATGGCAGTTCCAAGGTGAGTATTATGACTGATAAATTGGCGGAATCGTAATAATAATACTTACTATCTTTCAGCTAAATCAGCAACAAATTCAGCAGTCGCAACCAAATATCCCACCGCAGTTATCAGCCCACAACAACAACAGCAGCAATAACAACCGCATTAGCAGTAACAATAACACCAGTAACAACAATAATTGCAATAGCAACTTTCACCAAATTGGTGATAAAAACTCCAACGACGTTTCATTTCTATCCTCCTATCGAGTTGGACCAATGGATGGTCAAAAAAGTGCCAACAGCAGCAACAACAGCAACAATCACACATTAGGCAGTAAAAACCACAACAATAACAACAACACCACAACCGCTTCAGTGCCCAATATGCTATTAGTAAGGTATTGAATGCGATATTAACGAACGTGAAAGATAAATCCTTCGTCCTTGCACACAACCCACAACAAATTTTTTCTCTGGACAATGCAAATTAATATCCGGCATTAATGTGAATCCGACAGCTTGCTTTTTACCTATACCTTTCCGCTTATCATTTAAAGCTTCCATATTGATTTGCATTGATCCAGAAACCCCAAAGATACCCTCAAGATCATACACCGCAAACCAAAGACAAGAACGTCTCTCTAAATCCAAATTAACATTCTCTTACAGACCTGCTAATCCTTCGCTACATATTGGCACATTTCCGTTCTTGCCCGTGCAGTTTTTCTGAACCCAACAGATACAACAACTACAACCAGAACAAGCAAATCGAAAACAACATCAACATCAACATCACAGAAACTTTGTACACTTGAGTTCATAAGATTAGAGGAAGGCGTAGGAGGAGTATTTACAAAATGGACAAAATGAACTTTACGATATATACCACATACAAAAACATATACATAACAAATATATTTATACATATATTTTTGCGTGCAAGGATTGACGTTTAATGAAGATGAGGCTGGATCAACAAATCGAAACATTACTTTCGCGTTGGCTAAAAAAAAAACATAAAAAGCAAAAACACACAAGAAACTGTGTCCGGTTTTTTATCTCTATTTACAAAACCATCTTAAAGATATTCAAAGAGCCTGAACGATTAGTGGGTGCTGTAATCGGTCGATGAGAATCAGTAGTTAAGAATACGGCTCAGCTCAAAGTTGGGCTGGGATAGTCTGGCGCATATAGTTACAGATCGAATCCAATTGATACAGCAAGACAAAGCTATGTATAGGGACAGAAGGGGCCGAGTTCCGGCCGGTCGAGACAAAATCTATGAGATTAATTAACTTAATAGAATATATAATAATAATTAATACAGAGGGCACATTTAAACCATAATTTTATTTATATATGCATATATTTAACAAAACTAATGATACAGATAAAAGAATATATTATATATATATACACTTACAAATTCTAATATTTACATAATTAACAGAGATCGACTAACCCACATGTTGACACGAAAAGTAACAGATTAACCTTAACAAGAACTATCTAATACTCGAGCATTCAAAGTAAATATATCGAATACTAAAAAGATCTACAAATAACTAACAAACAAATTACAAAAATATATACAAGTTTATTGTGAATCAATGTCCATAAGTGGATAGTGCTGCAAATGATTACTTTATTAAAAAAAACACCAGATACGAAAACAATAACTGAGTAAAGAGAATACTTAAAAGCGAATGTAAGAATAACAAATACTCGATTTACTTATACACAAATACAAAGTTATAACTAAAGCGACAATGTAACTCAAACTAAAATTAACGTAATAACAATGTAATTCAATGTACTTAACCCTATTTAACCCATGACGCCGGACAAAGCATTCAACTAAGGGATCTGTTTACCTCAGTTACTTTTCGTTTCCGCAATTGTTCGACAATGAGTCGGTTGCTTTGTCCAGCTGTCTCCATAAATTATATACTAAACTAACAAAAGTAAACTAAATATATAACTCTATAATCGACAAATTTATCAGTTGCCAAGCTCAAGATTTCGTTTTCTGTTTAATTACTTAAATTAGCTTCTAAATTAAAGAGAATTCGTTTTTAGAGCTTAAGTAGAACCAAGAAAGTGTGCCAAATGTATGTAGGAAGGTGATCGGAGCGATTAGTAGATCCCTTCCAGGTCTGAAATTACCAATTGAAATGCCAATTTATAGATATTATCATTTTTTATACGTAAACTTATTTAATATTTCGAGCGAATAAAGTTGATAACTTACGTAAAGGAAAGGAATAAACATCTTACTCGAATAAGAATAAACATGATATCTTGTCCAAAAAGAAAACCTTAAGAAACATTTACTTACAACCATGTGAAACGTTAAATTGTTGAAAACAATTAAAATCTAGTTTTAATGGAATATCAGTAATACAGATAATACAAAGGAATTACAAACCATTTATTACAAATAATTATTGTTGTTACAAATTATACAGATAACTAAATATGAAATTATAACAAATGCTACTTTAGGGCACTTCCCGAGCCCCAAGATAATTTATGATAACAAGTTAATGAAATAACCGAACAACAAAAACACCCCCGCCCTAACAACAATAAGAATATATACACTTATATTATATACCTACAAAAATGAATTCAAAGAAATAATATATTGCGATTGAGTTATTCTCATTAATTATTATATGTAAAATCAAATAACACAAGTAATAAATAAATGAATAAATAAATATATTTAAAATGTATCGAAAATTGAAAAAATGTATTGTTTTTGTTTTTATTTTTAGCTGAAAACGAAAATTGTAAAGGGATCTGTCTGTGGTATATGGCAATCTAACAATTAATAAAACAATATTCTTTTTTCTTTAATATTAATTATTAATTTATTTCGTTGTTTCTTATGTTTTTTATATTGCTTCACAATAGTTGACTAGAGTAAACAGCTTAGGATTACGCAGATTCCTGGGTGGCACTATTTCCACCCCTAGAAAATGCTCAACCCTTGGATTCTCTCTCTCTCTACCTCTCTGGTTTTACTTGCAATGAGATCGCAGCAAAGTGACTAGAATGCGGAGGAGCTTCTGCCCTCCAAGGTTGGTTATTAAGCTTGCAAGAGCCCATCGCTTTGGCCAACCAATTTCCCAAGAAGAGTCTGATAAAGCGGCGATTCCGTGGGTATTCCCTCGCTCTGAAGGAAGAGCAGCGTTTCCCTGGCGCACATGGCGAAACCCAGTGCCTCTGCCTGACTCCTTTCGGCTGGGGTGGGTGGTGCAAATCGAGCAGCAACCTCCGCATCCTCCGCACTCTCTTCGACATCTTCCTCTTCAGCTTCTGCTGCCGCACCATCCCGTTCATCTAGATCATGCTCAAAAGCATCCAATTCCGCCTGCAACTCCATTATCTTTTGCAGGGCTTCCAGAAGGATACGGTTAGGGGCATCTGGCGGGGACGCGTAATCCTGTCCTGGCTCTTCCGCGGGTGGAGTTAGAGGACGATGGCGTTTCTCCGGAGCTGCTTCATCCGGCTGCTGTAAATGTTGCTGCTCCTGTGGCTGAACATGTTGCTCCTGTCCCGGCTGCAGCTGCTGATGTTGCTGCTGCTCTTCCTGGCTGGCACGTTTGCGTTTCATGATCAGTTTTCCCGACATGGTTAGAAAATGATCTCCAAAAATTCAGTTGCAATCTTTTCGTTTTCAAAATTGTTGTCTGCGCGACACAACCTTCGTTCACCTGGCGATCGCCACGACTGAGCTGCGACCAACTGCACCCCGGCGACCAACTGGCAACTCCAACCCCAAATTGTGTCAGGAACCAGAGATAGTAGCATTAGGGGATGTGCCGCGCCAAGGAAATTAAAAACAACAATCCAACGGCAAGGAAAAAAATTGTTGCAGCTGTTTGAGTTGCGGCAGCTGAAGCGGGAGGGGCAACAGGATACTGGCTACAGGCTACAGGCTAAAAGGCAAAACAACGGCAGCGGCAGCAGCAGCAGCAGGATATTGCAACCCTCAGCTGGCGATGTCTCTCTCTCCGGCTGCAGCAGCCGCGCTCCGAATATCCTCCCTTCCTCCGTTCTGCACCCCATCCCCCTGGATCACAGCCGCGCCCCTGCTCGTCCTTTCCGACCTTCCCGTTGTTGTTGTCCCGTGGCTGTTTCCATTCGATGCGGCATAGTCGATAAGTAGGTGCCCTGTTCATGTCCTTTTCTGTAGGGTGTTAAAGCAAAAACGATAAGGCATAAAAAGGGTTGATTAAAAAAAAAGGATTAAGTAATGGCTTACCTTTAGGATTTTCCAAAACATTTCTATTTCATTGTGAGCTTAAATATTTTATTTGAAATTAAATAACTAAAAATTACATTATAAGGCTCTTGGTCTTTAATACTTAGAAGCTTACTTTATACTTTAATGAGCATTTATATATAATTCAGACCATAGGCATTTGATTGCTTCCAAAACTAATAGAACATTGTTACAGTTTAATCATATGATAAAATCTGGTTTCAAAAGCAAGTCAATTTAAAATGTGTTAATCATTTGGATCTGGTTTTAGCGAACGATGACCGATATAATTGCTTAAATTGCTTTTCTTGGTAAAAAATTGTGCGGTGCTGACGCATTTATAAAATTAGTGATTTAGTTTAGGTACTTAATTAATATTACTATATGTGTATTCATATAGTTTTCTGTTTATTATAAATTATTACAAAATAAGGAGTTTTCTAAACCATTTGTATAATAAATGGATAGACAATATTCTTAGTCATATTTATTTATGCAGGTAATATTTTTTAGGTAAATATTTGAAAGGAATTCTAGGATTTTAGTAGAGGTAATAAAAAACCACATTGACCGAGAGATATTTCTATTCCTATTTTTCAGTTTCACTTTTCAACGTGTGTGCAGGGGATTTCCGATTCTGGTATGACCAACCATAATAAGCATTTGCAGCTGGCACGCTTCACATTCATCTCTTCGATCGGCGCTTCCCCTGCGAGTTAGTTTGACCTGCCATTGCAATGATAAGTGCACACCTATATGCACTGCGAGAAATTTCTGGAAAGTTCTTTTGTCACAAAAAAACGTTGTCATGGAAATTTAAAGGTTTTCCTTCAGCTGAAAACCTATTAAGTATGAATAAAATAAACTTGACTTCTGTTGGCATGGAGAACCAAAGCTTATCGGCGTTATTACAGGTTGTAAATCGACGAAAGGTGAGTGGAACACATGCTAATCGATTTAATAGCTGCTCGCAAATTTGAAAACTAACTAAATTTTCGTCTGGCTTAATGGCTAGTCTACTATTATGTTATCATTGTAATAGCTTAACAATGAGTTTCTTAAAGAAGGGAGAGGATTTAAAATCGCCAAAACTAAAATGACGCAATAATTGACAAAGGCCTTGTCTTAACCAACTGACTTATTGATAGCAATCAATTTTTATTTATGGCCAAGGAAATTGAGCATTATTAGATTGATTTGGGGCTCTTAATTTTGACACTATCTTAGCATATTGCTGTTAATGAATTTGGGGAAGGCATTTAAATAATCACGCCTCCGATGCCTGTGAACTTTTGATATGGCTGATTGAATATTTGTATTGTATCTCTCCTTTGGCAGACGCAGCGAACAAATAACGTGTTGATAAGCAATATGGTAAAGGGCATATCATAATTGAATCATATATTATTTTTATCTCGTTATTATCGCACACTTGACATTGTGTAATATTGCGTGTTGGTTTGCGGCCTCCATTTCATTTTCAGCTCAACTTCTGCCCTAAGCATCCACTATTTATTTTCGAAAAAAACTCAATTGTGTGTTGTATTTTAGTTGGATCTTTTAAGATATATTTTTAGGCGACAACGCGAGCAGGAAAGTTGTACCTTTCGTTTGAAGTATTGGTCCGACTACACTCAGTAAATACATCATTCGCAGCCGCAGCTGTTGCATGTGTGTGTGTGTATGGGTCTGTGGGTATATAGCATATAGTGCCATTATATATGATTGAACAGTTTGAAAATCACGCGACAAGTGCCGGCGTATAATTGGGGGTGTTCGGTGGCTTTTTTTCCCCAAGATCCTCAGAACAATTGTGATCATTTCATTTGACAACGGAAATTCGCTGGGAACTGGAAATAAGTAATTTACTAAAAAAAAGGCAAAAAACCAAGGCAACATCATCTTTTGAATATTATCTTTTCCTTCCTTTTTGGTGGCCATAAATCAATCGAACAACCAGGCCTCATTGTTATCAATGGAATTTGCCTCAAGTTCGCAGAAGACACTTGTTTGGAATTTTTGAGAAATTAATAACAAAAGATCGGGTTACTTGGCTGAGGCAGCAACAGTATCTGCAGCAATAAAATTTTACAGTGAGCCCTCTAAGCATTGGATAAACTGTTATGAAAGAGTTTTCGGTTTTTATATATAGAGTGACTAGCTTTATGAGCTGTAGACAGAGAGAGTGTTACATCTGTTCACAAAAAGATGCTAAACTGAAGGCTTCTGTAGATAGATAGGTAGATATATAATATATCTTCTAAGTCAGCATAGAAAAATAGGTAGTTTAAAACCAAAGTAGAGTTAAATATTTTCTTCATTAACTTCAACCCATCGAGAGTTCACTTTTTTTTTAGTACAACTCATACTTTGGCGTGGGAATGTCGCGTTGTGTTTGGGCAACTGTTTTGCTAAGTACCTGCCTCTGTCTGAGCTACGATGATTCAGGTAGATATAGCCGATTCACCATTATCTGTTCTATAACTGCCGATTATTGCACGATAAGTCCGCTTCTGATGGCTCCCCACTATATAAAACTGGGGAAAATTGCAAAAAGAGCATCAGCAGAATCGTAATGTGACGTTAACCCGCTCTGAGCCGCAAATACGAGGCCTTATCGTAATCAGTCCGCTTCGCGAGTCAGTAAATTTCGGTCTACCTTTTTTGGTATTCGGTTTTAGGTTTTCGGTTATAACGGTTCTCGGACTCTCAGCCAATTTCGGTGGGTTGGTCAGTTGGCCCGCGGACCGTGCGACGAGTGCATGTAAGTAGCGATCAGTGGTCTGTTAATTCGTTGATTGGCTTTCCAAAGTCCATCGGTTTTTCGGTGTTCATCGTCGTCGATCCGAAAGTAGCAGAGTTTTTTCAATGCTTTGACTCTGTTTTGAGGGCTTTTGAGCCAAGAAAGCTTTTGGGCCAATGTCGAGCTCGTTTCCGAGTTCAATTGGAAAACCAGTTAACGGAGCGAAGTGGAAGTGGCTATAGCTATGGCACAAGTCGAGTTGAATGGGCTGGGGATTTGTGTGTTTTCGCACACGCAGTGTGATAAGCGGCGATTAGATTTAAAGCACCCAATAAACTAAACTAAATTGCGATTTCTCCCCGCTCGTGATTGATAAATATTTGACTTTTAGTAGTGATAGCTGATTAGGTGCGAAAGGACCTTCAACCGACCAAGCAGAAAATCAGGTTTACAACAACTACCTTTTTTCTACTACTTTTTTATAATACATCGCCATTAGATGTTAAATTAGTTGATATAATCTCAAGTACCTTCTCGAGTGCTTCATAAAGGTATTTTCTTATAAATTTATATAAAAGCTTTATTGCTTTGTTATAAAAACATCATAACTGCCCGCCCACAACAAATATATAATATAGGGAAATGTCTGCCAAAAACTACTGGCGAAAAAAAGAATCAGTGTTTATTATGATTTTGCCATTAATCTCATCTCTTTGTCTGTGATAACTTATCAGTGATGATATTTAATATTCTAGTCCCAAAATGATGTCTGCCTGGAGTATCTTTATCGGATCATGCTGCCTTCTGGCACTAATGATCCATCCAGTCCAGCCGAATCCCATTGTTCCCCGTGCGGATGTGGCCACCGAGTTCATTATCCTACATAATAACGACATGCACGCCCGATTTGAGCAGACGAGTGTGACCAGTGGCACCTGCTCCCAGGAGGATGCCAACACGAATCAGTGCTACGGAGGATTCGCCAGGGTAGCCTATGAGTGAGTGCCATCTATTAACTTAATTATATATAAATCGAATAAATATCTTTAATTTAGAGTTCGCAAATATCGCAAGGAGGCGCAGGAGGGCGGAACCCCTGTGTTCTATCTGAATGCAGGTGACACCTACACCGGAACAGCTTGGTTTACCGTCTACAAGGACAAGATCGCCAGTGCTTTTCTTAACAAGCTATCACCGGATGCTATTGTAAGAATAGAGTTGGGCTTAACTCTTTTTGTACTTTATAAATCATATTTACTATTCCTTATAGTCCCTGGGTAACCATGAGTTCGACCAGAATGTTGAGGGTCTGGTGCCCTTCCTCAATGCCGTGGAGTTCCCTGTTTTGGCCTGTAATCTGAACCTTACCGATGTACCCGAAATGGCCGCTGCCAAACAGCTAGCCAACTCCACGATCCTGGAAACGAATGGCGTGAAGATTGGTGTGATTGGTTATCTCACACCTGATACCAAGGTGCTGGCATTCCGTAACAAAGTGGAGTACGAGGAGGAGATCGTTTCCATTAAGTGGGTAGACTCAAGAATTACTTAAGAGCTTGGTTTTTATTGTTTATATCTCTTAGTGCTGAGGCTGAGAGACTGAAAGCTCAGGGCATCAATATCATCATCGCCTTGGGCCACTCTGGCTACCAAAAGGATCAGGAAATAGCTTTGAACTGTCCGGAGGTTGATATCGTTATTGGTGGTCACTCTCACACATTCTTGGATGCCAATCAACCGGTGGCTGATCCCACGGACTCCGACCCGGAGGCTGTCCGAGGTCCTTATCCCACCACAGTGGTCCAGGCTAGTGGCAAAAAAGTTCCAGTTGTCCAGGCTTATGCTTATACAAAGTATCTGGGCAAGATCCATGTTCAGGTAACTAACTTAATAGTAAATTTTGTATAACTTTCCACTAATCTATATTTTTGTAAATTCCCAGTTCGATGCCGAGGGCAATCTGATTGAGTTTGATGGTGCTCCCATCCTGCTTAATGCCTCTGTGGATCAGGAACAGGATCTCCTTGATTTGCTAGAGGAATACCGCCCCCAACTAGAGGAGTTGGAGAAAACGATCTTGGGCTACACCAAGGTGTTCCTCGAGGGCGGCAACATATGTCGATTGAGGGAGTGCAACCTTGGAAACATGATAACAGATGCCATGATCTATTCCCGTGTCACGGAGAACAAGGGTGGAGAATTCTGGACGGATGCACCGATTGCCTTTATGCAGGGAGGAGGTGGGTTCAATTAGCTTGATTAGAAAGATCAAAAGATACTGATAAAATCCTTTAGGAATTCGAGCCTCCGTTGAAAAGCAAGCCGATGGAGCCATCAATGGAGCCACTTTGCTGACAGTTCTTCCTTTCGAGAATAATCTGTTTATAACCAAGATTTTGGGAACGACCCTTCTGGCAGCCTTGGAGCATTCAGCTGCTGTAAGGTTGCAGGACTCGAACGGTGGATTCCTGCAGATGTCCGGATTGCGTGTGGAGTACAACTACAACAACGAGCAGGGCAAACGGGTGGTTTCCGCTCAAGCTCTGTGCTCCAATTGCTCTGTTCCCACGTACAAAAGCATCAATGAGACGGCCTTTTACTTCGTGATCGTTCCACAGTTCCTGCTGGAAGGCGGCGATGGCTATGATCTGGTCGAGGAATCGGATCCCTATAGTGAAGATCTCGGCCGAAACGATCTCAATGCCACGATGGAGTACCTGAAGCAGCGCCATTTCGTCTATCCTGAGATCGAAGAGAGGATTGTGATCCATGAGAAGACTGATACCGGCTCGGCGTCCGGTATTGTGGCTTCCGTCACGCTGCTCCTGGTCTCTTCCCTGTTAACTAGATTCTTCTAGTGGGTTTTTCTTTTTGCAACCGTATTACTTCAATAATTTCATAGCCAAAAGTATGTGACTATTTTTACAGGAGATTGCATTTTTGCCCTTAAAGTTAGTTTAATTTTCAGCTAGCGAAGTCTGTTTTTTAGATGGCCTTAAATTACAATAATATATGTTTCGCTGAACATAAACAGATTAGCAAATAAATGTTGTGAAAATTAGAAATCATTTGTTTTTATTTGTATTATTAAAATTAATAGATTTTTGCCATTTTTCGTTTATTGATTGAACAACAAAAAACGTAAACTAAAAAATGTATTTAAAAAGACAAGTTTTTATTAGGTAGCTTCTTTGGTTATTGTAACTTAAATGTTATCAAAAATATTAAAGAAAATGTTATGTATATGTGTATATTGCTAATATAATAAAACCATTAATTAACGTTCTTGAATTATTTTCTTATTATGTTACTTCAATTACAGTTTTCGAACTTATCGAAAACCATATTAGGAAGAATGCGCATTATTGACTTTTAAAACTTTTAAATTTCTATTCTATTCTAAAATTATATGATACAGGATTGAAGTATTTCGATTTTGCAACACTCCAACAATTTTTCATATTAAATATGTTTTCCTGGAAATTTTAAATTTTAGCTTAAACAAAATGCCTACATAGTTTGGCTATTTCTTACTTTACATTTTTGGAATCTATAAAATGTATAAATTGCTTTCAGATTTTAATAAGGGAACTATATATTTTCTTAAAAACTAATTAGTAACCTCAGTATCAGGGAATAATGCACTAGCATTCTGAGTCTAAATTTGGAACACATTTCTCATCTCCATTCCAGTGCAAGTGTTCATTTATAATTAGCTGTTGGCCATGGCTGATTTATTTTTTAATTTGCGTACGGAATTTGAGAACAAGTGCTTTGATCTTTCGTTAAGCAGAAAGAAAACTTCCAACTCAACACGGTTTAAATGGCTCTTTATAATATATTTACAACTTTTATATCTAATAAACTTTTTTTCATTACAATGTTATGTTTACAAATTATTAATTTATCAAAATAAAAATCACTTCGGAAGTCTTAATTGATTATTTAAAAATTAAAAGAAAAGAGAAAAAAATAACTGACTACATCTGCCGCCTGCTCAATTTTTGATTTGATTAATTATTTGCAAATAATAACATAATAGCCGACAGCCGCCAGCCAGGCATTACGTATACGTAACGTAAGCGTATACGTAACTTCAGAGAAAGAGAGAGCGAGCAGAAGAGAATCTCACCTGCAGTTGAGATGCTGTTTTGCCGGTTAATTCTTAAAAATGATACTCATGCCATCGCACATGCTCCCAAGTGCCGGCGAATAAATGTGATATAAAAATAATTTATAATAATAATATAAACAGCGCTGCAGCAGAACATGCGACGGCGCCGGCAACTACGACCGCAAAAAGCGAGGAGAAGTCAGTGCGATTATAGACTTTGGTGGCAAAGGTTGTATATATATATTTTCAACGGTGAAACAAAAGGGAAACTGATCGTGATTTTTGTAGAATGAAATGCAGAATTCAATTAACTTTTACGTTTGGTAACAGAAGCAGGGCAACACCAGTAAAATGTGGTTTTTAATTATACTTTAGAGACGGAAAATTATTGAGTGGTTTTCCCAGTGCAAATTGATATTAATGTGTAACTGATTTTAGTTCCATAAATGCAACATTTCTGTAATTCGCGTAACGTTATTGTTGAAGCAAACTTCCTTAACCGGTACCTTTGACCGAATACATACAAAATTAGCTTTTACTTTTATCATCGTTAAGGAGTGTTTTTTCATAATTTCCAGTTTAGTTAAGTAATAAATATCTGCTGGTGTTGAAATCATTCCTTTCCCTACCTTCTGGCATTTAATATTGGCAAATTTATCAGTTTTGTGTAAATATACTTGGGTGTGAAATTATTACAGAGAAAGGCAAATGAATTATGCGATTAGCTATATTTGTTTTCCTTTTTGGCTTTCTGGGTGTTCCGTTTTTCCGAAACTATTGCACATGCAGGTATTCCAAGGCTGCATGAAAGAGTATTTCAAAATTGAATTTGCTTTTCTGCGGATCTTTAATGATCTGTGCGAAAGATTGTATCGCTCACTGCGGGGGGTTTTTTCGCGTGGATGACCCAAGCACTCACGCCTCAAGTGATATTTTTGCTTTATAAGCAAATTAATTAGGTTTAATATCTGGTTATGTGGAGCGACACAAAGGTTCACTTAATTGTATTGTTGTTTTCGCACTTGTTTCTGTTTTGAATTCTGTTTTGACGCTTTCAGATAGATAATTTTTTATTCTCGACCAGGAGTGAGTAAACAATATATGTTTATCATACAAATACATATATACTCCTCTATATAGAGTACCATTTGCAAATAGTCTGCTGTTAGGGGAAAACTAGGAACCAAACATGCAGTTCTGTTTACCACTTGAAAATACTAATTGTTCTTTCTACTGAATGTTTAGAGAGTGGGTTCTGTATCAAGGCAAATATTAAACTAATTTTTCAAAGAGTGTAAATTAATTTCAGCAAAGTTCAAGTACTTAACAGAGCTGTCTGCCAAACTTTGTAATTTCTATCGTAAAGTCATTAAAGCTATATAAGGGCCCATAAAGATAGAAGCGTATCATTTATAAGGTGTTTATGGATTGGGCTATAACCTATTCGCTTGGCACTAATGAAAATCTCAACTATCATTCCCAATTGGATTAAAGATGGAGTCGTGCCGGTTCACTGGGATCTTAGTGATTCTCCTGATTCACTGGACTCAAGCCAATCCTATATTAACTAATCCCAAAGTGGCCACGGAGTTTATCATCCTGCACAATAATGATATGCATGCCCGATTTGAACAGACGAGTGTGAATAGTGGCACATGTTCTCCAGAAGATGCACATACCAATAGATGCTATGGAGGTTTCGCCAGGGTGGCTTATGAGTGAGTTGCGATTTCTAGATCATGAGTTCCAAACCCATAAGCAAGCCTTTTTCAGAGTTCGAAAGTATCGCAAGGAGGCGAAGGAGGGTGGAACTTCCGTATTGTACTTAAATGCTGGTGACACCTACACAGGCACAGCTTGGTTTACTATCTTTAAGGACAAAATTGCCAGTGCTTTCCTCAACAAATTGGAACCAGATGCCATAGTAAGTATATTGGAACTTTTTTTTTAGAAAGAATAACCAACATATACCGTTATTTGTAGTCCCTGGGTAATCACGAGTTTGATGAGAGGGTAGAGGGTCTGATACCATTTCTCAACGAGGTCAACTTCCCTGTTTTGGCAAGTAATCTGGATCTTAGCAAGGTTCCCCAACTTAAGGCCACCAAGCACTTGGCCAATTCTACCGTTCTAGAGGCTAATGGCACTAAGATCGGAGTCATTGGTTATCTCACTCCGGACACGAAAAAACTTACCCTCAATATGGATGTGGAGTTTAACGAGGAAGTTGAGTCCATCAAGTGAGTGAATTAATCATCTTTGTTACCTTAACCTAATCTCGAATTCATATTAACCAGTGCTGAGGCCAAGAAATTGAAGGCGCAGGGCATCAAAATCATCATCGCTCTAGGTCACTCTGGTTATGCAAAGGATCAGGAAATAGCAAAGAACTGTCCGGAGGTGGATCTAGTGATTGGTGGCCATACGAACACATTCCTCTACAATGGTGCCCAGCCGGATTCGGAACACATAGATGGTCCCTATCCGACGTTGGTCAAGCAAAAGAGCGGCAAGGAGGTTCCGGTGGTGCAGGCCTATGCATATACCAAATATTTGGGAAAACTTCATGTGCAGGTATATTATCTTAGAAACAGTGTGATTTCATTTTCAAAACTAGTTAAATATTTCATTTTCATTTAATTTTTCAGTTTGATGCCGAAGGTAACCTTATTAAGTGGGATGGTGCTCCTATCCTGCTCAATGCTTCAGTGTCTCAGGAGCAGGATCTCCTGGATCTGCTGGAGGTCTATCGCCCGAATGTCACTAGACTGGAGAAGGCAGTCGTCGGACACTCGAAGGTTTATCTGGAGGGTCGCAAGGAGGTTTGCCGGGCAGCGGAATGCAACCTTGGCAATCTGATAACCGATGCGATGGTGTACAGTCGCCTTATGGAGGAGCAAGGCGGCGATTTCTGGACCGATGCTCCCATTTCTATAATGCAGGGAGGAGGTAAGTGCAAGCTTATATTGTCTGTATTGAGTACATGTTAATTTTGTTATTTTATATGTTTTTCAGGCATCCGTAGTTCTATTGAAAAGCGATCAGATGGCTCCATCACCGACAGCGATATCCTTTCCGTACTGCCCTGGAGTAATAATCTCTATATGACGCCGATGTCAGGAAAAACTCTCCGCCGAGCTTTGGAACACGGAGCTGCCTTGAGGGGCAAGGATTCGGACGGTGGTTTTCTGCAGGTGTCTGGCATCCAAGTGGTGTTTAATCCTAAGAAACCTGAGGGTCAGCGCGTGGTCTCTGTTAAGGTTCGATGTGGTGCTTGTCTAGTGCCCACCTATGGTGATCTGAATGATACAGCTACCTACAATGTTGTTCTGGGAGAGTTCTTGTTGGATGGTGGAGATGGACATACATTTAGGGATCCAGCATATAAGCCGCAGCGTCTGCAAAATAACGATAAGGAGGCGGTGTCCCAATATCTTAGGCAACGGCAGTATGTTTATCCCGATATCGAGGGTCGTATTATTTTCATAAATTCGGCTGGTGGACTTATGGGCTCAGTAGCCCTGATCGTTATTACTTCCCTCTTGATGAATATATTCAATTAGAATTAAATCTTTACAACCTACCTTAGTTTACGCGTTTATACTATGATTCCTTAACAGTAGTCCTTTGCAATAAAAATTTAAATTTTTTGATTAAATTCGAGGTGTTAGAAAAACTAATTTGTTTTTACAAGAAACCAGAATCTTAAAAAAAAACGCATTTTTGGAAAAGGAATATATAAATAGTTACGGTCGACAATGATGGACATTGTTTTCTTAACATTTCAAAGATATTTAAATTATATATAGTGGTGCATAGTTTTAGGCATGGCATAAAATAACTACTTTAGTTACAAAGTGGCTGCTAGGCATATTGAATATATATACTTATATATATACATTTTAAAATATAAATATGGCTGTAATAAGGAGATACAAAACGAACCGAGACTAGCACCGACAATAAAGGGTCCGCTTTTATTTTTAAATACATTTATCATTAGCGGCCAACCGATAACTATTTATCGAAAAGCAATGGTCTTCGGTGTGACCAAGGAAGAGTAAATAAGATATGCCGTTAAGATTTAAATAATTATTATAACTTTTACTTAGTTCTCATATAACATAACATAAAATTAAAAAAATAAATGATTCTATCCTACTTTTTTGAATTCTAAGACCCTAGATCTAAGTTTTCTATTGTTTTTCATTCAGTTTTGTATATATTTTTTGAGCTTTACCAAAAATGTTTAAAGTTACAACAGTTGCCTTCTTGGTGATCGTGACATTTGTGGACTGGATCTGTGGCTTAAGGCTTACCATACTGCACACCAATGATATGCACTCCTGGTTCGATCCCATTTCCGGTAAAGGTGGAAAATGTAAAGGTAATGATGATGTGATGGGCTTATGTTTCGGAGGATTTGGAAGGGTGGCTACAGTGTAAGTTTTCTTAAGATGTGTTTCTTTAACAAAGGATCCAAATGATAACATCCAATTTTAGGGTTAACACTACCAGGAATACTGCAAATGACCCAGTTCTCTATTTAAATGGTGGCGATTCCTTCCAAGGAACTCCCTGGTTTTCAGTTTATCGAGGCAAAATGGTGGCAGAAATGCTAAATTTGTTGGCGCCTGATGCCATGGTAAAAGTTATTAAGATAATTTCAAGTTTTTAAGATAATGAATCTTCAATAGACCCTTGGAGTTCACGAGCTTGACGATGGAGCGGGGGCCTTTGCCGATTTTTTGGATATTATTAAGTTTCCAGTGGTCACCAGCAATGTAAACTTGAAGGGGGAACCCAGACTTGCAAGTCATAAACATTTAGTTTCCTCCACGGTTGTTACAAAGGGTAATCATAAGATTGGCATCGTGGGTTATATAAGGACGGATACCAAGCAGCGTACTCAGCCCAATAATCTGGTTTACAAACAGGAGGTCCCCGCCATTAAGTATTATATTTGAATTATATTATAATAATCCTTAATCCTAAAATTCCTATTTTAGTAAAGAAACAAAGAAACTTATTGATAAAGGAATCAATATAATCATTGCTCTGGGACATTCGGGCTATGATAAGGATATGGATATAGCCAAGCGTTGTCCGGACGTCGACGTCGTAGTGGGTGGTCAGTCACACACTTTTCTATATTCCGGAAAGGCTCCGAGCACGGATATTCCGGAGGGTCCCTATCCGACTATAGTGATAAAGCCGGATGGCAGAAAGGTGCCTGTTGTCCAGGCCTATGCCTATACCAAATATCTGGGAAAACTATCGCTAGAAGTAGGATCTTCCAAACGCCAGTTTCTCATTTAGTTTTAATTTGTCTTTAATTTTTCAGTTTGACAATAATGGGAACCTGCTGACTTTCAAGGGCAGCCCTATTTTACTAGATAATAGCTTTAAGCCAAGAAAAGATGTTCAAAATTATCTTCAACAATATCGTCAGGTCATCGACGATATGGAGCGCAATGTGGTTGGGACAACTTCGGTTTATCTGAATGGCGATAGAAGAAGCTGCGGTTTTGGCGAGTGTAATTTTGGTAACTTTATAGCGGACAGCTTTGTTTATAATCGAGTAATGGAAGCCTTGTCCCTACGAAGAACTTGGACCGATGCTCCTATTGGTCTCATTAATGCTGGCGGTGAGTGATTCAGTTTAAGTTTGACTATATATGTAAATATTTTAAAGTATTATTTCACAGCCATTAGAGCCTCCATTGATCCCGGGGAAACGGGTGTCATCACAGAGGCCGATGTGGTGACTGTACTTCCCTTTAGCCACGCTATGTTCTATACCAGGATTAGTGGTAATCAATTGATAAAAGCCTTGGAACACTCTGCCCACATGCGGAGCAAACGGATGTCTGGTGCCTTTCTTCAGGTTTCAGGACTTCGTCTGAAGTTCAACTACAGCCAGCCTAAGGGTGAAAGGATTAGTGATCTTAAAGCCCTGTGCTCCGCCTGCCAGATTCCCCACTATGAGCCCGTCGTGAGCCAGAAGTATTATGGTGTAGTACTCACCTCGTTTCTGTTGAACGGCGGTGAGGGCTACAATTTCATCGATCGAAAACATCCGGAAGTTGCGAATCTTACCATTCTCGATCGCGATGCAGTTATACGGTATCTCAAGGAGCACAAGATCATTTACCCGGAACGGGAGGACCGACAATCTGCACGGGAGATGCGTGAAACCAACTTGGCTTCCAACTTGTTGTCGTTTGAACGCTTTTTGTTAGTTAGCTTTTTGTACTTTTGTCACTTTATTCTCGTTTAAGAGTCGAGTCTGCGAAATGGGAAAAGAAAACGATCTGCGTCTCCATGGGGCATCATTATCATTAGAATTCGCTTTCTGTTTTTGTCCGTTGCGCAACCGCTTAGAACTGAGATCAGCGATTAGTTGAAGTGTGAGCAGTGACCTTTCCTATATAAACAAACATGTCTAAAATCAGATTATAAATATATATTATCAAGCCTAGACTAAGTTTAATAGTCTCAGCATCGTTTTATTATAATTTGGAAAACAAAATATAAAGGTAAAGCTAACAGATTCTTTTAACAGTTTCATCAGATTTAACAGCTATGATGGTAATGATTTTAACCCAAATCCTTAGAACTTGTTCTAAGAAATACAATTCGATTTATTTATAATCCAAATTTATAAACAAATGTAAGCTTTTAGGTTTCTAAAGACATATCGTGCTCTCTGCTAACAGCATTTCTGACTTTGACTGATCAGTGAGTGTCTCGGGCATATTCATAATGCCAGGTGCTACCAGCATGACTCCACTTCTGTGGCTGGCCATAATTGACTGCCAAATGAAGGCTACCAATCGGCAAATGTATCTGTATCTGTGGCTTGGTCTTGGGTCGTTTGTCCGGGCTTCCGTCTCTGTCTTTATAGCTGGCGGCTTTGGTCTCGTTCTCGGGTGTCTTCTGCTGGTGCTAAGCACTATTAAATTCCCCATGGTTAGGCTTTTCATGAGAAGTTCATGGCGCACCGACCCCGCCGACCTCTGCCCACATAATAGTCATCAAGCTCGTGTTGGCCGCCCCTGCATCGCAGTTACCCCTCGATTCTCCTCGGGATCCATCCATTGGCTTTGGCGTTGACTTTGGCCCCAATGTCTGCTACTGGCGGCGTGTTCCAGCTTTAGATGCAGCTCCATCTCCATCTCCGGCAGCAACTCCAGCTCCAGAGTTCTGCTGTCGTGAGAAGCACATACACATCATGGATATGCACACACATTGCATCCACATCCGCATCCACATTCAAGCTCAACTCGATCGTAGGCGACACAAACACAATCTACTGTCGGCATTTGGCCAGTGAATTGCGTGCACAGAGGGAAAATATTTTTAAATTATTAGTCCTAGATCTGGACTATATTACATAATAAATATTACTATTGGTTAGAAGTGGGTGTAGTTTTTCCTGGCAAGTTAAGCTAGAGTACAATTTTCGTATACAACTTTCACCCATAATGAAAGAGGTAGATTTTACATGATAGTAATCATTCTATAGTTTGAATTTCTCTCGGTGAATGAATAAGGGAGAAGGGTGGGAAAAAGAGGGCGGGTCAGCGGGTGCTGGCATGTAATTATGTGGCCCCGTAAACCGCGTCTTGGGCTCGGACATCGGTCAAGTGCAGAATCGGGCACTTCTTCTGCGAGGCAGAACACGCTACAGTCGGCACCTCGTACTCAGCTATCAGTCATTCGGTTAGTCATGGCTCAGAGAGGTTCTTGAACCCGCCCATACCCACACCCACACTTTAACCCATACCCCAACTCACACCATCCTCATCCGTATCCAGAGTCACATTCACATCCACATCCACACCCGCATGAAGGTTGGCAGTGGCATTTCAATTTCGCAAATGAACCCCACACTGTCCGTTCTAACTTGGCTATAATCTTTGGCCGGGCTATGTGTCTGCACATAAAAGTCTACTTCCGTCTTTCTTTCATTTCTATTTGATTCCCTTCATTAAGAATGCTTCTTGGTTTCCTGCTTAGTTCTCGTACTCCTCCAACTCTACCTCCTCCCCTTTTAGTTCTAACCGTTTAGGTCTAATGGCCGTATTAGCGACATGAGAATAGAAGATCGCGCGCCATTTGTTCGGGCATTACCAGCAATCCCTGGTATCTGGCATCTGGCATCTGGTCTATATCGAATTGAGACATGGGAATTGGTGTGTGTGTGTGTTGGAACTGGAAGCAGATCATGCATGGGTCAATGAGTTGCGCGACTCACAAATTAGTTGAAATCATCCAAAGACCCCGCACCGAAGTCCCCATCCCGAGATGTGATTTTCGTGTTGATGCGGTTAGGTTGCCATTGTTGCCTGGTTATTCCTGGTTGGTTGTTGTGCCGGTCGTGATTTTGTTGCCCAGTTCGCCAGAAACGTTGAATTGGCTTCACCTTTTGACATGGAATCTGAAATGACGTGAAGCAACAGCCGAAGGAAGAGCTGCTACTCCTCCATGGACTCTTTCTTCTTCTGTGTCCCCAATTCAAGCTTTACCACTTTGATTGCCAGTTAGCCATCTCATCCTCATCCTCAGCCAAATCCCCATCCTCCGGCAAATGCTCATTTGGTTTCGTTTCTCGTTTCGTTTCAGCTTCATTGCTTTGTGATCGAAGTTATTTACCGTTGATATGGTTATGGTCAAGGCGAACGGGCAAGAATCGAACGAAGCAGGCCAATTGCGATTCTTAAGAGGTGGGAGGATCATTGCGAAGATCATTGGGTTACCTTGTTTTCTGTTTTCCTTTGGTCCAAATAGTGATTTGAATGCCATAGAAGAAGAGCAATCGATTTGTCTATTTGAGAAAAGTAGAAATTGTAAAATTGAATACTTTACCGACAATATATAAAAATGCAAAGGTGTTAGCTACCTCATCAAGTTAGTGTCATTAAAAAAAACTACGGTTTTTTGTAAAATCTCTAATATTTTCTTGACTTCATGGGGTCATCTCAGTCTTATATGCTCGATCTTCTCTATAACTTTGCAAACGAAAGACCTGGAAAACATTTATTGAAAACCTGGCATTCATTTGTGAATATTTTAATAAGTTTATTATAAATGCACATGACTCATGGCAGTCGAAAGGGGGGAGTCAGATTCGGACATGAATTTATGCATGAATGGATCGGATCGGATGGGTTACGATGGGATGGTCTAGGATCGGATCGGATCGGTCCTGATCGGTTTGCTGGTCATGTTCCTGTGATTTTGTGGGCTTGGCCCTCACGACAGTTGGCACGGTGTGTGTGTTCTGTGTGACCTGCGATGCAAATGCTGATGACCTTCATACCGCCAAGGACACACACATACACAGCCACAGGCATTACCACTTTGGCTATCCGATCAGAAAGATATTCTAATTAGAACGCAGGCAAGTGGAAATGTGCAATGTCCGCCTCAAAAGAGTATCTCAGTGTCATTTCTCAAGCCGCGAAACTCGATTCACATTAATCCTTTGATCCCAAGCGGAAAAAGTGTGTATTAGTGCTCCAACTCTGCTTTTATAGTTGTTGTTGTTCATGTACACAGAAAGAAAATCAGATTGTTTTCCCACTGAAATAGTTAATTATGTTACAAGAGCAGAAAATGTGGTGGAAAATGATTTCTGTTAGTGACGGAAAACCAGCATAAATAGGCTTTAATATATCTTATAATAATCAGATCTATTTTATATCAATTTTTCGTTCTGTATTCCTTAAGCGAGATGCCATGTCCATGTCGTCATCATCAGCATCATCGCTAAACTTGACGCTAAAATGGATGTGGATACACAGGAGCAACACACACACACACACACACACACTCAAACTCACGCACCTAGGATAGCAGGGAGAGGAGATGGGCGAAGAGAAAGAGGACGAGGACGACAAGAGGAAAGCCAAAGAGGCAACCAAAGTCCGTTGGCAAAAACCAAAGTCGAGGATTTCTACCAAAAGGCGAATTAAATTCCTCAATCTGGTGCCGAGTTTATTTTTAGACCAAAAACAAGCAACAGGAACAAGAACAGCAACTAGCAATGAAATGGGAACAGGAGGTGGGGCAGGAAGAGGAAGAGTAGAGGGAGGTGGCTAGGTGAAGAAGAAGACGATAGCGACGATGCCAGGAACAAGCACATACACAAAAAAAAAATCTTAGGAGTTTGGAGAATAACTTTAACTTTACTAAGTTACATTGTTATGTGATCTTTCGGTTTGTCCATTTAAGTTCAATGTTTCTAATAAAACCATAGAAATTATGAAAAACCTTTAAACTTTTTTTCAGTGCACTTCCTCACACAAATACAAATGGTGAGGATCAGAAGATCAAGCTAAGAAGAAGCAGCGGCTGCCGCGGGTATAGATGGATGAATGCTGTTAAAGGCGAAGGCCATCCAACAGCCGCCACAGCCCCTCCCACTTCGCCACCGCCATTGCCACCGCCTCCTCCTTGTGGAAAATCCAGATTGCAAGGAGTCCAACTAGCAGCCGCGTCGGTCACATTAAGCTCCACTGTGCGTTGCTGTCGCAGTCGCCGTCAACGTCGGCGTCCACCCTGCGGCAGTTCAAACAACAAATGCCAACCAAAACCAAGGGCTTACCAAAATCTCTGTGCGTTGTACTAGCGATAGAAAATTTCGATTGCAATGGGCACGCACGCAGGTTTTTAGGTGCAGTTGCACCAACCAACCAACCACCCAACCCAACAATCCATTGAACCAGCAGACTCCACATCCTCCGCCGTCCAACTGGGAAATTCCGGGCAATTCATTTCCCATGACTGTTAATCACTTGGCCATTATTATGTTTAGCCGAACGCGTACATAATTATAGCCCTGCAACCGTCGATCGGGCGATGTGTCCAATGGGATTAACTATTGGTTAAGCTAGAATTAAACCAGAATTAAATATGAGTGATAAAGGCGAGATGGGAGTACTCCACGAGCTGTTGAAGCTGGAATAAATTATCTGTACCTAGATGGTATTTAAGCACAGAGAGAAGTTTATCTTAAAGGTACATAAGATTTAGTTTGAAAATATTGACACATATTTCTAATAATAGTGATATATTACCTACAACAGATATATAATTTAACAAATTTTTAATAAAACCATAAATTGTTATAAGAACTAAAAATTAGATGCTTTCTTCCCCCTTGTAAAGTCCTCTAAACCAACGTAACTAATTGGTGGCTAATTTTCTCTAAGCCACTTAAAACTTTCGGTTATTAATAATCATTAAACCAATATTTATCCTTCTCCCAGTTCTAACGTTAATTAGAAAACAACAGGCCAGAAGCCAAAGAGGCCAAGAAGATGCCTTTAATTACACATGCAGACATTTATCATATTTTTTCGGTGGACTGAGGTGGAAAAAGAAGGAGGAGTGTAAGTTCGTGTTTTGCGGCTGGCACCCGCAGAAAGAGAAAAATTGTCAAAATGCAAAGCAGAAGATCATTATTACATTTCACGCTTCCAGCAAAAATAAGTAAAAGAGCCAACTGAAACCGCAGAAAGCGGCGAGTTCCACGGGCGACTCTACGTCGCGATAGCGTACCAAATTAATGGAAATGGAACCACATTGCGTTGGGTTCATGGAAGTGCTCGGGAAGAGTGGCTGGCAGGGGGTTTTTCATGGTTTGGCAGAAGGGATCGGCTAGTGGGCAGAGGGGCAGGGGGCAGGGGGCTGAGGGGTGTCTTTGAAGAACGTGCAGCGAGCCCTACAGGTAAGACTGTAGCGAAGGCGAAGAAAGACCAGCAGAAAGAACCCAAAACCAAAGCGTCGTTGTGGGAGAAAGAATAAAACTAACAATGGACTGCGATGACTCCGTCGACGTCGACGTCAGCTGAGCAGTCGACCGCGGCTCCGAATCCCATTGGAATGATGACGGCGACGTGCAGTCGAGTTTATAGGTGTGAGTGGACACTGAGAAAAAAGTGTTGTAAAAATTGAAAAACAATTCATTTTTTGGAAGAACAAACTTTAAGATTTTTTAAAGAAGATGGGAGGTGGTCGAAGGTATCACCTTAGACATTAAATCTCTTTAAAAGTGTCGGAAAGTATGCTATGCAAAATCATTTAATATGCGAAATAAAACATCTTATATAAATCATAACATACTTCTAGGTATATCGTAAGTAAAATATAAAAAGTTTTAGCTTAAATTAAATTTGAAAATTTATTTCCGAAAATCCTTTCAATCCTAAATTTTTCTCTTTGTGTAATAATATTTCGGTTTGAGCCCGCTTTTGTGTGCCTTTGGTTTATTGCGCTCTTTGTCTAGCACTGACTTTGGCTCACACACACAAACACCATGAAAGACAGGAAGAACTCACACATACGCACGCACACACACACGCTCACACAGAGTGAGGCCAATTTCCAATCACATCCATGAAATAAGCAAATAGTTGATTCTGTCCGATTCGACTATTTCTTCTTTCTTTTCCACGGTCTTTTCCCGTTTTCAGCCAGCAATTTCCTTCTTAAGCTAACTGCTTTCGGCACCAACCGACATTTACCAGCGCTAACTTGGCCAGAACAGAAGCTCAGCGGATCTAAAATTTCCAATTACCAATTCCAATTTCGGGATCTAAGGATTAACACAAGTTGCTGGCTGCCTTTAAAATCCGTATCTGTATCTGTTAGCCAAACCATCAGTGTGAAAACGTGTGTCGGTGTGTGTGTACACTTCGTTAACTGGAAGAGGAAACTGGAACTGGAATCGCTGGTGTTCTGGAAGCAGCGAGTCTCTTCGTCATTCTTGGCTTCTTCGGCTTCTTGGACAACGATTCCCATTCCCGACTTCTTGGCGGACATTCGCGGCTGCGTGATATTGGCCTGATCAGTTGAGCGATCAGTCGACAACGAAGGCTTGCAGTGAACGCGACGTGAAGTGCTAAACTCCAGAACTCCAAACTCTAACCACCACCTCGAACGCGCGTCCTCAAAAACGCTGAGAACCCGATTCGTATTCTCCGATCGTCGCCAGTGGCAATCAGATAGTGCTTCGCGCTCCTAACAATCCAACCACCCGAAGAAAAGATGGCCAAAATCGTACTCTTCTGCCTGCTGAGCCTCTTGGCATGCGCTGCAGGTTAGTAAAGTCACTGAATTTTGATTGATTTTTTTTGTGTATGTAGGTGTTTATATTTTGTAGTTTTGTCACTGCTTTCTTTATTTGAATTTAATATACATAGTATCGTTAGCTTGAAAGGATTAAAAGGACTTAAAAAACTAAATACAGTTCTTAAAAGCGGGTTTATTCCAGAATTTTTTCTTTAAATGCCGATAAATAAATGTAGTCTTATTTTAACACGATTCATTATTATCATCCTTTCAATCTAAGTAATACTTCTTACTAAATTTTTGAAACGCAGACCATGTCTTAAACGTGACTACTAAATTAAACTTCTTCTGAGAACATAAAGCAATGAAATAATTATGTTTTTATCCTCGCATCTCTAAATGCCTTGCTAATTGGCAGCTTACCTCTGTCTCTCAATGATAATTCAATCTCCAAGAAAAGTCTGTAATTATTCCTAGCATCTCCCATTTAACAAGTAAACAAAAGAAGTTCCAAAGAACTGCAAAATCCAGCCAAGCCTGAAAAACGAGGAAAGGAGAAAAAAAGAGATTCTGGCGAAACGAATGATGCATTCCCATCATTATATCCGAATCAGATTCGCAGTCATTAAGTCTGGTCGGTGTTTTTGCATCGATTCTTCGGTCTTCAATCTCCAGTCTCTGGTTTCCAGTCGTTGTCAGTCTACGCTGAGAGCTCTCCACTGATCGATTACCCCACCAGCACTGTTCCCATTCCCGATTCTGAACAAACTGGCTTTTTTTTTTATCAATTTCCCTCTGCTTATCCCAGTCGCCATCTCCATTATAATGATTTGCCTGCTAACTGGCCCGAGGGATGTTAGGTGCCAACAAATAACTAGAGTTAGCCACATCCTACGGCAATGGCATCAGCATCCACATCAGAGTCCCGGCAAACACTAGCATTGACTTTGACTGCATCATTAGAGACGTGCTAGATTCGCGATCTATCGCTGGCCAAGCGTAATTACCTTAGGAAATTATGGTGCTCGAGAGCTGCAGGGTTCTTTTCTGCGCTGCCCAATTATGGGGTTACCTATCCCGATCCCGAACCCGATTCCGATCTCGATCTTGGTCTTGGTCTTGATATTACTCCCAATCCCGCAGTCGAATTCACGTTCAAAGTCAGTGTCAAATTAACTGCAATTGGGACGGGGCTCGTTATCTTCTGGCCAAGAGTCGAGAACTATCTTCCACTTCGAATCCGATTTAGTTTCGCCATTAAGCTGGGATTCATTTGGTGAAATTAATGCCTGAATTGAATCTGATTCCCTCCAGCTCCAAGTTTAAATTGCCCTATTAAAATGAAATTTAAGAATTTCTTTTTTCCCGATGAGCTTCTGATATCATCGCATGATCATTATTCTTATTAGCCAGATAGAAATCTCAGCTCTTCGGACGCATAATAAATTCCCCAAAAAATCGTTTCATTCATAAATCTTCACAGCGACTTGTCTATCATCATCATCATCATCATTCCATCGGAGGGAGACTTTGACTTGACTTTGTGTGTGTCTTGCATTTAAATCGCCGGAAATAATTTCATATACGAGCAGAGTACACACTTGGTATTGTATATATGTGTGTGTGTTTAAACACTGGAACTCTCTTGATGTCTAGGCCCTTGCCTATACATCCCATATCCAATATCCATCCACGACAAGTGCCATAAATGGCCAAGTGGCCAAGGGTTCGTTGAGTCGGTTGGAAAACAAAGTACTCACATTGGTATTTGTGTTTATCTTTTGAGCCGCTTTGTAAGGGCCAAACATACACACAGGTATGTGTGTGTACACAGATACTTTTTGAGAGGGCCAAGATCTTTGTCCCTTGGCTACCTGTTGCCCCGATCCCGAACCCCAATCTGAACCCTGAAACCAAAATTAAAGTCACTGTCATCTTGCATTGTTCCCAGCCTCTCGCAGTCTTCTTCTTTTCACTTTACTTTACTTCTCGGGTCAGCGATTACATAAGATTCGGTTGGGTCTCTGTCTCTTCGTCTTTATTTCGGTGCTGACCAGCGGGCTAATTAATGTCATCAGCACCTTGATTCCCCATTTCGGATTTTGTGTAATTAGCCGACAGAGGTCAGGGACCGCATAAATGCTCCTGGTCATCATCATCATCATCATCATGAATCACGCGTCCAATTTTGGGGGTCCAAAGTTTTGTTCTTCTTGGTTTGTTTTTATGGAGTTGGGTCCAACGATGGCTAGCCACTTTTTTGGTAATCCCATTTAATGATGTTTCTGCGATTACGCATGCGATGTCCGAAGCTGAAACCGTTACCGTTTTCGCTATTTCGGTTACGCATTGCGATTCCAATTGCGTTCGGATTTCAGACTTATAAGAAGGTTCATTCACCTAAGGTTATATAGTCTTACTTTTCATATAAACTTTTATGATATATATTTGAACTATCTGGTATTACAGGTCAACGCATTACGACAATTCACCTGGATGGAGTGCAATACTTTATCAGCCGAATGAATCCCTATTCCCCGGAGCTTAACTACTTCCTGGCCTATCAGTATTGCCGTTCTCTGGGCCTGCAGTTGGCCTCCTTTGAGACGAAGGAGAAGGCCGAGTCGATGACCACGTATCTGAAGAATGCCGGTTACGGCAACTACGATTTCTGGACCTCCGGCAATCGCCTGGGCACGGGCATGTTCCTATGGATGAGCACTGGTCTGCCGTTCAATGCCACTTTTGATTTCTTTGAGAACTCGGCGGACGCCATTCAGGCCGGTCTGCTCGATCCCGTTGATCATAATAGCAACACCTCCCCCCAGCGCACCGCTCGCGACAGGTAAGTAGTCCTGACTGGAATGGTACACAGAGAAAAAAGGATAACACCTTTTGCCCTGTTTCTTTGTTCCTGTATAACTTGTATCCATCTACATCGATATCCTTTCTGTTTACTTTCTCCAATCTATAGCAGCAGTGGCGCCGAGAAGGGATGCGTGATCCTGAAGCAGCCCACGCTCAAGTGGATGCCCGAGGACTGCTCGGCCGTTAAGGACTTCATCTGCGAGCAGACCCGCTGCTACTATTACAACTATGGCAGCATCCCCGTCTCGTCGGCGCAGGGGTAAGGACACTTGACCGCGGAGCCACTCCACATAACTCCACAACTCTACACAACCACATGATAAATCGAACAGATATTAAGAGAGCACTGATTGGAGGAGGAACTAAGAATATTGATAATGCAATAAACAAATTATGCTATAATTAACGTTAATTAATTTGCTATACGAGCTGCCCGCAAGTGGCAATTAAACAAATGTCCCTAATTAAGTAAAACAAAAGCGAAAAAACATATTTATACCAGATAAAAAAAACTTAAACTAAAAGATAAACCAGATCAAGAGATTACGCAAGGATAAAGTGATTAAACACAAGTTACTTTAGTTGACCACAAATATACACAGACACACACACACAGACACACCACACAAACATACACACATTGACAGAAGGCGAATCCTAATTCGATTCCCCAAAAAAAAACACAGAATTTGCAAAAAGAATGAACAAATAGGTGAGCTAAACCCCAAATCGTAACCAATCTACCATAACTACACACACAATCTATATATGCATATGTACATCTAAAGACTAATGCGACTTCTTACTAACGCCACTCCAAGTCAAGCCGTTAAAATGGTTTGCTAAAACTCTACTCAATCCTAAATTGAAATTTTTAAGATCTCAAAAAAAAAAGCTTACAAAAAGAACACTACCTTGTAGACGCCAATGGGATGTCCAAATTAAAGAAAGTTAATGCAATCTTTAGCGTTGTTAAGTTACTAATGTTGGTAAGAACGTATCAAAATCTTTCTTTTAAAAACCTTTTTTTTAAAGGTAATTTAAGATTGCATTGACTTTTGTGACCCCTCCCATATGAGCGCCAAAAAATGTATTTTGTTTGGTGGTTTGGGGCTTAGCTTCCTTAGATGTTGTATCGCTCTCGTTGCTGTTGTTGTTGTTGTTGATGTTGTCATGATGAATTGTGTTCAACTAACTAACTTTAGTCTAAGCAACTTTCGCACTAACCACGCCCACGAACCGCCCAAGGAATCAGAGAATGAAACTAAACAATTTTCATTATTTCTCCATTTCAATTCTCCACCATATAGACGTCCCATCACCTCGACAACCCCAAGGACTCCTGCCTCACTGATGAACCTGCATGTTGCTGCCACCACCACTCCTTTGCCCCTGTTGATGTCCACCAGTGGAGCCATGTACACCGCTGCCAAGGCCAAATCCTCGCCAGGTGTGGGCCATCGGCTGATTGATGATTCCAGCTCCCAGCAGCAACCCTCTTTTATGTCCTTCAAACTGAACCATGATCGTTCCCTGCCCGATACGGATTCCGCTGATGTCGATGTTGACGACCAGGAAACCGATGTTGAGCCCGAGGAGCACGACGACCATGAGGCTGAGGGAGAAGGCGACGAGGAGCATGAAGGCGACAACTTTGGAGAACATGCTCGTGAATTGGGCAACGACAGCGATGGCGACATCAAGGAACATGTTTTCCCTCTGAGCGACAACGAACTCCATCCCGAGATGCATTCCATTGAGGAGGTGCAGCAACAGTTACAGCAACAGGATCACGATTCGGAAACGGATTCGGCCCCAGCTCCAGCTACGGCTGAGGAAAACGAGAGTTCCCAACATGATGCTGAGGCGGATGGGGAGCACGATCTGGAAGCTGAAGGTGAAACCGAGTCGGAGAACGAGTCCCCAGTAGCTCCCGTTCAGGTCAACGAACCATTGGCCCTACCCAGCTCCACGGAATCCCCAGCTGCCGCTATCGAGGAGCGCATCAAGCAGATTGCCCAAGACTTCCAGAAAATGGCCAGCTCCCAGGAGCTGCAGCAGCCCAAGGAGGAACTGACACCCCAATCGTCCCTGTCCCTCAACGATCTGATACGCACCCTGCGACCCAACGAACAGCAGATCATCCCACAAATCGACTCGGACTACTCGAATGCCATGCGTGTCCTGGGCAAGCCATTGGCGGCCAACAACTAAGCATGTCCCCGTAGAAGCCACTAGCCTAAGTTGTGTGTGTATGTTTGGGTCGAGGAGGTTATCTAATTGGGTATCCGGGTTCCACTGAGGAATGAACATTTTCGATAGCCGGCCGGACATGTCCGAAAATGACGCTTCTCTCTGAGGACCTCGATACCAAGCGATGACCCCGCTAAAACTAACGATCCGGCAAGAGAGATTAAAGGAGCTAAGACATTAATCTATATATAAATATATATGTATTGTATGCTTTAATTGTATGACAACCACCACAAAAAAGGAAACTCTTGATTAATAAACGTAATAAGTAAATAAGTTGATTGGCTTTTTAAGTAATATATAATCTTTATGGGTTGCTATATATAGCAAGGTAGATCCCAAAATCAAAAATAAGTTTAAAGAACTTACATTTGTGGATTCTAGGAACTGTAAGATGACAATAATTCTGGCCAAGTTGAATGCACTGTTAATATATAATACCCCTAAGTGGGGATTAAAAAAGATCTTCCGTAACTTCAGGGGAAAACTATTAAGAATACTTAAGGCACTTAAGGTTCCCCTGTGGAAAACCCCCAAAAAACTGATGTAATCTTTCGTTGAATCATTTGTAAAAGAGGAACCCCTCCAATAATAGAATATAATCGTAATAATCTGTGCCTTCCCATTGCCAAGAGATATCTCATAACGGCTCGCCTTGACCATGGCCAAAGCGAAAATCATAAAGAAGTCTCTGAGATTTATTTGGCTTAGTCGAAACGAAGATGAAAGCCAATAATCGTAAATTAACTGCTAAGGCTCTAAAAACTGAAGTGTGTGCTGAGGAATTTTATTGCACTCGCTCTGCGAGAGCCAGCGGCTGAAGAATAAATAAATTCCTCGGTGGGCTTACATCACGCTGCCCGTGTCCATACCCATGGCCATGCCCATGCCTGTGCCCAAGTCCATGTCCGTGTCTGCATTCAAATCTGCAAATCATCTTTCTTAATTTAAAGAGGATTCCGAGACGCAGACGCATCACATCAAGTTTTATGTGTGTCGGTGTCGTTCAACAATTGGATGAAGATGGAGTTGCGACGTTGCCACAGTACACATTAACCAGCAGATCAAAAAGGGGCCTTTGGCCAAGACTCTTTCCCCCCCCTCCATCCCATGCCATATTCTACATTCCACCTCCCTGCCCACCTGCTGCTCCATCTTGGTCTTCATCTTCATCTTCATCTTGAGCTCCACCTTCGCGCATGCGCAGACGACTGACTTCGTTTGAAGTTCTGTTGACTGATGTTGTTGCTGTTGGCCCGATGATGTTGCTGTTGCTGTTGTGCTGCTGCTCTGCCGCTGAAAGTGGTTAATGAAAGAAGCACACACAGCGAAATGTGTATGTGGACATACATATATGGTATATGGCAGCAGCAGCAAAAGCAGCAGCAGATGCCAAGACAACCTTGAAATGTATAGCAGGGTCCAACGAACGAATATAAAAAAGGTTCTTTGGTTCTCCGGTTCTTGGTTTCTTTATTTTTTCTCTTTTCCCAAAGGCACCAAGAATATCGGAGAACAGTAAGTAACTGCTAACTGGGTATGCCCCAATCCGGCTGAATCTCTGGTCGTCTCCAGAAAGCAAAAGTGCTCGTATATGGGAGTTATTTTTAAATATCCAGACTTTTTCGAGTGCATGCAAATGATTCAGTGTGTCCGGAAGTACCGGAAGTCAGCGCAAGAGAAAGTTCTGACTTTTTCGGATTATATAAGGGAATATTGCTGGAGTGTCCAGTATCAGTGCAAGACAAACAGTTCTCTTGACACAACGTTATATCCTTTACAAGTTCACAATGAAAGTAATCCTGGTCCTGACTTTCCTGGCCACTTTGGCCAGCCTTTCTTTGGCTTTTCCCCAGGTGGGACATGGATCTCCTAATGGACCCAGTGGGGTAAGAACTCATTTATCAAAAAACTATAAAATAGAGTAACATTCTTTTTTTTGTATATCATTCAGCGCTTTCCTATGACCAAAAACTGGGCGCAACCTCCAGTCGATCTGCGAAAACCCATTATCTTCCTGCCAGAGGCCACGCCCATTCACGAAGCCCAGGAATCGCGGCCCGGACAAGCCAGGCGTCGCAAGAGTGGATAGATTCCATGGAATAATAATATATATTGAATGGTTATACAACCTTTAGCAAGATAAATAGTTATAAATATATTATTGTTGTGTTCAAATAGTAATGATAAAAAGATTCTATAAAAATCTATTTTATAGAATTTTGTATTATTTCACTCTTAAAAGATCCTACGGTTCAGTGCGAAAAAGGTATATATATATATATAGACAGTTGGTAGTTTGACTTGTGAACTAGTTTTGAGCTACACTCAGATTAATTAAATTGGCACGACAACGCAAAAAAAGCAAACCGTGAAAGAAACCTATAAAAGAACGATATCAATGACAGTAGCGTCAGTACATCTTCTCAAAAGGTTAGTTAAGTTACTCGAAACAAAATGGATTTCAATCATAGGGAACTTCAATTTAATGAATTTAAATTACAATACCAGTTTGTTTTTAACTTCATTGAGATAAATAAAAAATGTCGTTTGTGTCGTAATATGTTATTGACTTGCGTTATACGACGAGCTTTTAATTGCTTTTGGTGATAAAATAAAACTCAATACAAAATGACGTGCTAAAATAGTATTAATGGTGCTAATTTAAGATGTGCCAATAATTAGTGAAGCAAAAAATATAAGACAAGTAAACCGAAAACAATGAAGATTGTTCATTCCTTAGAAGTTTTTATATCTAATATTAGATTACCAATTAGTAATCTTTAATTTCCCTCGCAGTTCAAAATGAAGATCCTGTTGCTGCTTCCACTTCTGATATCGACGGTCTCTGGTCAGGGATTCGGAAATTTTGGTGGCGGCGGATTCGGGGGATTTGGAGGGGCAACTGGTGGATTAGGAGGCCATAGTAGTGCAGCTGCGGGACTTGGCGGAATCGCAGATGCTGCTGGACGACTCGCCGGGGCAGCTGGAGGTATCGCTGGGGCAGCTGGAGGACTCGCCGGGGCAGCTGGAGGAACACTGGGTGGAGCTCTATCCAATGTAGCCAACGCTGCACAGGGTGTGGTGTCCAACATAGCCAGTATTGTGCCCAAAGTGCCACTGTTGACAAATGTCCAAAACTTTGATGACTTCCTGGTGAGATTTTAGGGATTCTACTTCATAAAAAGTCGACTATAATCGGAAATCTTCCTCAGAGCCAAACTGGAAAGACATTATCTGCAGCGGAAAGGTCTCTGCGTGAGGGAGCTTTCACTGCCACCAAAAATCTGGTAAATGCCGGAAATGAGGCTTTCGCAAAAGGACTCTCCACGTTTGAGATGGCAGTGAATGCCTTCGCTGATTTGACCAATGAAGAGTTTCTTAAGCAAAAGACAGGTCGCAAGAGGTCACCTGAAACGGAGTAAGTTTAGCTTTTCGGATAAACGTGCTAAAAATTGTTTAATTTGTAACTATTTTCCATAGCGCTAGGACAGCATCTAGCCGAAGGTTGGCCACCGTTCCCGAAGATAAGCCTATTCCAGAGTCTTTCGATTGGCGGAAGAAAGGAGGTGTTACCCCTGTCAAGAACCAGGGCACTTGTGGATCCTGTTGGACCTTTGCCACCACAGGGGCTATTGAAGGCCACACCTTTGCCGCAACAGGCACACTGCCCAATCTCTCCGAGCAGAATCTAGTTGATTGTGGTCCAACAGAAGATTTTTCATTGAATGGATGTGATGGTGGATTCCAGGAGGCTGCTCTTTGTTGGATCCATGAAAATCAAATGGGTGTGCCGTTGGCCGAAAATTATCCGTACGTCGACAAACAGGAATCGTGCAAATTTGAGCCAAGTGACATTGGCCCCCATATGCGTGGTTTTGGGGTCATTCCCCCCGGAGATGAGGAGCTGATGAAAAAGGTGGTGGCCACTTTGGGACCTCTGGCCTGCACGGTTAGCGTTACAGACACCCTGAAGAACTACAAGAGAGGCATCTACGATAACGACGAATGCAACCAGGGCGAGCTGAATCATGCCATCCTGGTTGTTGGTTATGGATCGGAGAATGGCTTGGATTACTGGATTGTCAAGAACTCGTGGGATGATTCATGGGGTGAGGAGGGCTATTTCCGCCTGCTCCGCGGCAAGAACTTCTGCCAAATCGCAGCTGAGTGCTCCTATCCTTTGATAACGCACGCTTAGTCAGATTGTTTAACTTTTATGTTTAAAAATGTTTTAAATAGCCCTCTGGGTTATAAAATTGGATCACTTTGAATAAATGCAAGTCATTTCTTGCTTAGCCGGTTTAAACATTAAATTCAAATGTATGCAAAGTAACCATTTTTATTTAGCGTTAAATATTTTGAAAATATACTAGATTCGGTGCTCGGTATTCATGGATACATTGAAGTACAAGAAGTCCAACCAAATCAATGCTAAGGCCTTCACAAATGAAATGATATTTCTTGGAAATTCCAAGTTAAGCTACTATTTATTCGTTCCTTGTCTCCGAAGTCCACCTGTAGGTAGGGATGAACTCTTGGGAGATGCTGAACCTCATCCAATCTAACAGCTTTGAAGAAATTGTAGATATCGGGAGAGGTTATACTCAATGGTAAGTAAAATATGTTTACGAATCTATATACAAAATTCTAAATTCTTCTTCTAAATTTAGCACAAAGTAATAGTACTAATTTATATATTAAGTGCATTCTTTCGCCAAAAATACAAGTTTCTGCATAGCTGATCTTTATTCCAGATTCAAATTAAAAATTCAGGTCTAAATCAAAGTTTATAAAAGGCGGTAAAGAACATATTAGTATCAGTGAATTCGGAACGGTTGGTTGAATTACCGCACATTAAAGTGTTTCAATTTTAAAATTCCTTATCCCCATATTATAAACTTTTAAACCTTATTGTACTGTTCTGGAAGGGAGTTCTCTTACAAGCCAAAGAAAAAATTTTGGACCAAAAGATAACCAATTATTTATTCCGCAGATAAAAATGAAATTCCTATTTGTTCTTCCACTCCTAATAACGACGATACTTGCTCAAGGATTTGGGGGAGCCAGCGACGGTTTGGCAGGATTTGGAAATGTGGCTAGAGGATTCGCAAATATAGCCGGAGGACTTGCAGATGGTGCTGCCCAAGCTTTTTCAAATGTGGCACAGGGAACCGTCAACAGCGTTGCCAATTTTTTACCCAAAGTGTCAGAGCTTGCGAACGTCAAGAAATTTGACGATTTTCTGGTGGGATTTTCAGGACTCCTAGCCCATTATATTTAACCAATATTTAAATTGTAATCCTGTTTGCAGGAGCAAACGGGACAAGCTATTTCCGAAGCAGATCGAACCTTCCGTGAGGGCATCTTTGCCGCCACCAAGAATCTGGTGGATGCTGGAAACCAAGCCTTTGTAAATGGTATCTTCACCTTCCATATGGCAGTCAATGCTTTTGCCGATCTGACCCGCGAAGAGTTCATCAAGAAGTATACCGGTCGGATTCGGTCGTCGGAATCAGAGTGAGAAGAAAAATTTTGGATCAGTCCCCATATTTATAGATGAAAACCTTCAATAATTTCTTGCTTTAAGTGCGCATACTGCTGTCAGCAACAAGAAGGTTGACTTTTTGGATGATTCACCCGCTCCGGATTCCTTTGATTGGCGGGAGAAGGGAGGCGTTAGCGCGGTGAAGAATCAGCTCACTTGTGGCGCCTGCTGGGCCTTTGCCACCACCGGGGCCATCGAAGGTCACACATTTGCCGCTACGGGCACTCTGCCTGATCTTTCCGAGCAAAATCTGATCGATTGTGGTCCGCGAGAAGACTTTGGCCTGAATGGATGTAAAGGTGGATTCCAGGAGGCAGCCTTATGCTGGATCTCTGAGAATCAGAAAGGAGTTTCGCAGGCCGAAAGTTATCCATACGTCAACAGTAAGGAATCATGCAAATTCCAGCCAAACGAATTGGGTGCCCACGTGAGTGGATTCGGGGTAGTTCCTCCCGGAGACGAGGAGGTGCTGAAGAGAGTGGTGGCCACCTTGGGGCCCGTAGCCTGCTCGGTGAGCGTATCCAATAGCTTGCAATTTTACGGGAGTGGTATTTTTAATGACGAAAAATGCAACGAATTAGACTTGGCTCACTCGATCTTGGTGGTGGGCTATGGTTCGGAGAATGGAAAGGATTACTGGATCGTCAAGAACTCTTGGGATACTACCTGGGGCGAAAAGGGCTACTTCCGCATTAGGCGCGGCAAAAACCTTTGCAAAATCGCAGACGAGTGTTCGTACCCAGTGGTTAAAAACTCTTAAATTAAATATTTTGTATTAACAAATAAATACAACATTACTTCAAGCAATTTGAACTAAAACGTTTTTAATTAGTTAATTAAATTAAAATAGATAACATTGAAAACAAACATTCGGGTTGGTCAGCTGGAGTTATAAACTAACTATAAATAAGTTGATCAACTATAAATATTCATGGTCTTCAGTAATATATTAACCCATAGTCACCTAATTTAGATAAAAAACTTGTTTTCCCAGACAGATGGGGGCTTCCCCAAGGGAAACCGAAGAAGAAATAAGATTATTTACATCTGAAGATCTTCTGCATATTGGAAAAAATTGCTGCTTCGAATTAGCTACTGTTTTATATTTATTCATAATTTGCTTAAATATAAACACACACAAACAGAATCCATTTGATGTGATCTGAAATGTTACTAGGTGAATAGGGTTAGTTTTTAATATGCACAATTAATTTCCATTTTTTGAAGGTTTCTACATATGTAAATTTATACCTAATCAAGCTGTTTCAAAAATTAATAATAATTAATTCGGACACACTGTCACACTTCTATCGTCAAGAAAGATTATTTGATTTATTTCGATTAGATTTTTTGAAATCCTGTTTTAACGGCGGATTTGATTAAGTGAAAACGGAACTTAAGCGTGTTAAGCTTTTAAAATTGAATTTTTGCCCCCGTGCGGTTCAGATTCTCTCGTATTACTTAATTTACTCGAATTTAACGACGGGTTTTTGGTTGAGTTCCGGTTTTTCCAGAAAAGATACGTTATCAAAGTGACTTGGAAAGGGATTAAAAGTGTTAATTGCAAACGAGAAACTGAATGCGACGAAATATCAATGCACCCAGATAGAAACAACTGAATGCGTAATCGTTGCTGACATAAGAGCCAAATAATCAAGATTTATATTCCCTATTTTTTATTACTCGTTTATGCGGTGTTTATCTGCTCCAAACTAGATTTTGTTCTAAATTGTTCGGTGTTCTCCCATATATTCTATACCATCTTACAGAGCGCTAATGAAGCAAGACGAGTTCCCAAACAACTTGGCGAATATCGTCAGATAGCACACATCAAAACAGTTATAGCACATATAATCAACGCGTTTCGATTTCTGTATAATTCCGAGTCACTGGACTTGGGATTTATGGATATGATTGGGCCGGGTGGGGGCGAGGTTGCCGAGTTTATAGCCTGAAACTCACTAGTCTAATAGCTATATAAGCTCCATCCGCCAGTCGAGCCAAAAACATTTGTGTGGACCGTGTGATCGTATAAGGTTAGTCTATTGGGTGCGATTAATGGCGATTATTCGCTCGGTTTGCTTGATTCGCTTATGCATATATATATATATATGTATATATATATATATATAAATCAACTGCATCGGCTGATAATTACCACAACGCAAAGATCAACCGTATTTCCCCAATTAGCTCATCATTGCAATCTCTAGACCAAGAGAATCCGCGTCTTATAAGTTACCAATTAATCGTTTCTTTCGAAGATCAGAATGAAGCTTCTGTTGGTTCTTCCACTGCTGGTGGCTGTAGTATCTGGCCAAAGATTCGGAGGTTTTGGAGGGTTTGGAGGCCTGGGTAACAATCCAGTGGCCGGAGCTTTTCAAAATGCAGCAAGTAACATTCAGGGTGCTGTAAGCAACATTGCCAGTACTGTGCCGAAGGTGCCTCTGCTGTCAAATGTCCAGAACTTTGGTGACTTCCTGGTGAGATGTCTAGAGCTGCTTCTGTAAAACACAAAACTAAACTTTAATTTTATTTGCAGGCTCAATCAGGAAAGACATACCTCTCCGCTGCTGATCAGGCTCTGCACGAGGGTGCCTTTGCAACCACCAAGAATCTGGTGGAGGCCGGAAACGAGGCCTTCGCCCGAGGAGCCGCCACCTTCAAGCAGGCCGTAAACGCCTTTGCTGATCTGACCCATGCTGAGTTCCTGAAGCAGTTGACCGGTCTGAAAAGGAGTCCCGAAGCTAAGTAAGTGCTTAATTCTCAACTGCAGACAGAATAAGGTTATATCATTTTTATTTCTTTCCACAGAGCTCGTGCTGCCGCTAGTCTGAAGGAGGTCAGCATTCCACCAAGTCCCGTTCCAGACTCCTTTGATTGGCGTGAGCACGGAGGCGTTACTCCTGTGAAGTTCCAGGGAACTTGTGGTTCCTGTTGGGCCTTTGCCACCACCGGAGCCATTGAGGGTCACACCTTCCGCAAAACCGGCAGCCTGCCAAATCTCTCCGAACAGAATCTAGTCGACTGCGGTCCTGTGGAGGACTTTGGTCTAAATGGCTGCGATGGTGGTTTCCAGGAGGCCGCATTTTGCTTTATCGATGAAGTGCAGAAGGGCGTGTCTCAGGCTGGCGCATATCCCTACATCGACAACAAGGACAAGTGCAAATACGACGGCAGCCAATCCGGTGCCCACCTTGAGGGATTCGCCGCAATCCCGCCCAAGGACGAGGAACAGATGAAAAAGGTGGTGGCCACTTTGGGACCAATTGCCTGTTCGGTTAATGGCTTGGAGAGCCTGAAGAACTATGCCGGTGGCATCTACAACGACAATGAATGCAACCAAGGGGAACCGAACCACTCAATCCTGGTCGTCGGTTACGGATCAGAAAACGGACAGGATTATTGGATCGTCAAGAACTCGTGGGACGACACCTGGGGCGAGGCGGGCTACTTCCGTTTGCCACGTGGCCTGAACTATTGTTTCATCGCTGACGAGTGCTCCTATCCTGTGGTTTAGGAAAGGAATCTGAAATATATAAAATTCTTAAAAGGATTTGCAAACGTTGATTCCTTCGATTTTTGAATAAAACGAAATAATAAAAAGTAATTTAAATTAAATGACTGAATGAAATTTTTACTTAAAATATAATTCAATAATACCTTATGAATATAATTCAATCAACCTTTCTCCTGTTTCGTAACGGAAAATATCGCTCAATTTTAAATAAAAGAAATCTCCCCAAGCTGCGTTGCCAGATTAAGTGAAATGATTTGATGGTCGACAACTTGAATAAGTATCGATAGTAACAATCCACTTAAGATTTTATGTAAATTTAAATACATTTTTAGTTAATCGGTTTTTGAATAAAGTATTCCCCAAATTTGTGAAACACATCCTACGAAAACAAGAATAACACGTAAATTATTACTAATGCTTACTACTATTTTATAAAAGTTATTATAATAAGTGTTTTCTTCTTTAAGATTTTTAAAATCAAGCCCTTGTTTGAATTTTTGTAGTATTTTTTAGTGAAACATTACCGTTGGTTAACAGTTTTATCACCATCTGGTAACACTGCCTGAGACAACAATAATAGAAATAAATTAACTCAATTGGCGAATTAAACTATATTAGGCGCGGCGTGACGGAGGAAATTTGATGAATAGCAGGCGGCGATTGCCATGACGAATGGCGGCAGTGCGTCCCATGGAAGGCCACCGCGCAACAGTGTTCCGGCAGGTGTGTCCGCTACAGAAGCGACGTTCTGGTCAGAAGAGACCAGCCCACTCTTGGGAAAGTGGGCGTTGTCACCAGACCGCGAATCTAAAGCCCCGGATCACCTGTCTTTGTCCCATTGTATGTGCTAATCAAAGTTTCCCCTTGTCCCTCCCTTTCCAGAAATGTACGCGATAGTGCATGTGCATCGCGACTAATCCAAAGAGTCCCATTGTGGTCATAACGCATTTAATAACCAACCCAGCCAGAAAGGCTAATCGTGCCAGATCCAGAGATCCTCTAGTGACTGCATCCTCTCCAAATCGTTTAACCTCTCCCAACCATGGACGAAGATATCCTGAACGCTGTAGAGTCCATGTTTGGCAAGGATGTCAAGATTGTGGATTGCGAGACTTCCTCCTCGATGCAGCAGGAAGAGGTTCTACTGGTCAATGGAGTGCCAGTAAAACTTGACGGCCTGCCGGCGGATGATGCCAGTGCCATCAAGGCTGCTTTGCTAGAGGGCCAAATGCCTTCGGTGGAGCATTTAAATCAGCTACTCTTCCGCGCCGGATTGGCCCAACAACCCATCGAGGTAGAGACCTCGTTGACCGTGAAGTCCTCGTTGACCACAACGGAAGAGGTGCTAGTATCGCGAAACGGACAGATTTTGGATGAACGCACTGTGGAGACAAAGGAGAACTTTAACCACCAATCACACCAGAAGGAGATTTGGCATCCTGTCAAGCAGCAGTCGGCCCTGGCTCGTGCCACTCCCGAGAACGCCCTCAAATACCGAACCGCTTCGAATTCTACGTTCGCCTCACAGGCCACGGACTCAGACGAACGTCCGCCTGATCCATTGGGTCGACAGCTGAACCAAACCTTCTCGAATGCTTCTCTTATGTCCAGCAGCTCGGCCATTACTGGATCTGATCAGGTCATCGGATCTGTTTCGTCCACTACAATTGGGGACAAAAGCTCGAATATAAGCAGCTGCGACTCCGGGCATGATGGCCTCTTCCACAGCGTGTCCATGAGTGCGCCCTGGTCACATCCACGTGACACTTTGACCGACTCCTTGTACTGCGACATTCCTAGCTCCGCAGATGAGGCGGATGCCGTTTCTATCCTGGTTAGTTCTGTAGTGCTTGGTATTTTCCGATAAACTAATACTTTGGCCGCTTTAGAACACCCACTTGCAGATCACAGCGCCATCCGATTGCCAAACATCGTCTGTTTACCCCAAAGACATACCCAAGGAGGGCAGCCTTGATTCGCTAGTCAGCTTGTTAATCAGTGGCAGCGATGAGGTTGTACAGTTTGCCATTTTGACCTCTGCCCGTTTGTTTTTTCCGCCTCATGAGCTAATGTCAAAAATCATTGCCAAGAGCCAAGGAAAGGAGGATAACCTGATCTGTCTTCTAAACCGCTGGATAAGCTTTTGTCCTGGAGATTTTAGCTACGAGATACTGCTCCAAGAGCTGGAGAAAATGCGGAATGTCAAAGGAATGCCTGCCTTTTTGGATGGTATTTCTCAATCTCAAGCGGAACGGGCCGAAAAGGGAAGAAGCCAACTGCAGTATCTGCTGACCAAGCAATCTTCAGCAAGCTCCTTAGGACGTCAAAGCAGTATTAAGTCACTGAAACGGTTTGCAGCCAATGTCTATAAAATAGACAATGTACTCAACAATGTCAGCAATGCTTTTGAAATGGCACACCAACTGTATGCCATCGAATATGCCTATCTGTCACAAATACGCCTCGAAGAGTTTATTGAAATACTGGAAAGAGATGAGCTAAAGTCATGCATAAGCCAAACCAAGGCGGGTACCTTGGGTTCGAATTTTATCAGCCGGGTGACAATCGACAGCTATGTACAGTGGTTCAATCAGCTGAGCTTCTTGACTGCCACGGAAATACTCAAGGTAAAGAGCTTGAATTAATACAGAAAAAACTAAATTGAAAGTATAATTTACCCCTTAGCTTGGCAAAAAGTCTCTGAGAGCACAAATGATTGACTTCTGGGTGGAGACAGCTCTAGAATGCTTTAACACAGGCAACTTTAACAGTTTGATGGCCATTCTAACAGCATTAAATCTGACTGCCATAGCTCGTCTAAAAAAAACGGTGAGTCTTCTTAATTAAGACGTTTATGGTTTAATTTAATATCGTTTTATTTCTCAGTGGGCCAAAGTTCAAACGACAAAATTCGAGGGCTTAGAGCATCAAATGGACCCCAGTTCGAACTTTCTCAACTACCGATCTACCATGAAGGCAGCTGTTTGGCGCTCTGAAAGGGATACGGCCAACAAAATCGAGCGAGCCATTATTCCGTTCTTCTCGCTGTTCCTCAAAGACTTGCATGCCATTAACGAGAGTCATAAAACGAAGTATTCCAACTTGCTTAGAATTCAAAGTTCGAAATTAACCATAACCATTTGCAGGCTGGCCAACGGCAATCTTAACTTTGAGAAGTGCCTCCTTTTGGGCACCCAATTGCAGAACTTCAATAAATGGCAGCGTCTCGATTGTCCCTACGAACAGCTTGCCAATGTGGTGTCCTATCTGTTGAAGGCGGAGGTGCTAACCGAGGATCTTTTGATGAAGGCCTCCTACGAGTGTGAGCCACCTGAGAACGGCGAGGAAAAAGATCATTACAAGACGCTGAAGGCTTCAAAAAAATCGAACACATAATCACCATTCATTAACGACAATCCTCGGGATAGTGCAAAATAATATACAAGAAAAGCAATGCAATAAACCTCGCACACCTTTGTTTGCGTTCCATTTTCACATTTTGCATTTGTATCGCGATACAGCAGTAACAATAATAACTCTTACACTTCCATTGTGTTTGTTAATTTGTACTTAAGCTTAGACGATGGTATATATTTATTTTCAATCAATTTATATATACAAGAGACAGGCATTTAATTAGAAACACCAAAAATATGCTTACAATTACTAAAGTAATGTTTTAAATGTTGTATTTTAGCAGTTATATACCCCCAAAAAACACAAAAATAAAAGACTTCAATTAAGCATGAGCGTTCCTTAACGAATGGTAGCGAATTTCTGGAAATCGACAGTACCAAATTTTCCGAATAACTCAAGTGGGTAATGTTTTCCCTCAACGGGAGCATGAATACGTATCTGCCGCATATGTGTGTCTCTGCCATTCTGATGATTCGAGATCACAGCAATCTGGAGCATAAAGGTTCGAATGGATTTGACGTTCCCATCCTTGATTGGTATTTGCACCCAGCCGGTGGGTTCGGTGAGATCCATTACCTGCAACTCTTGTAAATCATTGAAGTTCGTCCCGGATCGTATGGAGATCCTCGATGGAGTGTAACTCTCGTCTAACTTGTAATCCGTGTATATGAAGATCTGACTAATGTTGGTACGCTTATGAAACTGAATGTTGACGAGGTGGGGAAGCTGTCCGTCCGATTGCCAATAAGTATCCATGATATTGTCCCGCAAACGCTCCACACCGAATCCTGGTAAACCAAAAATTATATTAAAAATTGTACAAAAGATCAGCACAAACTAAAATTACCCGGCTTGCAGGAGGAGAGGCTCCAAACTGCTTGTGCCCCCACTTCTCGCACGAATCCTAGCCTCTCCTCGGCCAAAGGATCCTCTTCACTGCTCGGCAAAGGATTTGCGGCTATATCCTCATCCATTGAGGCTGCCATTGCAGCAAATAAAGCTGTAGGTTTTTCTAAAGATAAAATATATTTAACACAAAACTGTTTGAGTACGCACAAATAAATGTTTTGTTTGATTACGTGGTATTTTCTTTTTCCCTTGATTGGTCACACTGCGCGCCCATGTGCGATATTGTCAACAAAAGTAATTTTATAAATAAATAAAAATGGTTCGTAAACTCAAATTTCATGAGCAAAAACTGCTCAAAAAGGTGGACTTTATCACCTGGAAGGTGGACAATAGCGGCAAGGAGAACAAGATCCTCAGGCGCTTTCATATACAAAAGAGAGAGGATTACACGAAGTGAGTTTTAACCGGGAACTGCATATTTCAACCGAAGTAAAACTTTTCTAATACCTTGTTAGGTACAACAAACTATCTAGGGAGATAAGGGAACTTGCAGAGAAGATAGCCAAATTAGACGCTTCAGAGCCTTTCAAAGTGGAAGCCACAACCATGTTGCTAAATAAGTTGCACGCCATGGGAGTTTCCAATGATCAGCTAACCTTAGAGAGGGCGGCCAAGATATCAGCCAGTCACTTTTGCCGGCGTCGCCTGCCAGTGATCATGGTGAAACGTATGTTGTATACCCTTACATTACTAGGTTTCTTATAATTTAATAATTTTCTCTTACAGTGCGCATGTCGGAACACCTGAAAGCTGCCACAGACCTTATTGAACATGGTCATGTTCGTGTGGGTCCTGAAATGGTCAAGGATCCCGCCTTTCTGGTGTCTAGAAACCTCGAGGATTTCGTCACTTGGGTAGATGGGTCTAAGATCAAGGAGCATGTACTGCGCTACAATGATTTGCGTGATGATTTCCAAATGTAGACATTAAATTTAAGATCCCAAACAAACGTAGACTAAAATTTGTAGCAGACAATAAAAACAACTGAAACTTTGTTAAATAATCATGTTCAATAACTTTATTACATTTTATATAATAATGTTTAGATCTCATTAATATTCATTATTAAGGAGCAAATTGCGCCAAGGGCACAAATGCGCCGACACGCACATACATATACATATTTATTTTAACCTGATCCCCGAAATACCGATCTGCTCGGAATTATTCCATATTGGCGGTTCATAGTTGGATTATGCTCTATTAGTTTTTTACCCTCACTTCGCTATCTAAAGTCAATCTTTTCAAAATACAATGCGGCGTGTGAAATACCTTTAAGATATTAAAGTAATATCAGTTTTGGAAACAAGTGAGAGAGCCAGCGGAGTTACACAATAAATTATAAGATACCAGCGTGGATTGATCGATCGCTTTATTTATAAAACAGGATGAGTGTGGTTGGGGACTAAGGTGCAGGCAGGTGCATCGAACGGTTGAGCGGTCTAAAAAGTGATTATTGAACAGAGTTAAAAGTAAGGTAGATGGCAGTTACACAAGTCAATTCCAGCCAGCATCAACATAAGAAGCAAATGCATTCGAAATGGTTCTAATAGTTATTTTAGGAGTGCAATACAATTTCTGAAGTTTTTAGAGTCTGACTGCTCGTCGTGCATCTGACTTTGCGAAAAGAAATCTAAAAGAACAATGGATTTCCGTTTTAGCAGTCAAAAGTCTTTTTCTTGTTGTATAGATATAGTTATCTTTAAATATTAGTTGTATTATTATTTCTTTTTAAATACGCATAAAAAGTAAATATTAATTAGTGTTAAAATAAATAGCTAGTGGCATTAAAATTAGTTTCGACTTTGGCTGCGGCCCATACACGATTTCATTTCCGCCTGCCCAAGGCCTAGAAAAAATTTCACATGAATAACTTCATAACAATATAAAACAAATTAATAAAAAAGGATTTTCTACATTTGTTCCTCATCTTCATTCAGCGGAGCTTACTGTTTGCAAACAAAAAAATACATTCATTCAAAATTCAATTACATTCTTTTGGCTTTTGAGTGTGCTCTGCTCTGTGTTCTTTATATATAGTATGTTCTATATGTCTGTTCTTCGTTTACAGATGGTTCTCCTACTGTTTCAGGCTTGCGTGAACAATAAATTCTTAGGCTGGATATATGCATTTATATTCAAAATAAATATTCAATCGCATTGTATTAATCACTACAATATTTTCCGTAAATTTCGATTTCTTGTTCTTCAAACATGTGCAAATAGTAATTAGCCGTATATGCCCCGATGAACACCTATACCCCACGACCTACAGAAAAACTTTCGGTATATGTTTTGTTATGTTTCCATAGATGTCTTAATGCGCAATCATGTAGAATAGTGTTGCTTCGACCAAAACTGCGCCAAGCGCCCGTTGGCCCGACTGTTCCACTGCTGCCACTTGGATGCCATTCAAAATACCCTGCCCGCCGCTTAGATTACAAGCGCCATGTCCTTTTTGCTGGGCAACTGCACCCGCTTGCCCTGCCACAGCGAGTTGTGTATTGTGAAGGCATCGATGGTCACGGTCAGATGCTTTGTATGCACTTGCGAGAAGCACTTGCCTCCTGAGTTATATCTGCAAGAAAGGTATGTATTAATTTTAGATAGTCAAATTATAATATATATTCTAGGCACTTACTTGAAGAACTTGTCGAACATGACTTCATCGACTTGACTAGGTCCAGTGCCATACAGCTTGGTTACCTGATCCGTTTCGGGCTGGTAGCTGTATAGGGCACGGAACTGGCAGCCCGCGTCTCGGAAGAGTACCAGGAAGTGCTTCGCCTCCGAGCGCGCAATCTTCTCGAGCACTTTCTGTTTGGCCTCGCGGTTAACAACGCCGGGGAAAACACAGTATTCAACGGCGTTCAGGATAATACCACGATTTGATTTGGCCGCTGGTTGTTTATAGAGTTTGGGACCTGGGAATGCATATTAAACCAAGTCAGAAAAGGAGTTTTAAAACGATAAGCATATAGTTTGGATATTTTATACTTTTTAGTGGCAATGGCAAGCTTCTATATTGTAAAATCTTCTATCAAAATGCAAGCTACGTGCAAAATTCAATACTAACGTTGGGTGAATCTACGGGATTCACTGTTTTAGTTGGGAATACTAAACAAAATTATAAAATGTATTTTTCAAATAAAACACCCTGACAAAAATATTAAATTAACAACTCTTTGAAGCTGGCTTTAAATTTCTTATGCGTATAAATTAGTTATAAACCTAGAATTAAAAACATTCAAAAACAAATAAACACTTAAATATAGTGCTTGCAATTTTGTCTTTAGTATTTCATAGTGAAGCTGTTAATCGGGCCAATCTGGTTTTGGGATTAGAAAGCTTTTGTGGTGTCTTTAAATCACTAAGAACATATTATCGGGTTACATTTGACCATCGAAAGTCGTGGATTTGACGACGCTAGGGAACGTAACAAGTGGACGAACGAAGAATCGGATTCTACAGACTGTCGCAGCCCTCTAGAACTTGTATATCTATGTAGAACTCATATGTATGTCGAATAAACAAAATGCAATCTGTACAAAAGATGCCAATTTGTAATGAATGAACAAACCGAAAAAATAAATCAAAAAATCAAAACTTTGAAATCATAATGAGGCGTTCCAACTTAGGTAGTACAGATGCAGGTGATGACCAATGGTGTATGGATTGGTGGAAGGTGATTGATTATATAACTGAGGATTGATTTGAAGTATTTGGTATGGCTTGAATGGTTTTTGTTTGTTTTGAAGACGAGAGAGAGAGATACAAACCCGAATATTCCATGTTCAAATTCGGAGTTAAAGAGAAATCGCTGGATCCATCATCAAATCCGCGACGTTTCGATATCAAACCTGGCGGCAAAGAGCCCGGTCCAGAGGGAGATGGCATATGCCTACCTGAAGCGCCCATTCCCATTCCAGGCGACGGAGCACGCCTCGGCGGAGTGGCGCGTCCCAGTCCCGAATCTGTGTCTAACCGGCAAGCAAGAGATCAGGGTGGAATCCATGTCAATCGAGGCATTCAGCGGGTGGTCACATGCACAAAACAGATCGGATCGGATCAGATCAGAACGGGATCACCCAAGTCCATGCAGATGGTGAAACCAGTCGATGGATGCATTTTTTTTGTTAGTCACCAGTCACGAAGATGGATGGCGCGAGCGATGAGTTCGTTTTATTTGGTTAATATTTGATTGTTTTTTATATTGTTGGTTGGTTAATTTCAAGAATCATTTTAAGACAGGATTGAGTTGAAAGAAAGAGAAATAAAAGAAGAGAATGTGTGCACAAAATTTAGTTAAGCAATTTCGTATATCTCTTAATAGCTAGTTGATCATGATCTGGATTAAAATTGAACAAATGTACTGATTAGTGTTGGCGGTGCAGATGTTTTAGTGAATATATTTGTGCTAGTGTATCCCATATATCTCACAAATATTAAATGTTGGCCCAAACCATTTGCGAATATAAAGCTGTAGAAACCAACCCAATCCCCAAAAATCAGCTGACGAACACAAGAAAGCTTGAGAAGGGACCAGACCACCACCACCACCGCATCATCGTTAGGAGCATGGAAAGCCGAATCATCGCAGTGAAGGTTTATAAAATAAAATCGCAATACAGCAAATAATAGTATATTCAAATATGTACATAAAATGAAGACAAGAGTACAGAAAAAAAAGAAAGTATACAGATTACTTATCACCAGCAAAGATACCAGAAACCAAAGTACAATCACAAGTTAAACCAAAAGATACCACTAGAAACATCCGAAATCAATAGAAAGTAGCAGACAGGTAGATATACTTAGTTGGATAGAGAGTAGAGTAGAGTATGGGATAACAGAGAAAGGTAACAGGCAGGCAGCTTGATTGTTGCTGCTGTGGAACGCTTCTTACCGCACAGATTCATTAGCGAATTGGACTTTCGGCCCCGGAAATTAAGCGTGCTGCCCTTAGCGACGGAGATACGCGATAGAGTGCGGCCCCTTTCTACGCCGGCTGGCTCTGAAATCAGGTCAAGTCAGGTCACGAAAGACGCGAGCCAAGTGCATCATCAGTATACAGGTGGAACACATTCTTATTCTTATTCATTCGCAATTCGTTAACACAAATGAATGGGTGGCACAAAATGAGGTACAAATATCGTAAATCAAACTTATCTCCCAGGCCCCCCAAAACCAAAAATCCATCATCAAAATAGCAGCCCAAAAAACCAGGTAAATCAAAGAAAAAAAAAATAATAGTTATGTATATCCTCAACCGCGCCTCTGGTCCACTTTTTTTGAGCTCAGGTGCATTTTTTTACTGGCAGTGCATTCTGGATTAGTTGAGGTTGTATGCAGTTAGCTGTTAGCCATAAATCAGTAGGTTCAACAAAAATTAAAACATGTTAGTTATTGAAAAACTATAAAAAAAAAATTGAAGCGCTCGAGCGTTAACTCTCGTTTCATTTCTTAGCGTGTTCGAATGCGAATTTTGTGAAAATAAAACAAGGGAAAATAAAAATGGGAACTAAGTGGGCGTGTTATCCATCACCAACCTCTGGAAGTTTTGTACGATCCCCGTCGTCCAATCGGAGTTGAACTTGTACTGGGATAATCATCGGGTGACTCTGTTTGAACGAGATTAGTTGTTAAGGCTTACTAATTAGATTGACAAAAATCCATAGTTATTTTTTAAGAAAACTTAGATCTACAATTACGTCGAGGTGCAATTTAACTCGTTAGATTTTAGGTCCCATTTACCAGAAAAGTATCAGAAAACAAAATAACTTAATGTGTAACTAATCATGCTTAACTTAGATAAAACTACGAAAGATGAAATATAAGACAATGCAATGAGGATAAATAAAGAAAAACATAAATTACCTTTTACAGTGAGGGAGTCTTGCGAGCCCCTGTAGTAATCTCTTTTCATTGAATTTGAGCTTAGTTGACCGTAGCCTGTTCAGTTCAAATTCAAAACGAAAACAAAAAGTCAACAAATTAGCAGTG